GCTCAGATTGAGGAGGAAACGCGCTAGAGTAGTGGTTGCCAACTGAAGATAGAGACGGGCCAACAGCGATGTGGCGTCTATAGGAACACCGGTCATAATGCGCAAATATATCAATTTGCTGAAGAAATGCCTAAAGAAGAAGATCTTAACTAGTTTATATTAAATTAATTTGCTTGATGTTGGTTGTTAGTTGCGAATGTGCTGTGGTTGCTGTTGGCTGATCCACTCGCTTGTCTGATCCACTTGCTTATTAACTACGTTAGTATTTTAAGCTATTTAAACTAAATCTAAAGTTCTTTTTAATATAAAGTATTTATATCTTTAATATTAAGATTATGTATAATATTCTTATTAAATATAATATCTTAAATATAAAGAACTTTACTTAATAATAATATTTAGATATAATATATATTTATACTATTATATCTATAGAGATATCTAATATATATATATAGAAGTATCTTATTTATATATTATTTATCTCTTTTATATATTATTATTAATAGATATACTTAATATCTATATCTTTTAAGGTAAATAACTTATAGCTTTTTAATATAATAATAGGTTATACTTAGTTATTTATTTAACTACTTATTAACTAAGCTTTTTAAAGTCTTTTAGTTATAATATTAATAGCTAAACTAATTAGCTATATAAATTACTACTCTTATAAGCTTTAGAGCTAGAGATTTATAGAATCTTAATTAATATCTTAAAGCTTTTATAATTATAAAGATATATCCCTTATACCTTTTAGTAGGGTTTTAAATACTTATATAATTAGCTAAATACTTAATAAGTTTACTTTTTATTATTATTTATATCTTAAATATATTATATAATATAAAGTCTTAACTAAAGTATAAAATAAATATAAGTATTCTATATTATTATTCAAGAAAGGTTATAATATTCTATATTACTTTAAAGCCCTCTTTATATATATAAAGGGGTTATCTCTATATAAATTTAAACTATTAATTATATAAAAGTAATAGAACTTTCTCTCTATTATATAGATTACTTATTATAAAGAAGTTAATAGTTATATAACTATTTAATACTATTAGCTAGTAATTAAGAGTTCTCCTTAATATTTATTAAATTACTTTATTAATAGTATATACTTTATATTTATTTTTTATAATTCCTTTAAGTTTAATATTTATTATTATCTTTATAAGTTATTTAAAGCTTTATATATTTAGATAACTAAACCTCTTATACTAAAGTTAGGCCTCTACTTTATTTATATATAATAATAATAAAGACTTAAAGCCTATATATAACTAGTTAGTTTTATCTTTTAATATATTAAAGTAAACTATTTATAATAAAGATTTAATATTATTATAACTTATATCTATATTAAATTTATAGTATTTAAGAATATATTAGCTATAAATTAAAGGTATTTTATATATTATTTTATTCTAGTTATTTAGAAGTCTAGAGACTTTCTAAAAGAATAATAAACCCTTTTTTTTAAGTTAGCTAAATAATAATAACGTTATAAAATAAAATAGATAATATTAAACTTTATAAATATATAAATAATATATCTCTTTACCTCTTTAGTTTAGCTATACTTTTATTAGTCTAATAGTAATAACTATAGTTTCTCTATTATTAATAAGAATAACTTTAATATAAATATAGTTTAAATCTTTTATATAGTTTATATTATTATATATATAAAAGTCTATACTATAGTTTATAATTATATTATTATAGAGGGTATTACTATTAATATAACTTAAAGTAATAATATAAAAGGAAGAATTAAAATAAATTAACTTTATATTAATATATAAAGTAGTATAAAAGAATATCTATTTATCCTTTTAATCTTTTAATTAAGAGTATAAATAAAAAGGCTCTCTATTTCTACTATAGTCTCTTTAATTATATAAGTTTATCTTAAACTTTTTATCCTTTTATATATTACCTATATTAATATTTATATTATTAAGTTTCCTCTTAAAGTAGCTATAAAATAGTATTAATAACTATTTATATTTAGTATTAATTTTTCTCTTATTATTAATATTATTTAGATTATATACTTTAAGCTAAATTAATAGGTTTATATAGATATAGTTTATAATAAAGTAAAACTTATTATTATAAACTAAATACTTTTAAGTTTTATTACTATCCTTTTATACTTTCTTATTATTATAGAGTATTAATATAGTTATTATATTTTTATTACCCCTTTATTAAATAGTATAATTAATACTCTTAAATATAATAGAGGGAGGCTTTAATACTATTAGCTAGTTTAAATAAAATATATAAACCTATTACTAAAACTTATTAGCCTCCTTTATACTTATAGACTTTTCTTTAATAGCTAATATATTTAGTTTAGTTTTCTAATTAGCCTTTAAAAATAATATTAAAATACTATTAAAGTATTTAAGTAAGATACCCTTAATAGTATATAGAAAGTTTAATACTTAAGTAAATAGATCTATAAGTATTAATACTTTAATAAATATTATATTTATTATAATCTCTTTATAAGTTAATAGCTATTAATTTAGCTAAAACCTCTTAATAGAGTAAAAATAAGTTTAATATTATTAATAAATATATCTCTATTATATAAAGCTATTTAGCTTAATATTATTTTTAATCTCTTTTAGTATAATATAAATATTACTATATTTAAAGATCTTTTAATAATATAATAATAAAATAGACTTTATAATCTTTTTAGCTATAACCTATATATTAGCTTTATTCTCCTTTTATTCTTATAGAATATTTTAATATTTTATCTTTATAAGAGATATCTTATTATTAAAGTTTTTATTATTTATATTAAGATATTTAATAATAAGCTTTTTATTACTATTAGTTATATTTAAATTAATATATCTCTTAATTTTATATAGTTTAGTAATTATTATAATTTAGATATATTATTTATTATAGTTAATAGAGCTTTAGAGAGTTAGCTTATTATTTATATTAATATTAAAACTTATATTAACTATTTAGATATAAAATTAATAAATTATTTTCTTATTTTAATTAAAAAAATACTTTAAAGTATCTATTTTAATAATATCTTATATTTATATTAAGATCTTAATAATCTTATAATATATAAGAGATTTATTTTTATTATAATATAAAGCTTTTATTTATTTTAATATATAAAGTTATTAATTATCTATTTAATATAAATTATATTAAATATACTAAAAAACGCTTAGATAATCTCTAATATCTTTATTATTTCATATTATTTATAATTACTAATTATATTATTTAGTTAAATTAAATATTAAAGCTATAATAAGCTTTACTATATTAGATCTATTAATTAATAACTTAAATAATATATTATATAATATATATAGGAAGAGTTTATTACTAGAAATTACTTAAGCTTATAACTATTAAGTAATAGTTATAGCTAGTAATATAGTATATTAAATATTAATTAATATATAACTAGCTAAAAGGGGCTAAGTTAGTCTAAATACTAAAAAAAAGGAGGGTATATATACTTAATATAAATAAGCTATATTTAGGTAGGAATCTATAAGTAGATTTATTAAGTTAGTGCTTATACTAGTTAAGCGGTATAGGGTCTAATAGTCCTAAGTGTGTGGATGTGAGTGAGTAGGTGGGTGTGAAATTTGCACTAACAATTTCTCTTCTACGTAGAGTCAAAATCAACGACATGTCGTGGTTGGATTTGGGAAGTCTTTCGACACGGAGGATCAGAAAATTTTCATAAAACACGTCACTAGTAAAAACACGTAATTGGATTTTATATTTCTGCTTTTTTGACATGTTTAATGAACATCGAACCGTTCAGTATTTACATCAATAGCCTCTCGTGCAGCTCTGATCTTGAACGTCCCTGGGCTAGAATAGCCAGAGATGATATTCTCAAACTTTAGGAACTCTTATTTGTGGCAAAAGTTGCATGCGTATTCTGCGTTCCTCTGAATGCCTTGAGCCTCATCAATCCTCGCTTCCCGGAAGTCAAACCTACCGTCGCCTCTGGCCAGCCGGCCTGGTGATCCAGCACAACACCACCAGGCTCTAAAAGCCGTTCATTATTAATCAAAGCTTTTTGTATTCAAGTATGGATTACTTTGATATCAAGTAAGCATCGGTAATCCCCAACTCGGCATTTTCATGGATGCTTCGGTGAATTCGACGACGCTACTCCATGGCCTATGAGGTAGCTATGTCCTTCCGCGCTCACCCTCACTATTGACCAGGCTTAACGTTATCATAACGATTTGAAATGACATATTTGTAAAGTCTAGAATCGCGCGTCAGACGGAGTACACCCACTTCTACTTTGGTTCTCGGGTATGCGTCCCGAGTTCACCGGCCGGGGGTCTTGGTCGGGTACGGTCATGTCAGCTTATACCCGTCTCCGAGATCGCGCGCTCGCGTCTTCGACTTCGCCGTGTTGAAGTAAGGCTGGGGCCATGGAAGCCTCTTGATATGTAAATCCCTCAACATTTCGCGCATCCCGACCTTCCGGTTGTTTTCTGAAGTCCTTTCCTGCCCGCTGATGGGACCTGGGGGCCGGTGGCTGCGTAATCCGATTTCCGTTCAAACGTCTTCGGAGAAGGGTGAGAATAATCGGAATTGAGAAGATAACTCGTAGTCGACGTAGACTTGGTTGAAATTAATGGAGCACACATGGAGTCTGATGGAGGATCACCACCTTCGGATCTAGCATGTACCAATCATGAGGCTATTCGAGGTGCCTTCGAGAGATGCAGCCGACCTCTATGCCTGCAGATGAGGCTCCCCCTCGCATTCATCGGAGTAGATACTCGGTCTTTTGGTCTCCAGTCGAGGAGTCAAAGAATCAGGCTGGCAAATGGTCGATATTGGAGTTGTATAAATACGTAGAGCCAGTCCAGTTATGGCTTCTGGATTTGAGTATCAACCACGAAACTCGGTCCTCATCACAACCACCAATACGTACACTCAGCTTTACTTACACCATGTGGGTAATCGACGACCTCAAAACTGCCTTCAGCCAGTGGCCACAGAGTGGCATCTCTGTTCTCGTTGTCGGTGGCGGTTTAGCTGGACTCTCCTTCGGCATTGAGGCCACCCGAAAAGGCCACAAAGTCCAAATCATCGAAAGACGCCCCGACTTTGACGACTTCGGTAAGCAAGAAATACCTTTCCCTCTCCGGTGAGACCCTTCCACAAAGACCACAACGTGATTGACAAAACTCCCCAGGCGATCTGGTAGGCGTCCAGTCCCCGGTACTCCACACCATGAACCAGTGGCCTGGCTTTGTCGAAGAGATGAAGAAGACCGCATGGCCCGCCTTCAACCACTACAAAAAGTACGACGGCACCCCGATCGGAATCTTTCCAATCGGAGACCCGGACCTGCCCTCTATTCCCCTGAACAGACTGGTCTTCCACGCACTCCTACATAGGTACGCAACAGACCTGGGTATCCCGATCAAGCTCTCGACCGCGGCGGTGGAGTACTTCGAGACAGAGGAGCATGGGGGCGTGCGCCTCGCCGACGGCTCCACGATGACGGCTGACCTGGTCGTCGCCGCGGACGGGATCGGGTCGAAGTCTCGGTTGTTGGTGGTCGGCAGCAATGACCGGCCGGTGAGCACCGGGCTTGCCATTTATAGGGCGAGTTTCCCAGTCAAGCCTGTGCTTGAGAGCAACCCGGTTCTCGCGCGAGAGTTTGAGGGGTTTGATCGTCGAGTTTCTCTGCATATCGGTCCTGGCGCTCACATTCTGATTGGGAAGTTGGAAGATGATGTGTGCTGGTTGATGACGCACAAGGTTTGACAACGTCCATTCATAACCTCCCAAGTAGCTGCTAACTTGACAACTTGCTAGGACGAACGGCCCGCAGATGACCCCATCATGGGGACGGCAACGGTGGCAGACGCCCTACCTCATGTTGAGGGATGGACGCCGGTGGTCACCGAGCTCGTCAAGGCAACGCCAACAAAGAACATCGTGGACTGGAGACTCATGTTCCGCGACCCCCAGACGAGCTGGGCGTCCCCCGCTGGCCGGGTGGTGCAGATAGGAGATGCGGCCCATCCGTTCCTCCCGACTTCGGGAAGCGGCGCTACTATGGGCATCGAAGATGCCTTGTCTCTGGCCGCGTGTCTGCAGTTGTCTGGGAAAGCCGACGTCCCCTTGGGAGCGAGGGTCCACAGTCGCCTCAGGTAAGGAGCACCTTCCACTTCAGGCATCCAGACGGTCCAGAAGATAACAGACTCGACAGATTCGAGAGAGTTGTCTGTGCGCAGAAGATGTGCTTCAAGATCAGCGAAAAGTACCACAAGACGGACTGGGAGGCCGTGGCCAAGAACCCGAAGCTGGTCGGACGCGCGGTCGGCGACTGGGTGTTCCGGCATGACCCTGAGCAATATGCTGTGGATAATTACGGCAGATGCGTCAACCACCTCATCGCGGGCGCTTCGTTTGCGAATACCAACATGCCGCCTGGCTACGTATATAAGCCGTGGACGGTGGGGGAGATGTTGCGGGCTTCCGAGGCTGGGCATGAGATTGTTGATGAGGGAGATTGGAGTTGAGCCGGTTCTTGCCCGGAGGCGCCGATGCTCTGACACCCGCAGGACACTTTTTGAAGGCTGTTGAAGATATCAGGCTCACTGAAATGCACGACCATGTTCATCTTCTTCACTGCTCAATGGTCAATGAGCATTCATATTATATCAATGCCGGTGACTTTCCATGCGATGTTGACAACGGACAATCAGTGGAATCCCTCATTCACAGGGATACGTACTATGGCATCTATGACGACGAATCAAGCCCTACTACACACGCTCCAAAAGACTCAAGCCCGCAATATCTTCTTCCCCTCCTCAAAAAGCTTGATGTCGTTCTTCAACATCTCGCGAAGAGCCTTGCTGACCGCGTCTTCTCCCGCCACCATATCCAGCTGCTCATTCGACATGCTGAAGATGCGGTTAGGGGACAGGACTCCAAGAGGGCTGTCCTCGGCACCGAGAAGAAAGTAATCGACGACCTGCGTGCAGATCATGTCGGAGAACCGGGCGCTGGCGATATCGTAGTAGCTCTTCAGGACATCGTGGATGGTGCAGCAAGTCTCGCTGAGACCCTCGGCATCGGTTGTTTCTCTCTTGAGGTCCTTCCACATGACGCACTCGAGAGTCTCCTCGCCGTTCTGAACCGTGACCTTGGAGTCCTGGTACTTGCTCGCAGATCTGACCGTCTTGACTTGGTTTAGAGCTCGGTCGAAAGCCGGATTGTAAGTGATTGAGCGTCCCTCGCGCTCAACATAGATGAGCAGTCTGGCTTGGTCCATGGCGATCTGGTACCGCTTGAGGAGGTCTTCGAGAATGGAAGACCAGAGGGCATCGCGGACTTGAGCATCGCCGCAGGCCTCCTTCACAACGTTGAAGATGAAGTGGTGAACGATGAGAATGACGTTGCTCACGTGGGCCAGCGTGGTAGCCTCCCACTTCTTGGACTGCTCCTTGAAAGCAGTGGGAAGCATGTGGCTGCTGAACTGAATTTCGTGTCAGTTCTTATACTAAACCGCGGGATGGTGGCACTATTTGACTACTCACGGTACCCATTTCGTATCCTCGAGAGGCAAGGTACAGCTTCTCGAGATGCTGCATAATGCTGTCGGTTCCAGGCAAAGCGCATTTACAAGCCTCTGACAATACACCGTCGAGTTCATCGAATTCATCTTTTGGGATGGAGAACGCGAGCTTGTATAGATCGTCTCTAGTGGCATCATCCTCCTCGTCCTGGAACTCCAGCTTGTCAGTTGCCTCTTTTTTCTCGCCGTCCGAGTTCTTGGTAGAGATAGGGTCTTCGAATTGGCGAGTGTGGGCGTTCTTGAAGAACATGGATGAGAACGCCGTGTTGGCCTCCCGGATTCGCGTCGCGAGTCTGAGATCGGAATGCTTGTCGAACAAAGGGTCGCCCGTGTAGTAGGCGTCCAAACCGAAGTTCTTGAGGTCAGTGAACCGGCTGACAATCTTGCCGAGGAACGCTCTCTGCTCGTCAGCGGTGCTTCTGGGCTGACCGAGAGCTCCGAGCTGGTTCTTCGCCTCGGCGAGGCGCTCGTTGATCTCGCGTCGGACCTTGGGAAACTCAGACTTGGTGCGGTCCATGAGGAGCTCCTTCAGACGAGTGCGAAGGGCAGGGATTCCAAGACGAGACTTGTCGAGTCTCGACCAAGGCTCCGCTCCGAAGAAGAGCTGCTCCTGCCAGTCCCTGTCTTCCTTACTGGAAGAGGTGTCATCGGCGCCGCGGTTCTTGACGACGTAATATCCCAGCTTCAGGTCACGCCGCTTGCCCCTAATGAGGTCCATGACTGCCTCTCGCGTGGCGTTCTCGGTGACCAGATCGGGCTTCGTGAGGACGCCCAGAGTGCGCTTGCCTTCGGGGTCTGCCTCGGCAGCGTAGGTGAGAATGGTTTGCGTTGCGACGTCCACATTGCACGGGATCACGGCAAGAATGCTGTGTGCCTATTAGCTAATTGTAGATTCGATTCTGCCAAAGCGAGGCGACTCACATGGTCCGGGAATCCTTGATGTAATCTTTGACCATGGACTTGACCAGTTCAACATCTCTGGAAGTCGAGAAGCCTTCCTGTGCGTTCTCAAAGATTCCTAAGGTTATCTATTAGTCTCCGAACATAAGAAAACGCAGCATTCATGGATGTGCGTTCAGTATGAGACGCTGAAGTAATAAGAGGAACAGATGGGTTGATGAGGATGACCTCAAGAAGGAAAGAGAAGCTTGGGTTTCCATGATTTCACCCGAGACATTTCGCGCGACGTACCAGGAACATCAATGATGGTTAAGTGCTCCTCCTCTGGGCCGCAAATTTCAACTCGCAGAATGTCTTTGGTGAATGCGGCACCTTCGGAAGAGCCATCAGTGGTTGACTTCAACCCCATGACCACCGATGCCTGCCGATGTGATCAGTATGAACTCCAAAATATAGAGAAGTGTTCGCACTCACTTCCCGAAGAACTTCGGCGAACTCTTCTCCCTTCAAATCCTGAAGTACGTGTCTGAAATCCTTGGCGAGATTGGCCCTCTCAGTCGAGGCATCGAATGGATGAATGGTGACGACGATGCTTGAGGACGGTTCGCGACGGCAGATGATTTCGGTGGCATGACGGGTGCACAATCCGACCGATCGAGGGAAGTAGTACCCGGTCAAGCTCTCGAGAACACTTGACTTGCCCGACGACTGGTCTCCAACGACCACGAGCTTGGAGCGTTACGGATCAGCAAGACTGTCGAACCAATGAGGTGCAAAGCAATTACCTGAGGAAGGGCAACTTGTTTGGAAATTCCAAGCTCGCGAAGCTTGTCAATCTTGTCCAGCAGATTCCGATTGCCAAGACCGGTCTGGGTCTTAGATTGCACAGGCGCCATTGTATGGTCCAACCCAATGTATGTGGATAAAAGTGCCGTGACGATCTTACGAGCAAGCGAGGCAGAGGTTGACGTGGAAACCAAGAAGATGATGAAGAGAAGAAATGGAGAGAAACTTGACAGCTTAGATTTTCTTGAGAAGGGTATTACTGTCCAACCTGTCAGGCTCTTTTCGGCTGCCTGAACCTTTCACGGCTACACACCTGGGTTCGTAGTCGTCTCCAGACACAGACAAAGGCACCCAGAAACGCAAACGAGAGCAGCAGTGAGAGACAACCCAGCCTAGATTTGTCTAGAGAAGAACAAAAGAATAGGTTCCCGGATGGAAACCTTGCAAGTCGAGAGTGTTAAGAAACCTTCCGTACTGTTTTGCTGTTTCTGTCTCTGACTACTTTTCTCCTGGGGTTTCCGAACATACCAGTTTAGGTGAAGATAACCAACAGAAATGATACAGTGTGTTTGAGGAGAATGATGCGGGCGCCCTGCCGGCAGCAAACGCCTTCCGGCATTGTGAGTTGAGGGCCTCCCGCATTGAGATAAAGTGTCAATTTTCAACCATAAGTTACAGAGTAGGTGGAGTATTAGCCGGAAATCGTGTTTGCAAAAGAGCCAAAGCTGAATTGTGAGATATCAACGAGCAATATGATGAACGTAATGCTCACAGTGTTGGTTTGGGAAGAAAAGTATCAACTCTTTCTGATGAGAAAGCTTTGCTGCACTCGCTGCCTTCGCGGTCTTTCTAGACCAGAAAAGGGCGGTAGAATCAACAGGCGACCTGATTGAAGTCGAAAGGCTACCTCGTGCCTCATCCGGACCTGATGAACGTCAAGTCGGAAAGTCGTAGGTCTTGTCTGACATGACAGCCATATGAACTGAGTCGGATTAGACTAGGTAATGAGGCACTGGAGCAATTCGAATCAGCCAGCCACCCAGGTCTTCCAACAAAGCTTGGCCTGGGTTAAACGGCATGAAGATGTGGGAAGGAAAGAGCCGCGCCCCAGTGCGGTATTTTGGGGGTGGAGTCACAGGCAGGGGCCAGGAGGAGGCCGCGAGGCGATCCAAAAGCTTGTTCAGTGCTCCAATTCCAGGGTCGCATCGACCCACGTGACCGTTCCAAAGAAACGCCGCGCCTACCCGTGTTTGGGCCTAATGTCCGCCCGACCTTCCCACCTCCTCCACGGGACGCTCCGACCGGCGGCGACTGGAACACTCCAAACGACGACTGGGAAGTCTGTACAATCCTAAAAAGTTGAAACTCGGTATCGCTACAAGGAGGTTGCACAGCCAACAACGTCCATCATCAAACACCGGCCACTTTTGAATGGTCTGAAATGCCCAGGAATCCCAGGGGTTGACCCGGACCGCGTCACCTGAAAAAACACCGCCGCACCACTGCCTATTTGTTTCCAAACCACATACGCAGCAGGCATTTCTGCACACTTTCGGCCAGGAGGAACACGAGACGACATCGCATTTCTTAGCCCGATAACCTCTCCATCCACATTGCATCCCACGCACGCAGGAGAAGACCCCTGTCAGAGCCAACCAGGGGATCCTGCAGAGTGCGGACCAACGTCGTACGCAAGCTCACTGATCCGGGGAGCCACCTGGGCAATCTAATCTCAATTTTCTCCTGTCTGTCTGGCACCTGCAATTGCCGCCTATCTGCCGCGATGGGTCGAGTCTCCGACGTCGCCACCTCGGCCTACAGGTCCGTGAGAGGCCTTCTCTTCGGTAAGGCGTATAAGTACGACTCGATTCCGGACGACGAGGCCAGGGATGGTGTTGAGCCGAACGACGACCATCGTGAGACCTACTGGCCTGACCAGAAACGTCGACTTTTCATTCTCGTAATTGCCGCCATGGTTTTTGCTACCCTTCTCTCTCTGGCTCTTGGGTTCAGGTGAGTTCTTGATTCGACTCATTCTTGGTGAGAGTCTATTGCTAACGCCGTCACTTAGTCTCGTCAGCGGCCAGGCGCCCGGTGACGGTGCTGACTCTATCCAGCAACTATGGGGCCAGTACTCCCCCTTCTTCTCGGTGCCGTCCGACATCAGTCCCGCTACGCCCAAGGGCTGCGAGATCTCCTTCGCACAGGTGCTGTCTCGTCACGGTGCTCGTGACCCCACTGCCGGAAAGACGGCCCTCTACAAGGATCTCGTCGACCGCATTCACCAGAGAGTCACTCAATACGGCAAGGGCTACGAATTCATCAAAGACTACCAGTACACCCTCGGCGCTGACGAGCTCACCGAGTTCGGCCAGAGGCAGATGGTCGACTCGGGCGAAGCCTTTTACAAGCGCTATCAAGGCCTTGCCGCCGGCAACGATCCCTTCACGAGATCTTCCGGCCAGAGCCGTGTTATTGAATCGGGTCTTAACTGGACAGCGGGCTTCTTTGGAGCCAAGATTAACGATGGTCATAGCGGACCCAACGGAGGACTCAACTCGCTACTCATGATCATCCCCGAGGAGACGGGCTACAACAACACGCTGGACCACAGCTTGTGCACGGCATTCGAGTCGGGCAGCTTCTCCAAGGTTGGAGATGACGCCCAGTTTACTTGGCGCGAGACCTTCACAGCCCCCATCGTCACGCGTCTCAACTCAAACCTGCCCGGCGTCAACTTCACTCCCGAGGATGCCATCAGCTTTATGCAGTTGTGCCCGTTCAACACTGTGGTGAACGGGACGCAGTCGCAGTTCTGCGACCTCATCACGTTGGATGAGTGGAAGGACCTGGAGTACTACGAGACCCTGGGCAAGTACTACGGCTTCAACGCTGGCAACCCACTTGGCCCCACGCAGGGTGTCGGCTTCACCAACGAGCTCCTCGCCCGTCTGGCGAAGAAGCCCGTCGAGGACCACACGTCGACGAACTCGACCCTCGACGCCGACCGGAATACTTTCCCCCTTGACAAGGTGCTCTACGCCGACTTCAGCCACGACAACGACATGATGAGCATCTACGGCGCGCTCGGCCTCTACAACGACACGGCGCCGCTCAATAAGACGAGCCGGACGTCGGTGCAGGATGCCAAGGGCTTCACGGCAAGCTGGACGGTACCCTTTGCAGCGCGCATGTACGTGGAAAAGATGAGATGCGGGTCGGACGAGGAGCTGGTTCGTATTCTCGTCAACGACAGGGTCGTCCCGCTTGTGGGATGCGGCGCGGACGACTTGGGACGGTGTACGCTGGATGCGTTCCTCAACAGCCAGAAGTTCGCAAAGAGCGGCGGGCTCTGGGACCAGTGTTTTCCTTGATACCCCAAGAGAACAGGCCTTCTTGGTTGCATTTCGGGCATTCGTGATTCTGGCATGAGACGAGGTCGATAGACTATTAATGATATCCCAATTGGAAGAAGACGCTCGCCAAGGCGCTAACCGCAACAAGATGTGTCGAGTGTCAGTCAGTCATTGTCGGCGGCGCTAGGTTTCAGTGACAGGGGCGGTAGGATGATCTCTGCGGGTATTGCTCGTGTGGCAGAGCCAAGGCCGCAATTGATAGCTGTCAAAACCCTCCCAAAGCGCAACTCCTACTCAAGCGTGGTGATATCAGAGGCGTTGAGTGGGCAAATCTTCTGCCTGGATGGAGTTTTCCTGTCAACGGCATCAAGTTGCTGGCATCGTGCATCATTGAAGCACATATATTGTTTAGAGCAGTTGAGCAGATCAGTCCCTAATGATCCTAAGGTGCTGCCAACAGTTGAGCGCCAGGACCAGCACCATTCAATGAAATTGAATAACGATAGAGCTTCGAAAACTGGTTGGTTCCCTCCAGAAACGTGGAATTTCGGCGGACGAGGTTCACGGACATGGTGGTAGAGCGAAACCCGGTCGAGGTCTTGAGGTCCTCACCGTGCGTCCTGCCAGGTCCGGTTCCCCGGAACGTGGTGCCGGACTTTTGGAGTTGGCTCTGAGAGGACGGGAGAACTTGGACTTCCAGTGTCAACGACGAATGCACTCCCGTCCGTCGGTGCTCAACGGACTGGAATGTGCGCCGTCCTAGCACCAGCACCCGCCCGCGCGCGGCCCCCGTTCCCGGATCTTCAGTGGACGGTCGCGGCATGATTGGGCAATGAATGTCTTAGTAATCCACTTAAGAAGCACCTGAGCAGGGTGTTGGCCAAGCTCACCTCTCAGTGTGGAGGAGGAGGTGCGGGAAAACCTGGAGCCTGCCTTCGCTTGAGGGGGAGCCTAATTGCTGGAGGCACTCGGTAATACTTGTACTTTCCCATGCAGAAGTTGCAGCAAACTGGTGACGGAATCCGCGGAGCTAGAGGAAACGGGCCTCTGTAATTGGCAGCTGCCCAATACCTTCAACCTTGGAACCAATCCCTCTCCGCTGTGAAAGACGGAGGTGCAGAACACAGCCCGTCCGAGCTTGCCTCGATTTGCGCTTCAGCCTATCTGCTCTTCGTACCACCACCACCACAGCTTACCTCCAACTTACTCACCAACCAACTTCCGTCACCTCGAACTACCTGAGAAAGAAAGAAAAAAATACCAAGGAAACGGCTGACGGGAAAGCTCGAGTGCTGACCTGGCCTTGCGCACCGCCTCACCTCCTTCGCCAAACAAGGTTTCGCCGGGCTTTGCGTTCTGCTCTTTCAATCATCTTACCTTGCCCTTTTCCGCCTTGTCTACCTTAGCTACCTAGCTAGGCAATCCTCCTCCCTCACAGTACAGCAGTCGCTTGCGCGCGCTTTTCCTCATTGTCCGTCGCTTCCTCGTCCGCGCATGCCACAGCCACAGATCCGGCCACAGTACAGAACTGCGACTTCATGAACCGGACTTCCATCCCCAGCCGGATAACTTCACTTTCCACCACCCACTGAGAAATAGTCTCGTGTCGATTCAACATCTCCAGGCAGACGACGAACGCTCGTCGCAATTGAATCGCAGTCATGGTCAACGCCGCTGGAGGCATCGTCATCGCCATCCTGGTCATCCTCATCGTTGCCGCAATTGGTTGGGTCATCTTCACTCAGCTGCGCGCCCGCAGACTAGGCGTACGTCGAACTCCCCCTTCTCCCAACCATCGTTATTCAGCTATCGCAAGATTTCACCAATGTCGCATGGCATCGCATCGCTTGACCCTGCTAACCAGCTGCTAACAGCTTCCGCCGCCGTCCCTCTCCTCCTACATACCGTTCCGAAAATCCGATCCACCGTCTTACGGACCCCCGCGGCCTGCTCCGAGCGGCATCGTCGGCTGGATCAACGACAAGATCAGCGGCTTCAAGAACCGCAATAACCGCTCCGCCGCCGGAGCGTACGAGGCGCCCTCAGGTGGCACCGCCCGCCGCGGCTTCGGCCCTCTCGACCCTGACGAGGCCTGGGATACCCGAGTCGGCCACGAGGCTGAGACCTACGGCCCCTACGGCAACTATGAGGAGCAAGAACTGGGCTACCACGGCGGCGCCACCCGCGCTGGCGGCGACAACAGCTACAGCATGAACCTGGCCGCTACCCCGGGCGCCCACGACGAGCCGCGGGGCCGCAGCCTGAGCCGGCCTGGCGACGAGCTCAACGTGCCCAAGGGAGGCAGGAATCCGTTCGACGACGATGCGGAGCCGAGCAACATCAGCATGCGAGGCGTGAGTCCGAGACCCATGGTCGATACCGCGCCGCAACAGCAACAGCCACAACACCAGCAACAGCCAAAGGACAACGGCGAGAGTCCGACAGAGCGGAGGTCGATTTTCCGGGAGAACGTATGAGGCGGCGGGTCGGCGGGACCTCAGATTGCGCTGCAACAGTCATTTGGCACGAGTAGAAATTGCGGTCTCTAGAAGGGTCCGAATGGGAAACAGAAACATGGCAGACTAGTTCATACGGCGAGGCGAAGAATAAAGCAAGGCGGCTTGTCGCTGGGCTCATGCGACGATACGTATGATGTAAGGAAAGCGGGCCAGGGAGACGGGTTGGGCAAGGTTTGTGTCACGGAGAGGATGTGCGATATGGTTTTCATGCGAATCCACGGCGTTGGGTCTCACTCTTTCTTCATCTCATTTTTCTTCTCGCGAGAACAATAAATTCATACAACAAGTCGCGATCGACAACCCGGCCTCACCTTGAAATGTCTTGCCCTGATGCAGAGCTTTCAACATCGTTCCCGGCATCCCACCCGGTAGGTAAACCCGTGGACGCCGACGCAAATTGACGGGTCCGCAAATCGATCAGACCACGATGTCAGAAGAGGCGTCTGTGCCGCTCGCTCGTCGCTCGACTTGAGTCTATCGCATGCTCCGTCCGCGGATGACGATTGGTCCATCCTTTCGGTCTGCCCGCCTGATCCGAACGCCCGCCAAGCTCACCCCTCCCGAGAAGTCTGACCTGACAACCGCCCGCGAGCCGGGGTCTAGTGGATGGATGGATTTCTGGAAGACCCCCGGCCAGAAATTGAGAACCGGGGCCGCCTGTTCCAGTTCCCCACACTTCCCGCACGCCGTGACCTCATTCTCCAAACCCCGCCATCATTCCTCCTTGACCTTCCCCTCTACCCCTCCAAAGCTCAACTTGAACCCCAAAAAATACTGATCGACAGAGACGAATTGCACGCCTACAAAACAAAAGCCGACATCGCGAACAGACGCAGCTGATTTCTACAATCGGATCATTGTACGCAAGACACGACAACGAGAGCGGCAAACATGGCGGACCTCAACCTCCAGGAGATCCACGACACCCTCGTCGAGGTCGCGACCGAGGCGGGCAAGATGATCATGGCCGCGAACCCATCATCAATCGACCAGGGAATTAAGCTCAACTGTTCGTGCACCTCCCCCTCGGCTCCCTACCAACATCTCAGCTGATCAATCCCCTCCTCCCAGCCGTCGACATCGTAACCGAAACAGACCAGGCCGTCGAGAAGATGGTCTCAACCCGCCTCCGCTCCTCCTACCCCTCCATCGCCTTCATGGGCGAGGAAACCTACACCAAGGGAACCCGCCTCGGCCCCGAGCCCACCTTCGTCGTCGACCCCATCGACGGCACCACAAACTTCGTCCACTCCTTCCCGGACGCCTGCATCTCCCTCGGCCTCGCCGTCGACCACGTCCCCGTCGTCGGCGTCATCTACAACCCCTTCCAGGACCTCTGGTTCACCGCCGTCAAGTCGAAAGGCGCCTACATGCGCCGCGCGGGCGGCGAACCCCGCCGCCTGCCCCTCGCCGCCAACCCCGTCCCCCTCCGCGGCCTCGACAGCGCCCTGCTCGCCTGCGAGTGGGGCTCCACCCGCGACGGGCCCAACTTCGACCTCAAGGCCGAGACGTTCCGCAAGCTCGCCGCGACCAAGGAGACCGGCGGCGCCATGGTCCACAGCATGCGCGCGCTCGGGTCCGCGGCGCTGAACCTCGCCGCCGTGGCCGCGGGCCAGCTGGACGCGTACTGGGAGGGCGGGTGCTGGGCGTGGGACGTCTGCGCGGGCTGGTGCATCCTCAACGAGGCGGGCGGGCTGATGGCGGGCGGGAACCCGGGGGTGTGGGAGCCCGCCGTGGACGAGAGGGTGTATCTCGCCGTCCGCGGGGCGCCGAGCGGGCAGAAGGAGCTCGTGGAGGAGTTTTGGGGGGTTCTGGGGGATAAGAAGCTGGATTATACTGTTTAGGGGAGCGATATGGGATGGATATTGAAAAGTTGTGTTGGGCATTCTGATTGTCTAGATCTAAAGTGCTTGGATTGATAGAGGACATACATAGACTTGGTGACTTGAAGATGAAATAGACTGCCTGTGGTTGTTTAGCCACAGGAACCCGAACGATAGAACAGAGGGAACTCATCTCAAGGGCAAACGGAGCTGTAACGTTATGACAAGACAATGGGAGTTTCATTGGCAACTTCTCTTCAATTATAGCTACGTACTTTCCGTCCGAATCGTCCGCGGCAGACCGTCACGTTCAGATGAACACGAAATGCGCATGAAGTTGTCAAGGAAACATATCTGCATAGATCAGATGACATAACTTACTTCACATCAAGGTCGGTCTGTAGGTAGTGACCGTCCACCGCATCAACACCACCACCATAAGACTCCGAGGGTATAAAAAGTTCTCGAAGCAGCAGGCACTACTTACAATACTCAAGGCAAAGATGCGGCTATTCGAGATGACGAGTTCCAAAAGACCAATTTGCTGGCTCCGTGATCGCCTCGTACATGTGCTTGGGCGATGTTACGTCGACATACGCTTTCGGGTCAACGGTCAGCCCCGTTCGATGGACTTCCCGCAAATGACTTAATAAATTCGAGTCCGCGGTTGTCAATCTGGCCGTTTTTCCTCCCTCTACCATCACACGGCAGAATGCTGCCAAGACACATCGCCAGAACCGCCAGTCGGTGTGCACGTAACGTTGAGGATCTACATCTCCTCCCTGTTCATTGTTGAGCACACCAACGGCGATTGGCCTGGCGTATGTACCGCTGCAATTCCCTGGTCTTCATCTTCGTCGGCGCAGTATTCTTTGCGTATTCATCATAGGAACAACTTTCCCCACAAACGTACTGGCCCTCTCGTCTTCGAGTAGACATGAGATGAGGTTCATGTCTGGAAAGTCCATGGAAAGGCCTCTCCTCACGGAGAGACATGTTTCCCGTAATTGGCTACTTTCAGACCACCCATCTGACGGCACTGTTTTACAGCAAGTTTCCCTATCATTCATACTGTCGCAGCTTGCTGATATCTGGAACGATTTCGTACCCCTTTAAATAGCACATTGTGTCTGTGACTCCATGGGATTTCGGAGGAAACCGAAATTCGCGATCACGGTACCTATCCACTATTGTGACGAAAGACATGGTAATGCGATTTGTGGACATTCACTGAGGCTTACGCTGAAATGTGTCCACGTTTGTCTTTTCTCGCTCACCCTCGCCCGACATCGTCGTCCCCGTGAGAGCATACCGTCTCATATTCACATAACAGCTCAGCTGAGCGCCCTCGAAACTCTCCCGTCACATGGACGGAATCTCGAGGTCATTGTGAACGAAAGTATTCGCTCAGGCCTGATTGCAAGGCTACACGGCAAGGATATAGTCTCGTCCTGAAGTAATTGTATCAAATGCACCTGGGTTATTCTTTTATAGTGGTTTCGATATCCCCCTGTCCGCACCTCAGTTTGGAATCAACAGCACAGCGTCTTCCGCAGTAGAGCACATCTCATAACGCTGCTTGTGCAGTATTAGCAAGACAATCGATACCGGCCAAGCTGGACACGATGGACCTTTGAGGGAACGTCTGGATACCTTTTCTAACCGCGGCCCGAACTGATGGCTGGCAACAAATCCTCCCATGCGTTTGAGAGTACTCACTGTTCATTGGCGATGTTCATCTTCTGCGAGCTCAAGATACATTTAAGTGTACGACCTGAAGCCTGTCCAACATTTATACTACATCACGACCAACCATACACATCAAACCTTCATAAACAATACCAGTGTCTTCTTGCTCTCTGGCTGGGATTGCTTCTCGCCATATACGTGAGCTCCCGCCTTTGAAACGCAATTGGCTTTCACCCCTTACCCGCAAGAAAGCCTCATCTCATCAACACCCATCACCATCACAACAAAATCCCAACCAAGCATCAACATCCCAATCCCCTTGCCAGCGCACAACACGCTCACTTCCTCCACGTCTCCTCCGTAACCTCAAAAAACACCTCACCACCCCTCCTAACCCCCTCCCACCCAAGCCTCCCCTCAACGAGCCTCACCATAGCCACATTCTCCTCCCTCATCGTCGCCGAGACCCGATCCAGCTGCAACCCGCCCTCCTCCACGCCCCTAAACGCCCACTCGACCGCCAACCGCATCGCCTCGACAGCGAACCCCCTGCCGCGGAACTCTTTATCAATCATGACTCCCACATCGCCAACCCTCACCTTCCCCTCCGTCTCGTTAATCCCTCCAAACCCCCCAAACCCAATCACCCTCCCATCGGAATCCTCAGCATCGGTATCGAGGTAGACCACGACAAGATTCACACGCCCCGGGCCACTCACGACCTTCCCCGTCTCGGCGTCCAGAACGCTCGGCACGCCCGCGCTCTCCCGCATCCGCTCCACGACTTTGACCGCGACTTCGGGCGAAATGGCCGAGGCGTGCGGGTCGTGTCGCGTGTTGTCCGGGTCCGAGAGCACGGCGGAGACGGCGGGGGCGTCGGAGGGCGAGAGGGTGCGGAGGAGGATGGGGTGGGTCGCGGAGCGGAGGGTCGTGGGGAGGTGGGAGGCTGATGTTGTCTTGGGTGACATTTTTGGCCAAAACAGAGGTTCGATATTTGAATGAGAATGTCTTGGTTTTGTTCTTGTGAGGCAGACAGTTCCTCGTCTGTGGATGAGGAATTTGATGCGGGTGGGGTTTTGAGATGAACCGGGCACGTTGTGTAGTCCTAACTGAGTTTGACTGCTACGTGAGTTGAGATGGTCGTGCTAATGAAGCCGTTGTGAGATGCAATCGAAACCTGAAATCGCTGGATCAAAATATTGCCTCATCCAACAAAGTCTCAGACCTTCAACAACCTCTCTTTTATCTTTCCCGTCCTCTCCATACAGAGCCAACCGCACTAGCTCTCTGACGGAAGGATGTGCGGCGCCCTCTTTTCCTCTTCGAGAAGGTCAGACGCGAACCCGCCAACCACCGCTCTGGAAGCAATCAGAAGCTCGTCTTCGCCATTTTGCGGGGAACTGAGGCCAAATTCTCAAACCCTTGCTTGAGTGTTAGTCTTCTAAGATTCAAAACTCAGGCAGCTCTCTCTGACTCAGACGCGGCTCATGATATTGTAAGAGATAAGGAAGTAAAGTTCCATAGTGTCCAGTTTGAGTCTGGCCTGATATCAATTCCGCAATGCAAAAGTATCCCCTCTATGACCTCTAAATGCCCAACACAAATGACCAAGCAACTCAAAACTCCGCCTCTTATCCATCCCATGCTTTTGGAACCAAGTCGTGCCCTCTCCAATTATGCTTGCTTCGCCATGCCATCGTTACCGAAATATTCTTTTTCCATAAATTCGTGTCATTTCAGTCATATTTCCCATATGCATCCATAAATCACCACTTATCAGGACCGAAATGCGACCCCTCGGGGACTGTGTTGTACGAGCAGGCCTGCCAGTCGCAGCCCTCCTTGTAGACCTCGGTCCCCCACCACTTGAAGCCCTTCATATGGCCCGGGTAGATGAAGCCGAAGAACACGACGACGATGCCGAACGCCAGACCCGAGTCCAGCGCCGCGCTCATGGTCATCGTGTACTTGGCCCACCAGGCGCTCTTCCTCCTCTTGACCAGGTAGTTGAACACGTAGCACACTACTGCCCACACCGAAAAGTTGAGCCCCGTCGCGGGGGGAATCCAGGCCATGGAGCCGAAGACGACGGGGAGGTTGATCTTGCGCACGATGCTGTGCTTCCTCTTGCGGCTGTAGAGCCACAGAGGGATCGGCATGATGGCGCCAACGAGGAAGCACCAGACGAGCCCGCGGTAGGTCGCGTTCGGGCCGAAGAACTCGCCCGGGCCGACGACACCCCAGAGAATGGAGCCGTTGAAGTGCACACGCGCGATCGGGCACGTGAAGCCGTTGACGGCCTCCGAGGTGCAGATGCCGCTGACGTTGGCGAACATCCAGTTGAGCACGCCGATCTGTGTGAGGGACGACACGATTGTCGCGACCATCTGGACCGAGAACATGATGCGCGGAGGGATCTTCATGTAGTGGCCCAGCTTGAGGTCGGACGCAAACTTGATGCCCTGGGCCGACGAGATGTACCCATACGTCACAAACACCATGTTTGCGATCGGACGCCCCGGGAACACAACGCCACAAACGAGCTGGCAGATGAGGTAGATGCTGCTGTGCTGATTTGTGACGGCCATGATGATGCCGTTCGGGATGAAAAAGACGGCGCAGATGCCCAATGCAAGAAGCAAGCCGTACCACGGGAGATGGATGGGGTAGCTGTGATGGTTAGACCAAGTCTTCAGGATCGGAGGGCAGAACTCACTACTCAACCACGAACATGCCGACCGCCAGCATCGTCACAAACGTCATCATGTACCAAGACAAGGGCGCGTCCTTGTATCGCTTCATCAGTCGGCAGTGTACGTCTTCCCGGAACAGAAGGTCGGCTTGAGAAGATGACCTTGAAAGGCCACCGCGGCTGCTGCTGAAAGATCGCTGGGGCCTGAGATTCTCAGGTCCGCCCGAAACAGGCTGGTAGACTGCTTGTCCCTCATCGCGAGCTTCCTGGAGTGCCGTCTTCCACGTTTGCCAGATCTCTTTGCCATGCCAGCAAAACGTGTGGGTCAACAACGCGGCCAAGGCGGCAAATTGCACGCCGTAGCTCAACACGTAGGTGATGGGCAAGAAGACGCGGCTGTACTTGCTGTAGGCCTCTCTGTCGAAGAGGAAGTCTTTCGTCAAGATTTTGCTGACCTCGTAAACCTTGCCCTGGTTGTCAAAGACGGACGACGACAAGATGGGCATGTACGACGAGTAGAAGAGGCTGGCGTAGTAGGCGATCGGGGCAACGAGCCACATTACAATTACAAGGCCACCAATGACATTCATTGCGGCCCAGAAAGGCACCAAGAGGGGCGAGCCAATGTATGTGATTTGCGCCCAGTCGAAAGTCAGAGGGAACAGACCGAGGCCAGAAACGACACCAAACAAGTTAGCCACGACGACGTTCTTGGGCGCAAACCAGGTGATGACGTTGAAGTAACTCAGGCACGGCATCAGGAGGCCGGGCAAAAAGTAGAAAGCAAAGGCGCCCAGCCAGACGAGGTAGAAGAACTTCCACCTCGATATCCTCCAGCCGTCTGCGATCCTGTTCTCCTCCTTGTGTAGAGTGCCAAACATGGCAGCCGACATCAAGGTACCGGGCCAGATCATACCGCTGGGCCGCACCAGAAAACGGCGGGTGAGGCCTGCAAAGGCGTACCCGAGAATCTGAGTCGAAAGGATCAGAAGCAGTTGGTAGGTGATCGTTGCCTCTTGGTTGTAGAATTTGGACTGTTCGACAATGACGTCCGTGGCAAAGGCAAAACCGAAAGACACATTGCTGCTCACATAGACGCAGGTGTGCTCCTTCTCGTTCCACCGTCCTTGTGCGAGCCACCTGCGCAGTCGAGTCAAGCGCCTCTTCGGGTGCGGTGCGCCGTCTGCGTCTGGCTGGAGAACGCCGTCCACAAACTCCTCATGGGGGTCGCTCGGGAACTTGAGGAAGTAATCCCACATCAGACCGAGGGGATGGACCAACAGCAAGGCAATGACCGGGGTAATAGCAACACTGGGGTATCGTAAAGAGAAGAACAAGTTTGTCGAAGAACCAAGCACGGAAAACAAAACAGAGAGTATCCACATTCTTGGAGTGTTTATAGACAGGGTGATGTTGTCTGTCGGTGGTACGGATGCGCGCACCACTTCGTGAGGCGAATTGTCCACGGGATCCTCCTCAGGCTCGCTGCCGGTATAGTCGTCGTAGTCCACCTCGTCGTCAGGCGCGTCTGACTTGGCGTCCTCCAGCATGTTAGACGTTACCGGCGCTTGGGTTACGCCGAAGCGCCCATCGAGGCCGGTGACCAGGGCGGCTGCGTCGAGATCTTCGGACAAGCGTGAGCTCTGCCTGGAGGCGGCGGAGTACTTTGACGAGGCTGATCTGGTGGTATCGGATACGTAGCGGAGGGGATGTGCGTTGCCCATCATAGAGTCACTGCCAGTGGGCGACACACTGCGGCTCGGGTCTTGGGAGACGGCGCCGTATGACGGAGCATCGTCGCGCGCGGAGCGCAGGAGGGAGGGTTTCGGAGGCATGGCGCCGTCGTTTAGATTCGGGGAGGAAGGGTCTTGGGTGGGATCGGAGGTATCGTCAGCATGTTCGGCGGCGCTCGAAGCGTACGAGAGGGCTGAAGGACGGCTTCGAAGAGACGGGTTGGATCGTGGGTGGTGGGTTGTGTTATATGGGTCGTCTGCGGTTTCTTGATGGAGAGACGAAGAGGATGCAGAGCTCGAGGCATCAGCGGGTGGCCTGGCAGGGCTGTCGTGCGTGGGAGGGTCTGCGTCTGCAGGAGCAAGAGGGATTGGTTCAAGAGCCAAAGCAACCGTATCGGCGTCAGGGTCGGGAGGGAAAGGCGCCTTTGGTTTGCTTTTGTGGCCGGAGGGTCTTCTTAGGCTCATGACTGTTCACCAACCGATGCCGGTGGCAGTAGCCCAAGACGGCAGGAAGAAGGAAGTGACGGGCCAGAAACAAGACGGAGAAGCAGGGAAGGCCGGGTAGTGTGTGAGTGGACTGTGGACTGTGGACTCTTTGGAGGGGACGCTTGACACAGGACCAGTACACTACCGCAGATGCGAGGAGAGACTTGTTGGTGGGGTGGCTTGTCGAGTCGTCGTGGTCGGGGGTGTGATTGAAGGCTGCCCTCCTTCTCTAGTGCGGCACTGGCTTGTCGGAACGGAACGAGAACCTTGTCAATGCTGCAGCTGCGGTGTTGGGACAGTACGGTGCGCGATGGAGAGCGTATTCTACCGAGTAGAGATGACGGTAATGATGGTCTGTTGTCGCGATTGTTTGGTTTCCAATTGGCGATCGGGCTGTCTCGATTGAGAGACGGGAAAGCTGCTGGGGTGCGGCGCAGGCGGCAGGACGCTAGTGAAGGTGTGGTGCGGGAGCCACAACAGTTGCTTGACGATGACGGGCTTGAAAATGGTTCTGCCAGTCAGCATGCGATGAAAAGCATGAGAAATCAAGAACACGAGGCTTGCGGGTGGTTCACTGGCAGATGTTGTGGGACTCCCTTGCTCGTGCTGGCAGCGCAGCTGGGGCATTTCAAGGTCAAGGACCCGGGATTCTTCTCTTCACTGTGAAAAAAGGCCAAGTCCGTGCCGATTGAGATGGATTGAGATGGGGCAACATTCCTGACTCAACTCCACTCTGCGGCGTTTTGACCGTCCTCAAACTGTGATAAACATCATCACTCTGAGCAATTGGGTCTGCAGTTCAATGTCTCGATTTGAACAGCGGTAAGCATTTCAGCAATGAATCCATTACAAATCCAAACAATATCACTGGCAGTCGTTCCGATGGCACTCTGTACCTGACGGGACGGTGAGATCCAGAGGGTGTGCCGGAGGCGATCCAAGGCACTGGCTGCAACGTGCAGGTGCAGATGCAGATGCACCATGCAACATGCAGCCCAGGAACTCGGAGGACATCCGTAACCAGATGGCAGATGGCAGACGCACATCTGGCGGGCACATGGGTCTGTCTAGAAGGCCACTCTTGCGCGATTGAAGCTGCTCCTAAGACTTTCTAAAGATATCAAGAAGGCCTCTCTCATTCCACCAACAACTACGATGATCCACCGGACCCAACGGCCGTGCGCTTTCAGGGACAGGCTACGGCGGATATAGAAAATATGAAAAGTCCAAGGGCAACCCGAGGCGTCGTCCGTTTGAAAGAATTTGGCAAAGTGCAACGCTTCCCGAGGTGCTCATGCTGATCAGATTAGATAAGCTCGTTTCGTTACATCTTCGCTTCGGTCCGTCCTCAATCGAATTGCACCTGGCCATTGGCTGGGAACATTATCCGTGCCAAGATGCTTTTGCTGCCTCTTCTTCTTCTCCCGATTCAATGCAGACCATCGATGCAGTCGACAAGGTCAATTCGTTGGCACCTGGTCAAGTCTTGACTGGCACTATCAGGGATACGCCGCAAAATTCATTCAACAACAGCATCCAACCAACTTCTTCTCACCACACGCTATCTTCCCTATCACCACATCACATCTCACTTTCTGCTTGGAACCTGGCACTTCCAGCGTGGGATGCCGGAGTCGACTAACACTAACAGTATTTCCAGTTCCGGGCATACCCACGAAGGGATCACACGCCGCCACCAACGACGACGATGATTGATCAGGCATCACATGCAGCATGCTGCACCCATGAAGCCTATTGCCAACTTGCAAAGACCAGCCCGCGAAGATGTTATTCTCCACGGTTTTCAGCCTCCCAAGGTATCGACTATCGCAATCCCATGCTACGCGACAACCCTGTCCTGGGTTCTTTCCCTTTCTCCTCCAACTTCCAAGGCGCTTCTGCTCTAGCATCACCACAAATCACCAAAACAAACACAGCGACCGCACAACGCACGCGCTTGCGGCGGATACCCAATCTGCCACCCAAATCTGCCATCTCAATGCCGAACCCTCCATCCATGAACCCTGCCCGCCCTCACCGGTCGACCTCCGTCCTCTCACGGCATTCCCTCACCGATCCGAATCGGCGGTGACCACAGCAGGAGCCCCCTCAACGACACGACAATCATCAACCAACCAACCACACTTTCAAACAAGACGAAGCCCCCCCGGTCCGACTGGGCGCCATCGCGATCGGGATTCCCGTCGTCAAATGCAAATCATCCGCGATTGCGCGCAGCTCTCTTTCCCACCCTCCCCGCCCCTCCTCCCGGGCCGTTGCATGTCGCGCTTCTGAGCTGTCCGACCTTCACAAAGCCTCCACACCCCAGCCTCAACGCCTCCCGTCACCCGACCTCAACCGTTTCTTCCACGCCTGCCGCCCCGTCAAAGTGACGTGTGTGCGATGACTGTTTGCGCAACGTTGCGACGTCTAGCGCCCCCAACTCAAAGTTGAGTTGACAGGTCTGACGATGCGTGCTGACTAGCGTTACCTAGGCTCGTAGCGTTGAGCCGTTGCATTTTCCACGAGGTGGCGTCTTGTCGGTGCCTGGCTGGTCTCTTTGGGTCCGGCTTGATGGTCCGGATTTCGGACTTCTGTGGCTGGGACCTCGGTGGCTGGTTGAAGCGGGGCCGTGGCCGATGGTGGGTCTCCGCATGCGGAGGCCCCGCCGGGCAGCGTCGGGTGTCCCATGTCGTCCGGATCCCCGTCATTCTCACTTCTGCCTTGGTTGTCTTGCAATATCTCATATGATCCCAACTTCAGGGTTAATTTGGAGACTTTTCGAATTTGTTATTGTTTACACCCACTATCCAACGTCAATCAAAAGGAGAAAACAAACACAGGTTGTAGACGGTGCCTCAGTGTAAAGCCAACGGCTCCAAGTTCGAGATGAAGATGCAGCGAAGGAACCTCTGCCTTCTTGTTTCTCCAATTTATACCACGTTCTTTCTTTCTTCTTATCCACGCGTGTCCCTGAGCCTGTTCACCCTGCTTGTTTGATGCGAGTTCTGTTGTAACAGAAATAATTATCTCTGCGGAAATTTTCCACGAGCAGGATCATCGCTAGGTTTCGAGTTGGAGCATTTGTGAGCCTCTTCGGATCTCTTGAATGTGTTGATTGCATAAACTCCGCAAGACGCTGCGGTCTTGATGGCCCCCATCCGGGTTTTCTTTTCTGAATGCGGTCATCTGCGAATACTCACGATTGAGGACATCACTATCGTCTTAGACCTCCGGATAGTTTGCCGGTTTTTGAATACTGCCGGTATTCTGAATATAAGATATAATTTTTTTTATTGATCTTAAAATGGAGATTCTAAAGAATGATTTCGAACAATTTTCCGATAAACTTCATCACGACTCCCAGATCAAGACAATCACAGAGTCCATAATATCTTCTTCATGTTCCTCATCATCCACCTCCCTCGCCCCCCCTTTCTTCACATACACCTGCCAAACCTCCCCGTCATCCCCCACCACGGCGTCCAAGAACGACCACACACTCCTCACCCCCCTCCACGTCACAATCTCCTTCTGGTCCTCCCCCCTCTCGTCCAGCACGATGCCCTCGCCGAGGGGCAGCTCCGCCTGCAGCCCGTACTGCAACGCGCCCTGGAGCACCGCGCTGCTCGCCATCGGCACCACCTCGAACCCGTCCCCGTAATGCGTGAGCGAGTAGCCGTTGACGAGCACCCAGTCGTCCGCGAACCGGAACCGCTGCAGGAAGCACGCCTCGCCGCACGCCGACGTCACGAGGTGCGCCCTGCCGGCCTCGAGCCGGTGGCGCGACTGCGCGTGCCGCAGGACCAGCGGGGAGATGCCCTGGTCGTAGGCCGGGGCGTGCATGTGGTACAGGGCGTCCCTCGGCGAGTAGAAGCTCGAGAGGACGTGGAGGGGCAGCGCGTCCGAGGCGTGCTTCGTCACGCACTCGTGCAGCGCGCTGTCCCAGGTCGTCGTGTTCGCGAAGGGCGGCCTGCCGGGGGAGAGGCACGGGAGGGCGGATACGATGGCGGCTGCTGGTGGGGTGAGGAAGACGGCGCCGCCGCCGTGGGTTACTGCCGTGTCGTCTTCGACGGACCAGTCCGCGCGCTCGCTGGGGAGGCCGACGTAGTAGGGTTCCTGGGCGTCGAACTCGGAGAGCTCGGAGAGCAGTTGTCCCGGGGTCGGGAAGAATATGTCATCGTCGATGAGGCCGAGATACTTCTTGGTTTGTCCGTCATCTGCAAGGGCTCTGTTGACCTCCAAGAGGATGTCCACCAATTCAAAGTACCTCGAGATCTCGTCGAGACCGTCGTCTAGGATCAGTACTGTGGCGTCGATGCCGACGTCCTTGAATTTGTCGTGTGTTTCCCAGGCCTCTCGTATGGATGAGTTGTGAAGGGCGACAACGACACTCGCCCCGTTCGAACTACCGCGCCCGTCTGTGAGCCATCGCTGCCAATCCCTAACGAGAGAATCATTGGCGTGCGCGAGCCGCTTGTAGGTGGTCGAGACCCCGAACAGCAGATCAGAGGCATCGGTGTCTCCCGGGACTCGGCTTGTCGCGATGGGCAAGATGGTGTCTCCATCCTTGTCCAAAGGCAAGTCTTTGTCGTCCCAATTGACGGATACGAAGTCGCCGTCGGCAAAGACCGTCTGGATGTTGGTCATCGACAGGCGCCGCGATGCCTCCGGGACTGCTCGTACTCTCTGCGAGAACAAGGAAACGTTCCGCTTGAGGCCGTGTTTCTCGACAAGAACCCTCAGATACACATCAGTATCGACCGTGGCTAGACTCGCCTTCTGCGGTTTCAGCACTGGTACAAGAGGATCCGAGTCAATGATCTCGTAGGCATCCTGGCGACTTCGCACCAGCTGGATCAAAATGAAGAGAAGAACGAGCAGAAAAGTGGCCGCGTGTAAGGCCCTGGCTTGGTTTTGGTAATCATAGAGAGGCTGATGCATCTTGACGGCGATTGATGAAATATTCTCGCTTTCCCAAAACCAGCTGGGTCGAGGTCATGGGAGGGGCACCACTCGATGCGAAGAGAAATTCTCCATGGCCATCGAGAAATAGCCATCCTTTTGAGGGGATGTATCGGGGAATGTTGACCTCGATAAAAGGGATGATGGGGGGAATTCAGCTGGGTGAGACATCGTGCGCTGCTCTTATGCTGAGACGCGCGATTGTTATGGTGCATCGATACGCAGAGGGCGGGCCCAAAATAGGAATCCTGTTTCGCAAAACATTTCAGTCGAGGCATGTTCGGGCGGTAGTTTCTTCGTCCTGCATCTCTCGAGGTTGTTTGAGAGTCGAACGGCCGGCCTAGCGCCACGCATCAGGGCTTAGCATCCCCCCATCAACAACGCGGTGTTCGTCCTGTTCTCCCTTCCAGTCTGCACGCACTGACATGGCGCTCTCTCCTCGCCAAGACTAGTTGCGCGGTGACGAGCAGGAGGAGCAGCGCCCGAAGAGCTTCAAACAGCTGTCGTGAATGGTCAAATGGCAGATGGCGATTTCGGCCTGGGAGATGTGGTTGAGGAGGCTCTTTTGCGGGGTTCTCGAGTTACACCCTGCCGACGTCTTCGCCCTTTTGAGGAGTGATGCGCAGTGATTCGGGATCAGCGATGTAATCAAACTCGGGCCGACGGGGAGAGGTTGAGCCATCAGTTCATGAGATGATTCGGAAGGAAAGGACGTGCAACCAGGAAGATGAGCGTTTCGGGCAGTGATGGATGAGAGACGAAACTGATTTCGGGTGATTATCTAAGACGCACGCTTACCCTTTGGAGCATGGCGAGGGAAGCCGGGCCGCTCACGTTGATGCTTCCCGGCCTCATCTTCTCTTAATCAGGTCCCTTAGGTTCCCGTATACATCGACATGAACGCCTCACCAAACCATACCGTGGAGGCCTCGATGGTGATGGCTTCCGTCACACAACCCCTCGCGCAGCATCACACTCTATACCTAAACCCTTGACTTCATCGTCAGTCTCACGTAGGACCTCTCGGAGATATTCTCAGCATCACACCAGACGCTCCTGCTTCTCCACACATTTATTTCTCCTTCCGATGCAGTACGACGGAACGGTGATGCAGCAGTGGCCACGACGAGTTTGCATCGAGGGCGACTGGAAGAACCGTAAGGTATGTGGTTGCACCAAGTGAGGCAGCCGCTGTCGCCTCCTCAGGTCAGTCAGTACCACCGGAACATTCGTCTCTCCGCACTTCATCACTTGAGCTTCATTCTCTCCTCTATCGGTCATCATTATCACCAATATCTCCAAAGACTCTTTCTACTCGGCGATCAACGTTTGTAAACGGCTAGCTGACCTCGAGAGTAGGGATATTCGACAAGTTAATCGTCGTCCCCGACGGAACTTTGCCAGGCGTTCGTCCGGCTTCGGGCCAAGAGAGACACCTCCCGCTCGGCCTAGTTCCCCGTCACAACCAAATGAGCAACGGCTTGGCCTCGTCTTAGGCCGCTGCAAGAATGTGAAGCCGCCCATCCGCCCGCCAAAGCTACACAACCACGCTTCGCACGCACGCAGTGTGCTACCAGCTTTCCGGCCTCTGCATGGCAAAGGAGCAGAATATCCCGGAGTCGATGCGTACAGCCGTCACTGCACCCTTCTTCGCGTCGCACCGCCGCATGGCGACCTCGCCACTTCTTCTCCTGTCACCCTCTGCGGTGTCACCGAGACAGCTTACGCTCATCTGAAACCGTGATGGCATCTTTTCCTCGCGGATTCTTTGACGAGCCGGATTTCGTCTTTCACGATTTGGAGCTTCACTCAGCTTCAGAAACGACAGAGTCTGACGACCCTTGCTGATTGCCAAGCTCTGACATCCAAACGCGGGAGCTCTCGTCAGGATCTGGTGGGGGTTTCGGCCTGCCCCTGGAGCTGTCATCATGAGAGAATCTTCGACAAACGCCCAGGTACCCGTTCATCTTGTTGAGGCGAGGGCTTGAAGAGCGGTGATCACGCTGTCGCCCCTGTCCCTGCTACATGACTTGGCCATCTCGTTAACTGACGGTCCACCCATTTTTCCATATTTCCGTTTGCAATTGCGCTTGGCCTGAGCTTCGCGACCGCGATATTACCATCGACTTCTGCTGCCAAATAGCGGTGCGCGGGAAGCCGCATCAACCTAATGCCTGGCCAGATATTAAACGCAGCGCTAGGCAAGGGGGTTGTTGACTCGACCATGACCAATGCCGGTCTCCATTCCCCAACGTACCATGCTTGGGCGATCTGATGCTATTCCCAGCATCACTGCAGCAACTCGGCCGAGACGCTACAGACAACGTCGAGAACCGCGGTCAACTCATTTCGGGTTCCAGAACGTCGTTCAAATTAAGCCGCCCATTACTCGAACCCCATATTCTTTCTGGTATGCCCAACAAGTCAACCGGCCGGGAAGCCATGACGCTTTGGCCTCTTCAACACGATTGTACACGCCAGAGCATGGGTTGTGCTTCCAGATGGGGCGGCTTCTTGTGCTTCCCATCGGACATTTTCTTTTCTTGTGCTTGTACACCTGCAAGCTCGTGGGGGGGAACAAGGACCTTCTAGTGACAGCTGCAACCACCCCCCAAGGACAGCTATACGGACGGAGGAGCCGACTATACTTCTCGAAGAGCCATAGAATATCTGACGAAAGGCATTGGTCTGCCTACGGATATGCACATAGGCTGGCCACAAAGAAAGTGACCTGGCTTTGGCGGTCTGACGAAAGACCAGCCACCATTTTTGCGTGAGTTGTTGCCTTTCTCAAAAAGGGGTCAAGGCTCATAACGCATACTGGTATGGCAAGGCATCAGCCATGGCAAACCGAAATTCGACATCGTCAGCAAAGCACCTTCTTTTCCCACGAGATTCTGAGCAGACGACCAGCCACGTGTGTCGAGTCAAGTTGACGTTGCCCTGAGATCTTCAACGTTGCAGAAGGGCCAGCTTTGTTCCACCATGTCGACCATTCTGACAGGCTCAGTGGTCCAGAATGCTCTTCATGCAGCCGTCCGCGAGTCCACTCTGAAGAGCCCACTCCCGTACACCTCCAAACATGGTGTACTTGCCCTGTTTGGTCGCCGCGGCGCGGGAGTCGCAGTTGTATTTGCGCTGGCAAACCCGTCCAATGACTTCTGATGCCTCTGCGGATGAGCCCCCGGGGTTCTGCTGTGAAGCCCCTTTCGGACCAGCGCCTGAGCTGGTGGCATCTGATGAAACCCGTCTAGTCTCGATCTCAGGCCTACGACGGTCATGGGGCGTGTGTGTGATATGTGTGTGTTGAGTGGTGTGTGGCAGTCTCTGACTCCCGCATTCGACCCTCCAAAAAGGCTTGGCTTCTTCAGTCACTTCCAGCCTTCTTCTCGGCAAAGGTGCGGAGACCGCTGCGTGGAAACTTCGCCGGGGCCGTTTGGCACATCCGGTCTTCAACCACGGAGACGACACACCCGATAACTTGCGGGCAGAAAACACAAAACTTCCAGACTCACCCAAACTCTATCAAACTTGAAGCCTTCGACCTAGCAGTCCTTGGAAGAAACATATCACACCGCTCTCAAGTCGGCATTTCTGAAGTATTCTCACCTCGTCACCCAATCACTCATCTCTCACTTCGTGGCTTCACCTCGATACGGCAAAAGAAAAAGCGGTGGACGGGCACAAACGGAGCTCTGAATGCTGAGAGGTCGATTCCAAGACACCGCAACAAAGAAATCTGCACCGAGAGCGCCGAAACCCCAAGCAAGACCCTCCCCGAGCCCCGTACTGGGACTGCAAGCTCCGTTGCAGAATTCTTGGTGTCTCCCAAGAAAGACGACAATCTCGGGCCCCTTGTCCTGGAAAACTTTTTTGCCTTGCCAGCCATTGCTGCACACCCCGTGGACGGTGAGGCGCCAACCCCCGGAGGAGCGAAGACGTAAGGTGTTTGTCGATTGCCAAAGGGGAAAGCCCGGTCGTCTCCATCCGCCTTTCTACCCAGACGGGGTCTCTCTCTGTATTCCTGCAGGACTTGTCTTAAGTCTCCCATCTTTCCCACTCTCCTTTTAGGGAACAAGTCCCGCCTGCGCCGGTTCATCAGAACCAGTTCCCGCATATCGCAGGATTACACCGCTTCCAAGACATCCTTCGCCCGCCCCTACTACAAACGAGCCGGCAAGATGCTTTCAGTATCTTCTCTTCTTAACCCGTCGCCCCCGGGGCCGCTTCCTGCTCCTCGGTTCCTCCCAAGTCCTGCCATGTCCTCGCCGGGAAGCTGCTACGCGGAAACGGCCTCGTCACCTTACTTGGACCGTCCAGTCATCCCCAAGCTCAAGATGTCCAAGGAACAGCCGGCCCCGATGTCAAAGTACAAACCGCGAGGCGTCATCAAGTACTTCCCCTTCGAGAACGTCGACGAGCTGAGCCGAAGGGAGGTGCTTCGTTTTCGTGTCACCCCCTTTGGCCGGATCCAGGAGTCCTGCGCCCATATCCCATACAACAGCGGCAAGAAGGACTTTTTCGAGAAGACGGGTCGTGAGAGCTTCGAAGGTATGTGACTCTCGGTGTCGAAGGCTGCCCTTTGCTGACGGGGTTGTCTAGTTTTCAAGTACGAGTTCAAGGTCCCTGGAGAGGAAACCGATTTCACCGTCATGTGGGACTATAATGTTGGGCTTGTCCGTATGACTCCCTTCTTCAAATGTTGCAAGTATTCAAAGGTGAGCCTTCCAGAACCGACGGTTTGTCGTTCAGAACTGATGAGTTGCAGACCGTACCAGCAAAGATGCTCGGCCTTAACCCGGGCCTCAAGGACATCACCCACAGCATCACCGGTGGTGCCATCGCTGCTCAAGGTGAGTTCAGTGAAATCCTGCGTGTTCTTGTCAACAAACTGACACCGGCAGGCTACTGGATGCCGTATGAGTGTGCCAAGGCAGTCTGCGCAACTTTCTGCTACAACATCGCGGGAGCACTGATCCCGATATTCGGACCCTCCTTTCCGTCCATGTGTATCCCGCCCGGATCCCCCGACTACCAACGCATGGTCATCGACCCCCGCATCGTCGAGGACGCCATCAGAGAAGCCGACCTCTCCCGCAAGGTCCAGCAGCACCACGGGTTCCCTTCCGCCGCCCACAACCCCCTCCCGAGCATCGACCACCGACCGATGCGTTCTCTCCGGGACGACAGACGGTTACGCCTCAACACGCGTCTGATGAGTCCCTACAGCGACACCGAAGGAGAGGGCCACCGCTCCTGTCCGGACTCCGCCTCGAGCACCGGCTCAGATAGTATTAGCTACACCTACGGCTACCACTCGGGGCCTCCGCCGCCGCCGCCCCATCGCCACCCGCAACCGCCCACGTCCGGCTCGGGCTGGACCCCCGCGAACCGCCCCGAGCCTTACCGCCTCGTCGACGAGAGCTACCGCTCGCCCCATCCATACCTCAGTGCGGTCCCGCGCTTCACCCCGCTGAACAGACACCACACCGCCAGTACGCCTCGTCCCCTTTGGAACAAACGGCCCATCGATCATGATGACAGCGAGAGCGGAGTAGAGAGCAGCACCGCCACAACCACCAACAACAGCAGCCCGGCCTTGAGCTTCGTCTCGGAGCAACGGAGGGACGACGAGTCGGACGTTGAACTGGCAGAGCAGAACGCCGCCCTCGGCCTCATGACGCTCCGCACCACCGCGGGCCGGAAGGAGCCCGGGTACCTCAGCGACCTGGACAGCCCGGACGCGCACCGCGCCAAGCGGCGGAGGGCCACGTCGGCGTAAGGTGGATGGGTGGAAGCAAACAGATGGATATGATGTGCAAACGTAAAACCCTAGATTCCCAGCCTCGCTCGCGCAAATGTCATGTTTTACTCTCTTTGGGATGGATGGGTGGGAGGACTTCGGAAAAGGGGTGTTAGACTAGGAACGACTCAGGTCTCATGATGATTTATCAAAAAACGTTCTCCGGTTCGGGTTGGGCGGCGCAGTGTCGATGATTCTTTCAAGGACGAGAAAAGTTTTATCTAATTTACCAAAATTCCCAACGCCATGTCTTTCTCTCTGTCTCTTGAATATCATACCAGTCATGACCTAAAACCACCCCATACCAACCGTCCAGAACCTCATAAACAACCCAAGCACATCATCTTGGCTTTCACTTCTTCTCCGCAGCCTTCTTCACCTTAAACTCCTCAATCCACTTCTTCGCCTTCCCCGACGGCACGACGTAAACCCTTACAATCCCATCCACAACCTCCACGTTGCCCCCGCTCAGCACCTTCAACAACACCGCCTTCTTCCCGACCTTGACCAGCCCGCCCTTCACCGTCTCCATGTAACACTCCACCCCGTCGACCGTGTACTCCCCCTCCCGGTCCCACGGCGTCGGCAGGATGTACGAGAGGTGGTCCGCCAGGCACTCCCTCTCGCTGAACGCCTTGATGAAGTCCGACTCCAGGTGCACCGGGTACAGGAACACGGCCGGGAAACTCAGACTGCTCGCCGGGTCGTCCTCGTCCGGGACGAGCTTCATCCGCGCGTCCTCCATCTCGGGCGGCTGCGCCGTCTCCCGCGTGCGGATCGTCCGCGCCGCCAGCGCCGCCTTCAACAGCGCCGCGCGCCTCTTCTCCCCCGCCACCCGCTCCGCCTCCCGCTTCGCCTTCGCGTCCGCCGCCTCCGCCGCCTTCACGATGTCCCGCGCCACGGCCCTGAGGGCGTTGTTCTCCGGGTCGAGCGCCAGCCCCCGCGCGCACGCGTCGTCCGCCTCCGCGATCCGGCCCGCCCGCAGCAGCGCCCGCGACGAGCGGTAGTACGCCTTGACGTTGCCCGGGTTCAGCCGCAGCGCGAGCCCGCAGTCCGTCCAGCAGGACCGGTTGTTCCGCAGCTCGAGCTGGCACGCGGCGCGGTTGACGTACAGGCTCTCCAGCAGCGCCCTCTGCGCCGCGACCTCCTCCTCGTCGTCCTCGACCTCGACCTCCCTCTCCTCGGCGTCCTCGCCCTCCCCGCTCTTCGCCTTCTCCGTGTGGAACGTCTTCTCCCCCCTCTGCCTGGTCCTCTCCTGCGCGGCGAGGATCTCGATGCCCTTGGTGTAGAACTCCTTGGCGTCGGCGAACTGCTTGACCTTGAAGCACTCGTTCCCGCGCTCCTTGAAGTCCTCGCCGTTCTCGCGCGGCGTGCCCTCGTACGCGAGGGCCTGCAGCGCCGCGAGGTCGTCGTTCTCTTCGAGCTCCGTCATGAAGAGCGGCGACTTGTTCAGGTCCGCGAAGATCTCGTCGGCGGTCTTGCCCGAGTGGAGGGCGTGGCCGGGGGGTAGGGCGGCGCCGCGGTCCGCGCCGGGGACGGAGGCCGCGGCGGCTGCGGCTTCCTGTTTCCTGCGCGCCTCTTCGGCGATGAAGGCGTCGGCCATTTGGTCCGTGAGTTCTTCGATTTGGACCATTTTTGGGCGGATTTTTGGATGTGTGGTTTGTTGGAGGGGTTGTTTTTTTTGGCGGTTGGCCGGGGATGTGGGGTAGTGACGTCTCTTTCCTATTTTTTCCTTCTCTCTCCCCTCCTTTTCAGTTGATTGACGTGAAAATGAGTTGATTTTGTATTTTCTGCTTTCGCCGTGTGCTAATTTGAGTGATGCAGTCTCTCACTTGATCGGTGTGATGTGGTTGTGAGTGGTGACTCTTACCGTGAGAGTGAAAATTTTGGAGGGGTATGAGTGAGTTTGGCTGTGGCGATTCTCATTGGTGCGCAATGCGCGAAACCCCCCCAATTTCTGGAGTTTGATGGAGAAGCTCAGAACCTCATCGAAGTTCAACTCGAATCCGATCATCATTAGTCCGATTTTTTAGTTTCCCATCATCCGATGAACACATGAAATTAAGTTGAACTTAGCATGTACTATCGGATTGCAAGTTTGATCTCACTCAGTTCGTCATGTTGCCAATGATTCAAACAAGTCAGTTCTATTAGAGCGCATACGCCATGAAACTGACTATTCCCAGCGCCTAAGCAATGCCAATCCGGAACTCCTTCCTAACCAACCTTGCCTGCTTCGGATATCTTTGTCTATACGAAGAAGCGACCCATTTGAACTCCAAATTTTCCAAAACTCCAGAAACAAATCCCTTGACGCCGTTCATGTTTTCCGCGCTGAAGCAAACAAACTCCCCATCTATCCCCGTCGCTATTTTTCGTCGGATCCAGTCGTGAAAGTCTTTTTTTGAAATCTCAATCGACCCCGTAGCCCTCTTCCGCGGGCATCGAATTTCCTCGTGCATCTCATGGCCACTCATTCATGACACGTTCACTCGTCGTCCGAAAACACCTCAGTGACTGACACGCGGGACTCCTTCTTGTGCAGAATGGGTTGGGCCTCCTCCTCAAACAGCTCGTCCTTGCGCTCGCGCTTCACGGAGAAGCACTGGATCGCGCCGAAGACGGCAACCACAGCGCTGCCATACCACGCCAATGCAGTGCAGTCGACCTTGCTTCCCGCCGTGTACAGCCATCCGGCAACGGGCGGGGCGATCATGCGGAAGCCGGCAGCGGCGCTTGCTGCCAGGCCGTTGACCTTGCCGAGAGCCTTGGGGTCCGGGGTGGCCTCCTTGATCAAGATCAGAAGGAGAGGGTAGAGGATGATGGAGAGGACGTTTCGGACAGCCAGGCAGACGTAGATGCCGGCGTAGAGCATCGAGTCGGGAAGGAACAGCAGGTTCGGGACCATGACGTAGGCAATCGGGTGCAGAACGGTGACGATGATGAACAGGCGGTAGACACCAAGCTTCTCAGCGGCGAAGGGGAAGATGACGGCCTGGACGAACAAGGCGATGACACCGTTGACGGCCATGATCATGCCCACGGCACGGAGGGACAGGCCCAAGCCACCGGGCGTGTAGAACGGGCTGGAGGAGGAGGTGAGGATGGACATGGGATCGGACGAGGCGCGGTCGTCTTCGAAGAAGATGGGAAGAAGGTGGTCGTAGGTCATCGAGTGGTAGGTGAAGATGCAGAGGGCGGCAATGAGCGAGATGATGGGCTTGGTGTAGATGTTGTAAGGCTCGAACTTCTTGGTGGCGTTCTGGACATCGCGGCCTCGGAGGGTGCCGTAGTTCTCGTCTCTCATGTCAACAGCCGGTCGCTTCATAGCATCCATCGTCTCCAACAAGGGAGTCTCTTCCGACGCAAAGGTCTCATCTGGGAGGGAAACGCGGGGCTGCATATCGGGGTGAGTCTCTTCCAGAAGGAAGTAACCGAGGATGATGCTGACAAAGAGCAGGGCGGCGCAGACGAGGTTGGGAAGCAGGTAGGGGTATCGGTAGAACAATCCATCAACAGGGAAGACGTTGGGGAAGGCATCGTGGGGGTTGGCAAAGGTACCTCCAATAAAGGGACCAATGATTGTACCGATAGACCACACAAACGGCATGACCGAGAAAGCGCGAGCTGCATTTATTTAGCAAGTTGTATAAGTGAGGATGCTGGGAGGTTCATCTTACGCTCATGTTCTGGCTTGGTAACCAACTCGCCGACCATGGTCTGAATAACACCGATGTTGCCGTTGAGGAGACCGCCAATGGCTCTGCCGATCAAGGCGATCCAAATGTTGGAGGCGAAACCGACCATGACCATGCTGAACATGGTGCCGATGCATCCCAAGAGCAGTACGGGCTTGCGTCCGATACGATCAGACAGACCACCCCAGTACATGCCCATCAGGGCCTCCGCGAGGGAGAAGGAGGAGATGAGGAGGCCGGCGTAGAAGGATGCATCTTCAGCATTGCCAATCTCGAATCTCTTAACGAGTGCCCAAGCATAGGGAAAGATGGATGTGAGGGCAATGGGCTCGGCAAGACGGACGATGGCTGAGAATGTAGTGTTAGCAAGGGTGAACAGCTGGCACGCGGGAGTGAAGCGCGTGGTTGTAAGGCGAGACACGACCAAACAACATCAACAGCGGGAATGTGAGACTTACCAAGGAGGAAGAGCTGTGCGGCGGGGAAGTCGTCAGGGTTGCGAGGGCTTTTCTGGTTGGTTAGGGCCATTGTCTCTCGACTTGATTCAAGTCTTACGAAGCGACAGAACACTCGACTGGAAACTACTGGAACGTAGGAACAAGAAGAATGAGTTGTCGAGATGCGTGTAGGGTCTTCGTTCTACACGTTCCTGATCTCCTGGTCCGGCGGCGGGAGAGTATTATACGGCAGAGAGACACAGTTGAAGAGGCGTCGTCCGTTCTCAGATGTCGATGATGGAAGAGAAGAGGGGAGGAATGTAGCAAAGAGCGGGAGCAGGAAGGGGAGGGAGGTAAATATTGATTCCTGGAACGTGGATCCCGTCCGAGAACGATAACGGCTTTTCGGGGCGTGATAAAAGCGCTTGCAGAGAGCCGGGGTGTCGGACGGAGCTAGAAGTAAAGAAGGATGGCGGATGAAAGCGGGAAGCAGTGCCGGAGGGTGCGTGGTAAGTGTGAAGCGGGTGTCTTGTTTCTTGGTGGGAGGAATGCAGATGACGGGCGACGGGCGGTGGTGGTGGAGGAGGAGGAGGAGGAGGAGCAGGAGCGTGGAATTTTTTTTTTTTTTGATACGACTGAGCCAGCCGGGTGACTTACACCGTCCTCGACGCCAACAACAGCACACAGTGCTGCAGCGGGTAGGTGGGGCGTTGAAGGACGGTGCTTCCATCACTCAATGAGTGAAGGCGCGGTTTCCAGACCGACGGCTAGCAAGCAAGGTTATGGCCTGGCTGCAGCAGCATTCGCCTTTTGCTGGAGACTTGAAAAGTGGCCACAGCTGTCTAGGCCCGGTTGAACCTGCTGCAGCCTGCAGGCCTGCAAGATGCACGGAGCAGCAAGAAGCAGGGCATGCACAGGCACAGGACAGGCATCTGCGGGTTCCGAGAGCTCAGACATTCTAACTGCATAGCGGCAGCGTGTGGACAGGGTTAGGTATGCAGATATGCGGGGTGAAAGAGCGGATTCGGCCTGGGATATTTGCATGTGGATAGGTATCAAGTGGGTAGTGGGTATGCGGGTGACGGGGGATGGATCTTGCGCTAGTTTCTTAGCGTCAATTCTGCCGCACGGGCCTGGAAGGAATATCCGCTTGCAAGTTGCGCTAGTTCCTCATGCAGTAGCTTCCACTGACTGTCGTGTGTGCGCGCAAAAAAAAAAAAAAAGGGTGGTGGTGTGTGATGGTGTGTGGTGGACTTTTTTCTTCCTCTCTCTCTTCTCTTGCGAAAAATGGAAGGCAGTGTTCGTCGTCAAGCAAGGATGCCGACGCCGGCTGTCGGTTCCTCGGACGAAGTAGGGCGAACTGCGGATGCTCACCACGGGCACCACTACCGCAGACTAACGCGGCACACTTGAGACGGCTCTGTCTCCTATTTTTCATCTCCCCTTCTTTCCTCCTCGCCTCTCGCCCGCTGACCACATCACACGCACATCTGTCCTGGGATCTTCGAAACTCAACGGCCTGTCAACACACTAAACACGCCAATGCCGGCCACCACTGACTGAGTGGTTGGCGATAATTCTCCGCCCCTTTGACATTGGACGATGAGTTGTTTCTGGCAGCTGCCCCTCTCGAACTCGAAGAGGCAATTCATTCTCACCGAAAACCGGCGCTGGTGCTGGCTCTGGCTCTGGCTCTGGCTCTGGTTCTGGCGTTGGTGTTGGTGCAGGCGATCCCAGCCAACTCACCTCTCAACTCGTCTTCACCATCTGTCGAGTCATCCACTTGCCTCCTGCCTCGCCTTCCGCAGTCATGGATCGCCAATGTCACCAATTCACCACAGCGGATCAATGCCGATTGTTCCACGCGACAGCGACTGCCACTGCCACTGCCGGCCCTGGTCCACGTCTTGTCTACCCTGTTGGACCGTTGGCGTGACTGCCCGGGTGTCACGATCTCACCCTCAAGGGTTACGAGCTCAAAACCAAGATGCTGCATAACACGGTGGACATAGACTGAGAAGAGAAGACGAGGCTCCACGGATCATCAGTTTTGGACTGGTCCAGACGGTCTCTTCTCGTCTGTCTCTGGCGGCTCGGTTGACTGCGAAATTGCTTACGCTGGCCCGCCCTGCTGTTTTCCCCAGTTCAATGGCCCAATTCTGCCATGGCCCGGGGTGCTATTGGCTGGCGCCTCCGGGCCTTCACAGCACTTGAGACGGTTGATTGGCCCATGCCGTTGAGTGCTGCTTGCACTGTGCTGCTGCCCCAGTTTTCGGTTTTCCATTTCGCCTAAGGCACTTAGCACTTAGCGTGCGCCGCATCCTTGTATCCGAGTTTCGTTAGTCATTGGCCCTTTTCATTGGACAACGCACACAACTCCTCCTCGACTCGCCTTCAAGTCGGTTTCTTCTCCGCCACCGCCAAAACACTCCACGTCCAGAGACCACTTCTCTCACTTTCGATCACCATCCGTTTTTTTTCCCTATTCGTATGCGCTACTGCGACGCACCAGGTGCACACTTCAGACGACGCCAAACCATTGTCGCAAATCCACTTGATGGAGGGGAACTGCTTTCTACCTTACTGCGGTAGTCGCCTGACAACGGCTGTTCCCATTTTCGTCACAATTCAAGAAACCAAAACGCTGCTGACTGCCCGCTGTCATTTTTTCTCTGTCGGTCGAATGCGACCGCGAAGACGACGACTAGCAGTCCTTCGCATGCCTCCAATTTCCTGTTTCAAGAACAGCCAGCCTCGGACAGCCACCCTGCCTTGGAACATCACCACCACCACCAAGATGCGGTGAAGACGAGGGTCAAAGGCATGACGATGTTGTGGAACCAAACCATGGTTCAGGTCACTCGCTGCGAATGGACGACGGGTGAGGCGATCGGTGCAAAGCGTAGGAGATCTCGAATCCAGTATCAGCTAGCCTCCGGGCCTGGCTCGAAAAGACGGAGACTAGAGTCTAGAGAGCAACAAGCCCCAGTTCGCGACGAGTGCAACAGTGGGCAAGACAAGCGGCAGTCATCCCAGCATTGGCACCAGGACCGGGACAAGGATCGGGGCCTGCAAAGACTGTGGACAAGCCCGGCTATCCACTTTGCAGGCCTCTACCCTCCAGCCGACCCCAGCACCACGCCGACCTCGGTCAGACCCAGTCCTGGTCGTCGCATCTGTTCTGTTGTTGACAGGCGCAAGCAACACGCATCCTCAGACGTTCTGCTTCGCCCTGCATCACCATCTCGTCACTCTGGCTCTGAGGAGGTGGTCACCACGCATGGCTGCAACACGCGCCTGGCTCATCAAATTTCCCGGGACACCTCAATCATCAACGCCAACAACGGCTGCAGTGTATCCTGCATCCGGCCATGCTGCAGCAAGAGTGAGATGAGCCGAACACGCAGCGCATGTCGTCTCATTTCCATTCGTGGGTGGTCTGTCGGCAGCCCACCTTGAATCAGTACTTTGGGCCTTTTGTACGAATCTCATCGTCGTCTACGAATACCTAGTCCATCTGCGAGATAACGCTCGCATTCAACGCACGGCAGCACCGCCGCACCTCGGGCCTTATCTCACTGGGCATCTCCTCATCTCAACTATCTCGTTAGACCGGCATGAAATTATGCTTTTCGCCCTCCCTCTTGGTCGACTGACACGCACCACCAGCACCTCGCTAGCGCCGCCCGCAGCCCGTACCGTACCCACCGCTACATGCGCCCACATGCGGCGCCGCTAGAGCTGGAGCCAGAGCCAGAGCCAGAGAATCTCGGATAACCCGCTTAATTGCATCTACCGCTTATCCTCTTTCTTCTCCTCGGTAACACACTCCCGTCGCCGAACCTCCATCCTTTTTTCCCAACACGAGCAACTGGGCCGACCATCCAACTCCACCGACTTTTTGGCCAGCCTGTCCTCCCTCCCACCAATTGCCCTCACACCATGATGGACGGCTTACGGCGATTGCGCGTTCCTCCTTTCAGCTTCAAACCATCTCTTCAGAATCGAATGCCGTCAAAACACCCCTCTTTCGTCGACGTTGAATTTGTTTCTCGACGCCCCGCATCCCCCATCTGCAGGCATCATGTTCCGGTTGACCCCATGACAGGGTTCTTTATGGGAACTTGCGCTAGTTCCCGTTTGGGATCCTGGAGGGTGTGAAGCCCGTGGCGAGTGGGGTGGGTGGTACTCAGCCGCCAACGACACTCTTTGACTTTGTTTCCTCTCGCACGTGTACAAGTCTACAATGGTAGATCACGGCACTGATGCTAGTCAACAAAGACTCGAGATGGCGGCTATTCGATAAACAGCCACCGAACTTGTTTATTTTTGACTTTGGGCACTAATTGCGCCGTTTTGTGGTTCTTGCGCTTCAACGGTGATCGCCTACATAGTACGCCAATCATCGGCATGCCCGTACCCAGCAGGCGACATGCGTGTCGCGACAACCGAAATGGTCGCCACCTCTACGCAACCAGTGGCAATCAAATGCATTCTGGTTTGGAATCCCATTTGGCGCCGTCGAATTTGGCATTCCCAATGCCGATGCTTAATTCGCAATTAGGACGGCCTTCAACGGCCAAAGACAAGGGTGTGTGCCATGGTTCCTGAAGTCGTGCTCCACCACCCCCGCGCACGCCATCCTGTAGGGCTCTGACGTTCTCGCGAACCCCCACGCTTCGACGTCTACATATGAGCCGCCTTCAACGTCGTCTCATCTTGGCTACGATCGCAAGTTATTGGGCTTATTTTTACTAATATTTCGGTTTGGTCCGGCGCGAATTTACTTACCTCTTTCGACCAGTACCGATCCAAAAGTTTGTCTCGGACGACTGACTTGTTGATCTCGATGCCAAGCGGGATACTTGACTCAGAACTGCACAGCAAAAATTGCAGATCATGTTTGGCACCGCTTGAGTCGATCAGGAACACAAGCCGTACCAAGCGAGGTTTTGCGTAACCACGCTGACTTTCCCAACGTTGGGGCTTCTGCAGTGGCCCCGGCTTTGATCGGCCTTGGTTGCACGGTGCCGATGATCGGTCTGACCTGGGCGCAATCGCTCTCTTGTTGAGACATGTGAACGGTGATCGGCCGTTACCTGGTCTTCTCGGAGACACGTAGCCGCCCAAACCCTATATGATCAGCAGCTACCATGCGTGGTGCAGATGCTCGTCGCCGTTCTACATGTTCCCACGATTGGAATGCATTACTTCGGCTCTCATCGGTTGTCTTCCCCTGACATTCACATCTCATCAAGAAGCGCCGAAATTTTGTGCTACATCAAGCGGAAGCAAGCCAAGGGACAGACAACATGAATAGCTGGTAAGCAGAAGACACGATGTCGATGACAAATGTAGTGACTGATTCAACAACAACAAGGGAACATCTTCATGATAACGAGGACGACGACGACGACCAGATCGATAGAGAGAGACAGCAGAGACATCTCTCAAGATGATTCCCCTAGAGCCCAAGGTCGTAACTTGGCAGAAATTCATTGCCCTCTGACCCACATCAGCGATCATCACAGTGGTGCGCCCCCTATGCCGTATCTTTCGACTCTCGGTGTCCGGATGTCGAATCACCTTCCACAGCAGATAGACTGTCCCTGCCGAGGGCTGCGCTGCTACCACTGGAGTAGATCGACAACTTTCTGCGCAGCCAGAGGAGAATTGATTTTGCGACCGCCGTATCTTGGAACAAACCACAAATGCTTGAGCGAAGAGAATGTCCCTAACAAGAAATGCTCCTAGTGTCATCAACACGTCTGGTCGCATGGAGACTCGCAAATGAATGCATTCGGCGTAGTAGCTAGCCCGTTCGTTATCGAGAACCGCCTTCAAAGGCACCATGACTTCCAAGCTGAACTGAAAAAACTCCTTACGTTGTGTGCCGTGCTGAATTGCCAGTCCCACCGTCTGAACCTCCCTGGAATGCCCCCATGGCCAGTGATGCAATTCATTAAAGAGTATCTGTGTGGTTCGACGCGACGCGCTCCTCTCCCAAGGCGCCCCGGTATCAAGGGCTAGACGACGTGCCTTGCCAGTTCTAAGCATAGTGAAGCCCTTGAGAATCCGCGACATCGTCGCAAGACTACAGAGCGCATGTAACAGGGCAAGGCTGGTCCAGGGCGCTCTCACTCTCACACTCACTACATGTCGTAAAAGTTCGGTGGTTGATAATGGGTGATTTTCTTCCATATGTTTATTTTTCGGTATTCGAAGTCTTTCGCATGGTGAGTTCCCCTTGGAAAACTTCGGGCCATGCAGAGTGGGCTTTATAGTATATCGTATTCTTTGCTTCCCCTTCCTTCTTCGGGTGTTCTCATCTTTCATTCTCGAGGTTGAGGCGTAATGAAGACATGCAGCGTGGATTCCTTGCCGGTGTAGGTTGGTGGATAGACGAGACGTGACGCCACCGAACATGCAGGTTCAAAACTACGTCTCTTCCTTGATTCATATGATGAGAAGACTGTATAGGTATCTCTAACAGAATGAGACCCTTCGACGTTCGGATGTTGTTGCCTCCCATCGACGAAAATCAAGAACGCGAGGAATAACCCCTTCCATGAGCCTGATATCTATCTCCATCCGAAATCAGACATTCAAGACAAATTCATCTCTCAAGTTCCAGTTATAGCGATCCGTCTGTTCCGGTGAGTTCAGGTTGCTGCCTAAAATACCGGACCATTCTCAACTTCAAGCAAACTCTCATCCGCCCGCCTACCTGCCTTCCCTCTTGTAAACTCTTGCGCTCTTCCATCATCACCAACGGGCGGGGCAAAGTGGCCTAGATGGTTAGGCCGGTTCTCCGAACTCGCTGCCTGATCCGGACATGTTTGCCCTGCTTTGTTGGGAGCTCAAAGGTTCGATTGTGCCTTTTTGCCATTCGACTCCCTTTTTTTTTTCTTCTTTCTTTTTTTGATTATTGTTATTGTACCTCATGAAGGCGAAGAGTGGTAGATAGAACGTTGCGGATGCAGAGGACTCTCTCTGCAGGCGATATCGAAGGCTCACCTGTCAACGCTGGCTGGTATGGTAATCGGACCAAGTGTGAGTAGTGGGGATGTTTGAGGTCGACGGAGGGAGGGGCTGAAGCTTCGCAACATGGTGGGGGGATGATCACCGGAAGAGCATCTACAGATACGGATACGTGGAAACTGATGCGGCGTTATTATCGTCGACTGCGTTATCAGATCATTTCAGCGTCGACTTCTGACGTACATGGATAATGAGTGGGAGCGACCGCAAGAACTTGAATAGTAACATACAATCACAGAGCATGGAAAGCAGAGATTGACTTGCAATTGCAGTCTTGTATTGATAAGTTCTACCCGAAAGCCATTATTCCTAGCTATATTCTAAGAAACGACCTCCGGGTCACTGTGTAGTATAATTCACGTCGAGTGAGGTGATGTTGCAGGCTTACACTTACATGAACTCTGCCGAGACCAGTTCACGCTGTAGCAAGCCACGAGGCGAAGCGAATGAAAACCAAACAATTCAGCAGATATCGAGCCCTTGACTTGGTGTTGAACCCCTCCGTTTTTACCGATTACAGCCGTCATCGACCGGCAATGACGAAAAAAAGGAAATCCTACCGCCTCAGCCCGCAGGTGTTGAACGTGCCAGCTAGGCCACCGCGCAACACCTGCCTATCTAGGCCTCGGTTCGGATCTTCTTGTTCATCATCGTCATGGCGGCCGCGATCACGGGCAAGACGCTGACAATCTCACCTAGGCCGGCGTACTCGGGAGGAATCGAGACAGGTCTTCCGGCAACTTCAAGCTGCGAGAGGGCTCCAGATGCCAGAAGGATGGCGAGGACGTTGTAGATGGCCGACCAGACAAAGTTGAACACCATGCGTCTGAAACTGGCGCCGCTCACGTCAAGCAAGAAGGGGATACCCTCCAAACCTGCGAGAAGGACCACGTCTGCGGCTCCACGCGTGACGTCGCTCGCCGACGCAGCGCTGCCCAACTGAACTCCGACATCCGCCTGGGTGACAGCCACCGCGTCGTTGGTACCGTCGCCGACAAACATGACGAACTTTCCCTCCGACATGAGCGAAGCCACATGCTCGCGTTTCTGAGCCGGCGTTCGTTGAGAAGCGACGTTGGGGATGCCGACCTGCGCCGCAACCGACTCTACAGCGCGCTTCTGATCACCAGAAACGAGATGAACAGCGATACCGCGGTTGTTGAGTTGCTTGATAACCTTGACCGCTTCGGAGCGAAGGCGAGTACGCAGACCGAAGATAGCGATGGGTGCAGAGTTTCTGGTGACAACAAGAAGAGTCATGCCGGCGTCCTGAAGACGGGTAACGGCAGGCAAAGAATCGACATTGGTCCAGGCAGGGTTTCCGGCGCAAATGGCATGACCATCAACAGTGGCTTCCACACCAGCTCCGGGAATGACGCGCGGTTCAGTGAGCTTGATGTCAGGCGTTGCGCGTTGAGAGAGATGTTTGGCGATGGCCGCGGAGACAGGGTGCTTGTTACCAGCGACAAGAGCTTTGGTTATGGCGCGAGCTTGGTCATGATCGGCGATGAGATACTCTTCCTCGAGGACATCCAGGTCACCCTCGGTGATGGTGCCGGTCTTGTCAAAAACAACGTCGGTCACTTTGCGAGCTCGTTCAGTGCATTCCGCGGATTTGATGACGACACCCCCTTTAGCCGCAATACCGCCTGCAACTACCAGGACCATCGGAACGGCGAGACCGAGAGCGCAGGGGCAAGACACAGCCAAGACAGCGACGGTATAAGTGACAGCGTTGGATATGGCTTTCCGGTCTGAGATAGAATCATCTCGCAAGCCAACAACAAGCCAGACAATGACGACGACGACAGCAATGGTTGCGACGACAGGCACGAACCAGCTAGCCACACGATCGGCAATGTCCTGAATCTTGGGCTTGGAGTTGGCCGCGTCCTCAACAAGCTCGGCAATATCAGTAACGGTGTTCTTGCCAGGCAAACGCGTAAGCTGCGCTGTGAGCGTGCCGGATCCGTTGACTGTACCAGCAATGACATTGTCGCGCTGCTTCTTGAAAACCGGAACGCTTTCGCCGGTCAACATAGACTCGTCCACCTCGCTGGAGCCGCTGATCACCAGACCATCAGTAGGCACCGTGGAGTGCGGAAGAACTTTGAATTTGTCGCCGTATTGAAGAAGTCGAGCGTCAATCTCCACATCTCTCCCGCCCTCAACAATGACAGCGGTGGAGGCTTGCAGAGATCTCAGCGAGACGGCAGCCACAGCTCGAATGCGGGCAAAGGCTGCAACAAAGCGACCCAGCAAGACCAGAGTGACGAGAAGAGTGCTGGTCTCGAAGAACTCTTTGAATTCTCCTTGCTGGCCCTCCGGGCTCTTGTCAGCTTGGCGTAGACCAAAGGCCACGACGGAGTAGACATAGGCGGCAGTGATGCTGATGACCACCAACATGTCCATCTCGATGGCATGACTGTAGATCAGAGCTGAAATGGCCGGCTTGTAGAACTCCGGTACAGCAACGAGTTGAACAAACGTCGCAAGTACAATCGAGACGATGGAGCGCGTCTGAGGAGTGACGAGATCGACGCCCCATGCGAGAACAACAACAGGTACAGTGAAGACTGCGGCAATCACAGTCTTGGTCAACTGATCATACATCCTCTTTCTTCCGCTGGCAACCGCAGGGTCGTCACGCGGAGGTGCCAACCCAGACGAGAGAGAACCGATTCGTTCGAGAAGGGTTCGCGCGCCAATGACGGTGGGATCGTAGGTAACCCTGACCATCTTCGAGTCAACAACGTCGACATCGCTAACGCCAATGATCGCCAAGTCGGCCACTGCCTTCGCGGCCGCACCCGAAACAAGGACGTCGAGCGTCTGGTCGTCGCTGGACATTCGGGTGCAGTGCAGGCCAGAGGCTCGCTCTGCATTTCGAATAACATCCTCAACTTTGCCCGTGGTGCTGTCGAAGCTGAACTCGGCATTGCCCATGACGAAGTTGACGCGGACGCCAGAGACGCCGGGGTTAGCCTTGAGGGCACGCTCGAGTTTGTTGCCGCATCCAGAGCAATCCATGCCATCGACGACGAGAGCGACCTGCTCCAAACCAGCGTCCCTCTCGACGTCCTTCTCACCATCGAAGGTGCGGAGGGGCCTCCCCGAGTCGAGAGCCGATGGGAGGTGAACATCGTGTCCGCTGCAGCAGTCGGACTGGTGGTCGCGGACGGGCTTAATGTCCATGTCATGATCGTGCGCAGACTTCTTCTTGCCGCGTCTCTTAATGCCGTGGTGATGATGATGCTTGTGCTGGTCATGAGAATGGGCGGTCGTATGGGCTTCGGTCTTGTTGCGACGTGTCTGCGAGGCAGTGGGAGCCGAGACGGGAGCGGCAGCGGCGGCAGCAACTGTAGCAGTTTGCTGCTCACTGCAGCAAACGGTCGGAAGGCCGCGATCGAGAATGCTGCGACAGATGCAACGGGCCGACTCGAGATAGGCGCTGTACTGCTCGAAAGCCTTGGTGATGTGAGTGCTGCAAGCCGAGGCCTGGTGGTGGCCGTCCTTGTCGTGGACGTGTTTGTGGTCGGCAGCGGCTACAAGGACATCAGTCTTGAGACGAACACTAGTCATGAGATGTAATGCATACCGTCGTGGGCGTCATCGTCGTCGCAGGCCTTCTCGCACTCGACGGCGGCAGCGGCAATGATACACTTTTCTGTGTAACGTGTTAAGCGAGCGTACGACCAAGGCGATAAAGAATTCATACCATCGCAGTGCTCTTCCTTGGAGGTGCAGCACTCGAGCTTGGCGGAGCGGCAAGTAGAGTCGTCCTCGGCGTCGCAGTAGGTCTCGGCGTCGCAGTCTTCGTCGAGACAAGTCACGTCTTGGGCACCGTCGCAGCCTTCGACGTCGTTGCAGACGGGCTGAGGCTGATGAGCGTGATCGTGGCCATCGTCATGTTCGTGGTCGTGTCCATGACGAACCTCGGTGGAAGCACCGCTGCACCCCTGATCCTTGGCAGGGCCACCGGAGCAGCATCCGGACCCCATGACGATAATGATTCTTGTTTAAATATTTGTCGGCAAGTCTGTTGACAAAAGGAAGTATTACGCGAGGACAAAAGAGAGAATGTGGTGTTTGGGGAGTAATAGGGATGGTTCGCAGGCGGGGAACGACGTGACTATTAGACGTCGATGCTGCGGAGGAGGTCCGACTTGCGTGTGGATAGACTGGGGGTGAGTGACATGCATGTTGAGAAGAGAAGGCAAGGCGTTGGTCCAATAGCAAGATGTCGCCATTTCGGTTCTGGGCGTTCCGAGTCGGATGACGTCCCCTGTCGTCCAAGCCAAAATGAAGATTGTTGATTCGTGAACCCATTTCTCGTTACCGTTCCTTCCCGTAATACCTCCAAACATCAAACTTTTGAATATTGCCAAGCCGCCGCTACGTAAGCTGTCATTTGCATCTTTGTCCTTCCAAATCTTCTAGAATAACGTTATCATATGGCCTGTCATGATGGAAGTCTGATTGAGACGGCGGATGCCTAAAGACACGGGATGGACGAACTCTGAATGTTGGGGAAAACCGAACCGTCGGGCCTTGACGCACGAACTTAGGATGAAGCTTCGTGCCGGCAAGTGGAGAGCTGCTGAGTGGCATCTTCGATAGCAGTGAGGTTTGTTCCTGACGAACTCTCGTGCGGCCCCACTCCGACCGAACATTCGAGACCTGAATCAGTCATTTCGAGAGGTTTAGTCAGACCGTGTTGGCTGTTTGATCTTCTCTCCGACATCGCCTGCTGTTTCAGTCGGAGACCGGCTCGGCGATCACGGTCCACGGTCATTCGGCAACGCCTCACCAACAATCTCGGTGCAACATCGTTCTGAGGCAGTTGGAAAAAGTCCGAGACAAGAACGAGATCGACATCAACACGTTGCTCATTCCCTTCATCCATGATCCATTGGCCTTCCCGAGCGCCACTACTATCATTAATACATATCCCGCTAAAACCAAAAGACCGCCCCCCATCCCTCTATTTCCCTGTGATTTACATCATGGTATCATGGTTCCCCCCATCCATCCCCCGCAATATTTGGTATCATGCAAAATAAAAGACCACAAAAACCGCTCCTTCAAAACGCCACGCCGACGCTGGTCCGTCTAGGCCCAGCCGTGTCTTTTTCTTTCCCAAACGTGGTGACGCGCTCCAGCGGCGGATGCTCCTCCGCTCTGGTGGCGGGGGTGCTGCCGGGCGACCACGTCGTCGGGACCGTCTGGCCCCCGTCTTCCGACTCCCACGTCGACACAGTCGACGCCGTGTCAAAACTCGTGCGCCCGTCCCGCGGCGCATGGACACATTGGTAGAAGCCCTCGCGCCCCTTGACGGGGCGGGGAAGATTGGTGATGGAATCGTGGCTGACGTTCCGGTGGTGCTGCTCCGCGGCACCACCCATGTTGCTGCCCGGGAACAGCCAGCTGGACACGCGCGAGAAGGATTTCTTCTTGCGCAGCGGCGGGCGGAGAACGAGCGGCAGGGGAGGAGGCGGCGGCGGTCGGGTTTCCCTGCCGCGGCTCGGGGGTGGGGTGATGAAGGCGGCCGAGGCATCGGCGAAGGCCATGCCGCGGTGGGGAATGTGCATCGGCGGCCGGGGCGGCGCCGTGTGCGGGCGATCGACGCCGGGGTTGAGGCGCTCTGCGAACGAGGGTGCGGCTGGTGGCAGGGCGGGGACCGTGGGTATGGGATCCATGTCTATGTCTAATCCTGTCAGCGCCATGAGACTTTTTTTGCTAATTTTGGGACTCAGCTTGGCTTACCGTGCGCTGTCAGTGCCATCGAATGAGCGGTCGAAGGTCGACTGCTGGCGTAAATGCTCTGACGCTCCATGACTAAGTCGATCTCCCGCTGGAGCTTGTCGACCTCCAACATGGCGCCAGCGATGCGCTCTTTCATTGTCTCCACGCTGGATGATGTGCGCGACCGCGCCCTTGACTTGGGCGGGATCTTTGGCGGTGTGTCATCCGGCGTCAGCGACATTGCCATCGTCGAAGGCGACATCGACATCTTCCTCGGTAGGTGGAAAGACATCGGAGAGTAGCTCGGTCCATGCGAAGGCCCAAAAACATCGTCATCCGGGTTCGGCTGAACCCGAGCAGGTGGTGGCGGGGTAAGCATCTCGAAGTGAGGCAGAATAGGCGACAGCTCCCTCTTCGGCTCGTAAATGCTCAACTCAAGCGGCCTGAATGAACGAGGGCGTGTTCTCGACAACGGCCGCGGTGGCAGAGGGCGTCCGACAGATCGAAGACTCGTATATTGAGGAAACTGAAAAGACTCCGAGTGTAGATGGCGAAAGTTGGTAGGCCCCGATATATGTAGCCGGCGCGGCGAGGAAGAGTCTGAGCGAGATCGCTTTCTCACAGAGAAACGCTCCCGGAGCGATGCGAAGCTTCTCTTCATTCCTTTTGGCTTCTCCGGCTGCTGCTGCGGCTGCGGCCGCTGCTGAGTACGAGAAGCGACAGGTTTCCGCATGATGCCAGCGAAAGGCGGCGGCATGGGCACGGGCTGGTCGCGGGTTACGGTGGGTGGCAGTTTCTCAGAAATGTCAAAGGTGTCTAAGCGGACGGGTTAGTGTCCGGTGGGTATATGTGTGGTGTTTTCTCTCTCTCCCGCCGGACTTGGCCGGAGTCTGTGGACTCACTTTGACGCGGCTTTTCATCCATACAGTTTGACAACGAAGTACAGCAGTGTGTGAGGGGCGAAAGCCATGTCGTATAGGCGTCTGCAAGCATGCCACTCAAACCCTTCATACCTGCTTCGCAAGATGCTTCATGCCGAAAAACGCTGGGGGCATAAGTGAGTGAAAAAAAAAAAAAAATTATAACGAAAGACGGCCAGCGATTTGACAGAAACAGAAAAGGGAAGATGCAGAGAGGGCGGCAGGAAACAAAGATCCAAGTGATCCGATTGAGTTATAATAGAGAACGCAGCGGCGGGAGGCAAGACGGCAACCTGCAAGATGAGAAGAACCCACCCACACACACAACCACACCTGGCGATGCACACACACATACACACACCCTCAAGACGCAATTTGGGCCCGACCAAGCTCACCCGCGTTCGTTCCCTGGCAAATTTTCCTTTCCCAAATTCCCACCTTGGGCCAGAGGTTTTGCTCTTGTGCTTTGCTTAATAGGTCCAGCTGAGAGGAACATGGGAGGGACAAGGGCCTGGGCAGTTGTCGGCGAAGTGTGCAGTTGAGATGCAGACGGGCCGTTCTGATAGGCCGGGGTTGCAGACGGGGCCCGACACGGCCGGCCAACCGGCGCTTAGGAAGCTGGGGTGGTCGCGGATTCGGATGGCTGGCGCTACACCACTATCCTGCACCAGATTGCAGGACTCCACCAGTCGTGTAAGATGAAGACGATGGCTCAGCGAGTCGATGTCTCACCTCTGCCTTGCTCTGGGTTACCCGGAGGCAGCTTGACCAGCAGTTGCTTGCCACAAGTGCCCCTCCGAAGGAGGGTCTCGTGCCAGTCACGAACCGTCATCCAACTCCAAAAGCCAGTCACCGTCACCGCCCCTTGTCATTCTCTTTTGGGGGAGGACCCACGAACCCTCTTCGTCGAAGAATATTGACAAACAGGGCCGCGGCTGAATGACATTTCGAAACCGCGGAGAGTGCGTGTTTCCAGTCGGGCAAAAGAGAAAGCGGCCTGACCTGACGGACCAATCACTGCGGTGTAGGCCGATCCGGGTCGCCCAAACGGCACGGCCATCCCAGTCATTCGGTGACATGTTCCAACGTGAGCGGACGGGAAACGAATGAAAAAAGCTCCAAAGCCCATCAGAGCATGCAAGGCACCGCGGGTGGCATGGGTGTGGGAAACGCGGGAAGCCTATCTGGCGGATTGAGGGATGCGCTGTGCCGTCACGGCAGCCATCGCAGCCCTGGGGGTCCTCCTGTTGCAGGACAGCATCGCCGTTGAAGGGTCGCACACGGGGAGGGCGAGGCCGACTGGCTGCCTTGAGACAGATGATGTTGACGATGGCGACAGGTCGCGATGATTGTGGGTAGCTGCTGCGGGCAGGTGGTATGCTTTGCAGAGCTCAGCTCCGCTCCGGTCCGCAGCATTCGCCTCCTCTCAATCCTCTTTTTTGCTTGGTTCTAATAATAAGCCCCTCACGGAATGAGCGTCACTTGATGTCCGCTGCGATAATTTTCGCCGTAGTGGTTGCAGCCGTCGGGTGGATTTAAAGGAAGTGAACGCCAGCTTGGTGATTACTCGAGTCAAGTAGGATGAGTAGCCGGGAGTCGTTGCTTAAAAAGCGTGGCGGAGTCCTTCGTCATCGGCTGTTGTGAAGGGAACTGGTGGATGAGAGTCTTCGACAGGCCTTCTCGTGTTACTCTAGCGCAGACAAAATGTCTCGGGCAAACCGCCACAGTGTGGAGGGCAGAAGAGGCGGGGGCTTGGAGCTGAGGATCCCGTCCGCTTATGTAAGACGACCTGGAAGATGCTGACCAAGAACACCCAGTCACGTGATTTCTACAGGGGCGTCAGACGGTTTTGAGTGTGGTCTGAGCGCAAGCCTTCCAGGGCTCTAAGTGGCTTAGGTAAGGTAAGGCTTATCGATAACGGCTGCCGGAGAAAGAGAATGCCGAACCGTTATGAACGCGGACGGACCTGCACCCCTGCACGGTTTTTTTGGACCAGAAGTGAACACCTGGCTTGCTTGCTGGGGCCGCTTTTGCTCGAGACCCAAAAGCCCACGACCGCACGTTGACGGCAATTTCGAGTTTCTGCAACCGACACATCTTACGGATTGCTGTTTCTTTTCCGGCCGCAAACACAGCGCAGAGTGCGAGCTCTGATAATCACGACAGTCGCATCCAGGGCGCAGGATCCGGACCTTTCCAATCTTGCCGGCGCATACTTACACAGGACACTGTTCCTCGAGCTCGCATCGGTCGCGTCGAACCACAGTTCAATTTCAACATGTCGCAACAACCAATGCCCCCCCAGGGCCAGCCAATGCAAGGCCCCATGATCATGGGACCGGACGGCAGACCTATGCAGCCTTCTCCCGAACAGCTTGCCATGATGCGCAGGCAAATCGAGGCTGACGCTGCAAAGGCAGGCATGTCTGTTCCGGACTTCCTGGCCAAGCTGCGCCAAGAGGCCATGCAGAGGCAAATGATGGCGCAAAGAGCTGCTCAGCAGCAGGCCCAGCAACAGGCTGGCGAGGGTGGTGAGGGGCATGACCATGACCATGACCATGAGCACCATAACCACCAGCACCAACATGGCCCTCCTCAGCAGCAACAGGGTGTTGCTCGCCCGTAAGTCATCCAACTTGTGATCATCGCATTGCCTGCAGTTCTGACCGTATACGTAGAATCCAACCCGGTCCTCCTACACCTCACGCTCTCGCTCTGGGCAACTTCCTCCGTGGCCAGGACTTGAAGCCCCGAACATGTATTCTCAACGGCGAGCGCAAGGAGATGTTCAGAGGTATGACTCCACTGGATATGCGTTCAAGTCATGAACCCCTTTCTCACAATTAGTACAGTCAAGCGCGCCCTCCGAGCCCTCCAGTCCCCCGGATACGAGAAGCTTCGCAAGAAGCACCCCGAGCTCCCCGAGATTACCGACCGCGCTTCCCTCGAGAACACCTTCAAGCTGCTGCCCATGTCCATGCTTGCCCTGCGAGTTGTCAAGTCTGACCCTCATGAGGGCCACGACCACGGCCCGAAGAAGACGAAGCGTGTCAAGGGTCTTTGGACCGTCCGCATCGAGCCTCAACAAGAGGCCGGTGACGACATGTACTACGTCTGGTTCTACGAGGGCAGCCAAGTCAAGCGCAAGCTATACTCGATCCTCGCCCTTATCCTGATCTTCATCGTCGTCTGCTACCCTCTCTGGCCTCTCAAGCTGCGTCTTGGTGTTTACTACCTATCGTATGACCCCCCTTGAGCCTCCTGATTCGGTCTGATGCTAACCTTCTGCGTTCCAGCTGGGGCTTCCTGTTCTTGTTAGGTCTCTTCTTCGCCATGGCTATCTTCCGCGTTATCCTCTTCTGTATCACCTACTTCGTCACATCTCCGGGTCTCTGGCTCTTCCCCAACCTCTGGGAGGACGTATCGTTCGTCGACAGCTTCAAGCCCGTCTGGGCGTGGCATGACGTAAGTTCACGATTCATCAGCCCATTGACATATAAGCAGTCTTGCTAATACCATGAATAGCCTAACCCCAAGAAGGGCAAGAAGAAGAAGTCCTCTTCGTCTGGCGCAGGTGTCGCGAACGCTGGCGGTGCTTTCGCTGCTTCCACCGGCCAACCCGCCCCCGCTTCCGCAACGACGACCGCGACCCAGACTCAGATCGCATCTGAGCCTACGCAGCGCGCTGGTTACGTTGCGCCAGCGGTCGAGGAGTTGGCTGATGACGAGTAGATGCATCGTTGAGGGACTAATTCGCATCATACAGGCGTTGGGGGGCTTTGGTTGAAGATTGTACTTGTAGATATACCCAGAGTTGAGCATGCTGCTACCTGGGACTGGAGGGGAACATGTCATAGTGGTACATAAAATGATTGATTTGGCATACTCCCGATGTACTCAATGGATACAATTGTTACGATACGTTTCAAGGCGCTTTTTTTTCAAGACTTTTGATGTGCAGTCTTCAAAACACCTAAAATTGTGTTCATTACTAAAAACCTACGACTACCAACAGAGATTATTACTGCACCGATCCCTCGGAGCGCTCGTAGTACCAAACCGCACCCGCCGCCTTGGCGCAGTTCGAAATGCTTCCACCGTTGATGTCGGCACCAACGGCGACGCCGTCACCGCGCTGCGGCTTGCCGTAGACGTGGAAATAGTACCAGGCCTCGCTGAGCTGGGTGAAGCCGTTGTCGAGGGAGCCCTTGCCGGCCTCGGTGGCGTTGTAGCGGGGCCCGCCGCAGCCGACGTAGGGCACGGCGCCGTGGCCGGCGGTCAGGGCGGCCTGGATGTCGGAGAGGGAGTAGGCGGAGGCGTTGGAGGGCTTGATGTCCTTGTCGGCGAGCCACGTCCAGGTCGGGGTCGCCTTGTAGTAGTGGACGGTGGTCTCGAAGAAGTCGACGAGCTCCTCGTGCTCCTGGTACTTGGGGCCGTAGCACTCGACGTCGAAGGTGCTGAAGCAGGTGGCGTGCTTGGAGAACTCGTGGGCCCAGAGGACCCAGTTGGGGGTGCCGAGGGCGATCCAGAACCTGGCTGTTGTTAGAATTCCTGATGATGATACGCTGGGGGGTCACATACTTGTTCATGTACTCCAGCAGGTCGAATCTCTCAAAGGGGGTGATGAAGTTGTCAATGGAAGAGCCGTTGTAAGCGGGGACGGGCGTGCCATCAGGCTTGCCGGTGGTGGTGTTGGGCGAGGGGATCGGGTCATATTGACGGCTGAGGTCGCAGTACTGCGTGTACGAGCCGTTGCAGAAGTCGGGCCAGAGCCCGTGGATTCCCCACGAGTCCTTGGGCAGCTTCTGCCCCTCGCTCTCGAGGCCGGTGTAGGTGTTCCAGAACTGAGTCGCAAGCTGCGCATCGCGGTGTTAGTTTCAGACTTCTCAATTGACGTGCTTGCGGATGTACTTACAACAAGACCGCCGTAGGTCTCGACGCAGCAGGTGTCGACCTTCTCGGGGACCGCGTTGCAGGAGCATGACAAAACGGGCTCGACTGTATCGTTGTCAGTTGAGTGTTCATGTTTTCATCTCACAGTGTATTTTCCTTACCCAGGGCGCAGGTGTGGTTGGCGGTGGTCAATCCGGGGTAGAGACCGGCGGCGGCGCTGCGCAACAGGCCGGCGACCGCGAGGAAACCGATTGCTCGAGTCATCTTGAATTGGGAGTATCTTCAAGTCCTTCGCGAAATACGGCGGAGACAGGAGAGGCCAAGAGCGACTGACCACACAAGCAAGTTCACATTTACACCTCGCAGCGGCGACATGGCGTTTTATAGCAAATGCCGTCTCTTCCGCATCACAGCTGAAAAATTTCCCGCCTTATCCAATCCCATCTCCACACGGGACACGACGTAAACATGTTTTGCTGGGAACGATTGAAAGGGCTCTTTGCTTGATCGGGAAGCTGGTGAAGAAGCACAGGATCGGTCGTCTGCGCCGCCAGGGAAGCAACCAGGGCCGTTGTGGGGGGATCTTTTTAGCATCCCACCTGCTCGAGATACGGCCCCTGAGAGGTCAATTGGGGACGCGGGGCGATAAAGTCGGAGTGGTTTTTCGGGTGCAGTAGCGCGGTGCGGACTTGGGCCGGTCTGCGGTGAGCTTTTTGGGAACTGTTGCCGTTGGGAACTACGGCGAGCTCCGAGGATAAGGATCGAGATGTGACTGGACGTCTCTGAAGAGGTCCAAAGGCGCCTGCCGTGGATGAGATTGCACTTTACCATGTCTGGTTGGCATCTTAAATCCATTCGCACGTGGAAGGGGTAGTCAGGGTGCCTGGTTGACAACGAGATGACAGGCAAGAAGAACCTCCAACCTTTGCTTTGAGTGGCTGTGTGCTCTGTAATTATGGCAGACTTTCAGGCGGGCGGGAACCTGGACGGGAATGCATGGAATGGAAGGTTGGAAGCTGCTCCCCGGAATGGCGAAACTGTGGATCCGAAAAGAGCTCTCGCACGGTCCACGTCCATCCAGAAGGGAAGGCATGAAACGACTGCCGTGGCTTACTTACCCGTCGCACCTTCATTCTCAAGGTTGAGCTCAGGTTTGGAAAGATCGAGGGAGTGAAAATCTCAGCGTGACGCCTTCCCTTCATCTATCAACGCAGGCCGATCACCAAATCTCATCTCTTTTTATTTTCTCTTGTCTGAACAATTGTATTATATTCAAACACAACCTCTCGTTCACGACGGTCGTGAGATATCGTCACTTCGTTACGCTCAGAGCTCTCTCATCAAGGTCTGCATCTCAACAACCACGTCTCATCTCCCTGCGGACCATCGAGGTAAGCTTTTTTTCCATCAACTTTTTACGCCACGTCCATCGCGCTTGCACTTCGTCGAGTGCATCGTATTCTGTTGACGCCGGGTGACAAGACGGCCACCACTTCACCATTCGCTCATAAGACGTCGCAACTGTCTGAATCCTTCATCCATCAATCACTTGCCTAGCGTACCTCACTTTGCGCGAAGCGATCCATCAATCCTTTTCCACCACAGACAACTCATCTCAATCTTGACATATACACTCTTTCTCACATTCGACCCTTCACATCTGCTGTGCAGTGGCTGATTTTTCTTGCTGTCGATAGCTGACACCATCTCCAAGCTTCCCCAGCCACAATATCAGAATGTCTGAAGAGGCCCTGGTTGCCGCCACCAACGGCGTCACCCCAGCTTTCTCAACCGAGAAGTCGGAACCCGTCAAGGATGTCGCTCGTGAGGCTCCCAATGAGCCTGTCAAAGAGGAGCCATTTTCTTGGACGCAAGTCTCTCATCTTCCGCCGCTACTGATATTCTCTAACATCTTGAAGGAAACCGCATCCGATCTTCGTCATCATCCTCGTCGGACCACATGAGGTGCCCTTCGGCATCCAGAAAGACTTTCTCTGTGCCAGATCGTCATTCTACCGCAAGCACTTCAAGGAGAACTCTGCGCCCGACACCATCGAGCACATCGTGAAGCTGCCCCGCACCTCGGTTGAAGTCTTTGGTCTGACCCAACACTTTCTATTCACTGGCCAAGTCTCAGACGATGCCGACTCCATCCCTTCCTACGAGGATCTCATTGGCGTTTGGAAGCTGGGTTATGAGCTCGGCATTGATGGCCTCTGCGACACGACTCTCGAGGTAATGACTGAGTGTAGACGAGTCACTCAGCACATCCCCGCCACTCCGCTGCTTGTCCGGGTCTGGAGAGACACTCCTGAGGGCTCCGCAATCCGGCAGCTTCTCTTGTCGTGGGCGGCCGAGTACATGCGCTCTTCTGAGCATAGAGCCGAGTTTGCCAAGTCACTCCCCCAGGAGGTTCTGAGTGAGCTCGTGGTAGCTATGAGCTCCCTTGAGAATCTGCCCGCTGGTCAAAGCCCAACTTCAGCGAATTCCCCCCAGTCTGCCGAGCCTGCTCCGAGGAAGAGCGTGCACTACCTCGAGGAGGACAGTGAAGAGGAGCGCCAGTCCAAGAAGAACCGGAGGGCATCTGCGCCGTTGCCCGCCTCTCAGAACTCCAAGGCATACAACCGGGCCCCGCCTCCTCCTGTCCGGAAGGCCGCCGCTGCAGCTGCTGTTGCCTCGGCACCCAAGCAGAAGCCCGTGGTCCAGAAGCGTCGGAGTATGCCTGCAGGCCCGACCGGTGAAATTACCACGGAGAAAAAGGTTGAGTTCTGCTCTGACCTTCTTGACAGAATGCTCTCTGGCCCTGGTAAGTCGCGTGTGAAAGTTGTGTAAATGCTCTAGCTAATTTCTTCATCTAGGCTTCTGGACGCGTCTGGTCGGTCCTTTCAAGGAGCCCGTCGACCCCGCCGAGGATGGCGTGCCCGACTACTTCGATAAAGTGAAGAACCCGATGGATCTCAACACCATCAAGGCTAAGATGGCCAGAGGAGAGTACACCAATGAGGACACATTCGCCTCGGACGTCCGCCAGATCTTCAACAACTGCTACACATACTGGAAGAAGGGCGACCCCATGTGGGTTGCATGTGAGAAGTTCCAGAAGACATTTGAGGAGAAGTATTCTCAGATGACCAAGAACATCACCAAGATGATGAGAGAGCCCGTGGACTGAAGCGACAACGGGGATGCTCACCTTTCTTCGTCGGATCAAGCAGAGACATTTGAAGCATAACTCTGCATGTACACTATTTGGAGTGGTCACTGGTTTTTTCTTCTCAACCCCAAAAGCGCTGTTACTAATCTTAATGGCGGCGAGATGGGGAATCTTTTATATAGGTTAGGGGTCGATTTCGGAGCGGAGACTTGCTTTCTTTCAGAGGACTTGCTTAATACCCAGACTGGCTTGGGGAGTGGGAAACTTATGTATTTATACGGTCAGAGCGGACAGACAAACAAACAGATTAGCTCCTTGTTGTCACATTTCTCTCGGTCAAGCTCATCCTCGTGACCACGCAGTCGTCGCTGTCCTGAATCCATGACACCCATGCCATACCGCCCTCGTCTCCCAAATCCCAAATAAGCGCCCTCATCCGCACACGCCAACTTAGCCTCCCAGAGCATCGGACCGAAAAGAGGTCGACGATATCGGCCTTCATCTCGCAGGCTAGACCCGAATCGACCCGGCTGCCAAACAGCTGACGTGTGGCGACCCCGGCGCTAGCGTCCTGCCCACGCGAGCCAACTCCCCTTGCTTGCCCTCCCCCATCGGCACTTCTTGGCTCATCCCGCGATCAAACGACGACGAGAATCAAGCTTCGTGCCAAGGTCCCTTGCGGGGAGTGTCGAACCGTGGGGTCGGTAGGTTTGAACGTCAGGACATGCATGTCACGCGAGTTTTGACCTCGACGTGGGCGATCCTATATTTACGTTGAGATTTGGTTTTCAGGGCAAAATCTCATTCCGTGGGGTGCATACTCCATCAGTTATTCCTGTACTCCGTGATATGCACGAAATACAGCACTCATCTCTATCGCGCACTCCATCCCCTTCATCATTTCACCCGTCTTCATCTTTCTTTTTCTCCCTCCATCACCTCCCTCAAAATCCCCTCACATACGTCCTAACCCCCGCCATCCGGGACATTTCCCCAAGAAGCACCGCAGACAAGCGCGATAAACTCGACTAGACCCGGACAACGCGAACCAATCGCCCCAACCACCGGCCCGCGCTACGTCGATATCCTCGCTGAAAACCCCCAAACACACTGGAGACTCACCAGCCAGCCAGCCCGCCGTTCATCCCGTCTCCCCCCCACAAAGACCGCTCCGCTTCCACCCCCGCAAGAAGCGCCGAGGAAGATCCAACATCGGGGCGGTAGCCACGCGCTATGGTAGCTTAGACGTCGCGGGATTTCTGGGATATGGGTTTCCAGCTTTCGCTCGATGCGACGAAGTCCCGGCCGAATGCGCGGGGGATGGTGACTTGGGGTAGTGTTCGCGTTGCCCGTTAGCGTCCTCCCAGACTACATACTGACAACGTTAGCACCACCGACTGATCATCACCCCGCAGCCCGCTCCCCCGTGGGTTGCGGGCTTCTCCCCGCGGCCTTCGATACATCCAGACTAGAACGGCAGATGGAAGTTTTCCTGAGGGAGGGTCGGTTGAGCTCATCATTCGTCGCTGGGGGTTGGGGCCACGCGATGGCGATTGAAGCCATTCTTCTCCAGCTACTTGGGAGTTTGAGCGAAATCTGCGCCGTGTAGTGCGTGAATATTCATCCTCTGGAAGCCAAGTCTGGACCCGACATCGCGGTTCAGTTGCGGGCATTAGCTTCGTCGGCCTGTGTGCATGTCAGTGGCGTCAGTGTATTCGCACGACAGATCCGCCGATGGCTTTTCGTCACGATGAAGCCGGTTCTGGATGTGCGCGTATATAAGGTTCGAGAACGACACCTTGTCGGCTCATGCAACATTCAGCCAGCAGCACTCTGAGCATCCATCGTCCCATCCTCCAATAGAGACAACTGTTTTGCTCGCCTTCCATACGCATCGCCCATCATGTTTGGCAAGAAACAAGAACCAGAGGTCGCCGAGGTCCTCGAGCAGCGACAGCCCGCCGCCGCCGAGGCGACTGAGCACCAGCACCGCATGTCCGTCTCCAACCGGGGTCTGACGGGCGCCTCCGCCTTGACGGTCAGGCAATCGATCCTCCCCATCACGCTGGTCACCCTGCTCTTCTTCCTGTGGGGGTTTGCTGTAAGTCCAATCAAGTTGCTGAGATGATACGGTCAGCATCTAACGTCCGGTGCAGTACGGCCTCCTCGACGTCCTCAACGCCAAGTTCCAGACGGCGCTGAACATCACGGCCGCCAAGGCCGGCGGTCTCCAGGGCGCCTACTTCGGCGCCTACTTCATCGGGCCGCTGACGTACTCGGGCTGGATCGTGCGCAAGTTCGGGTACCGCTGGACCTTCATCACGGGGCTGTGCATCTACGGCGTCGGCGCGCTCATGTTCTGGCCCTCGGCCGTGTACCGCTCGTTCCCGGGCTTCTGCGGCTCGCTCTTCATCGTCGGCTCCGGCCTCTCCACGCTCGAGACCAGCGCGAACCCCTTCATCGCGACGTGCGGGCCCCCGCGGCTGTCCGAGTTCCGCCTCGAGCTGTCGCAGTCGTTCCAGGCCATCGGCTCCGTCATCGCGCCGCTGCTGGCGGCCCGCGTCTTCTTCTCGCACACGGAGCCCAACGACCTGTCCAAGGTGCAGTGGACGTACCTCGGCATCGCCGCGTTCGTCTTCCTGTTGGCCGTGGTCTTCTTCTTCACGCCCCTCCCCGAGGTCACCGACGCCGACATGGCGCTGCAGGCCGAGCAGAGCGCCGCCGAGACCGGGTTCCAGGACAAGCCGATGAGGAAGCAACACAAGCTCTTCTTCGGCGTCGCCGCGCAGTTCTGCTACGTCGGGGCGCAGGTCGGGGTGGCCAGCCAGTTCATCAACTACGCCGCCGAGAGCGCGAGGCTCACGCACGCCGAGGCGAGCGACCGGTACGCCATCGGCCAGGGGCTGTTCGCCATCGGGAGGTTCGCGGCGGCCGGGCTGATGATGTTCGTCAAGCCCCGTCTCGTGCTCATGACCTTCATGACGGGCATCATGGTGTTCATCGCGCTCGCGATCGCGCTGTGGGGTGAAGCCGGCATCGCCATGTTGTCGCTCGTGCTCTTCTTCGAGTCGTGCATCTTCCCGACCATCTTTACGCTTTCCATCAGAGGTCTGGGACGGCACACGAAGCGCGGCAGCTCCTGGATTGTGGTGAGTAGCGCTGTGCCCGTCTTGATAATCTTCGTCCGTTTGCTAACTCGAACCGATAGGCTTCGGTGTGCGGAGGAGCGCTTTTCCCGTCGTTGACCGGGCTGCTCGCCGACCGCAAGGACTACCACATCGCCATGTTGGTTCCCCTCAGCGGATTCGTCGTGAGCTTTGCGTATCCCATCTTCCTCAACACGATCTGGAAGCGCGAGCTGGACGGTTTCAGCGCCAGCAAGATCGGAAACACCGACGAGAATGGAGTCATTGGCGACCCGATGCGTGAGGAGACGGATAAGACGAGCTCAAAGCATCTGGAGGCATGATGAATACCGCCACATCCATGGTGGCTGATGCTGAGGCCTGCAGAACGGCTACGCGCCGCGGTGTCTCGGGTACCTGCATCAAAATGCTGAGTGTTTCTTTAGCTTGATTTTGGTAGACGTTGCGATAGAGTCCGGTTAGTAATGATTAATGATCACGACAGCGTTACGATAAGCACCAATTTCCTGATGGAGTTTCGTTTCAAGCCATCATGTGCCGTTCTTCGGCACGTTCCATGATACATCGTCCGAAGTAATTGGGTTTGAACCCGCCATTCTGGGCCCTTCTCGGGGGAAAACTGCGTCTTTTGGGGGGGGGGGATTCAGGTGGGTGGCGCGCCAGAATCAGGTCGACCACCTCCGTGACCATGCCGGCGCTAGCAGAGCCTACAGGAAAAAAGGAAGGAAACGTTGTTGCGATCTGCGCGGGTAAGATTGCACTGTTTCTGTTCTAGAAGCCGCCCGTGAAGCCTCCTCACGCGCTGGCGGAATGGAACACGATGAGACAGACACACACACAAGTTCGACTCGATGTGTGGTCGCAGGTAGAATCTCCAAGGGAATGAGAGAGGCGCCGGCAGTCAAGTCGGCTGGGGAACGGAAGAGAGACCGGCCGGCGGCTATCGAATTTCCATTGTTCTCAAATCATGGGGAAACAAATGTCCCGTCGTGAGATTACTGTAGGTGTCTGATGATTATCGACAGCGCTTCCGTGAAAACGGGAAATGGGCCGCGTCGCAAAGGGTAAGACGGCGGGCCAAGAGGGGGACGGATCCGGAACCGAACGTCATGTTCAATTTCCAGCATCTCCGTCGGGGCATTTCCGTCATGCCCATTTGCCCTTTTTGCCGCTACTAATATCGAGGGGACCTGGAGGGTGAGAGTCTGGGGTTGGCGTCCGTCGAATGCCTCTTCTGGAGGAGGAAACCGAAAGAGGAACACTGGTGAAGTTGAGGAAAGCGGCCGAACGAATCAGAGTCGCGAAAGCGCCTGAACCCAACGGCGCTCAATGGTTCGTCGGTTCACGTCGTCGTCCCCACACAACACACCTCCACAGCAAGTGGTCGGACTCAAGCGATTGGCGGATGATGCACGACCGGGACCAGGTTTGGCGCTGCAAGGTACCCGATGCTGGCCCTAGCTTTTTATTTTCTGGGACCTGACGCCTTGCCCTATTCGATCCGATGACCCGTATTTCCAGCCTTCTTGTCCAGTCATAGCGATGCTTGGCTCCTTTGGGGGCGTCGAGGTGCACGGCCCAGCAACTCAGGAGATGAGAGATGGCGCTGGTTTCTCTGGTCTTTTGGCTGTCTCATTTCCTGCCTGCAGATTCCCGCCGTTTGTCTTTCCTCTTCTGCTTCTGTGCGAGCCTTGTTCAAGGCCTCCCTGGTTTTGGGGGCGGTCACGTTTGCCATTGACTTCTGGGTCGCGATTGATGTTGGTGCTGGGAGGCCCGGTCGGTCAGTGGGGAGGTGGGAGGTGGGAAAGGAAGATGGGCTACTGCAGGATGCAGGCTGGGCTCCATTGTTTGCTGGATCTTCTTGTCATTCTTGTCTTACAGCAACAACTCAACAACACGCAACTTACGGTCAGCGAGGTTGGACCACGGCCGTGATGCCACGCAGTTTGCTCGCTGCTGCCCAAGCCGGAGGAACGAGGAACAAGGGAGCCTACATGCCGTATCTGCAGAATGACATTGTCATCCCTTTCCTTTTTTTACACCACACTACTGAGTACCACTACGGACAGGTACCATCCACTTGAGACACGCTCTATGGGCCGGTGTCACCCTCTCCAAACAGGAGTTGACGATGCTTGAACCCTCTCTCTCAGTCTCTGACGCCTCAACCACTCAGCCATCCGACATCGTCTCCGACCCCTCGACAAAACCCATCAACAACCCTGAGCGGTCTGTTCACCGTCCACTGAGAGTCTCTGACGCAGACAGCCCCAAGACGGGGGGGTATCGGGGGTATCGTGGCTGGCCTTGTCGGGCCAAGCACCTCTGAGTGGTTGCTGTCCAGGCAAATGAAATTAAAAGGAGGATCCTTCCGAATCGGTACGCCATATCTCGCCCAGGCCGCCCTTGCACTCTTGACTGCTTCTCTCAGAAGAATCCTTGACAACCATCGCCCACAACCGTCGAACCGTGCAACCCTCGCCCTTTTCCTCCTACCACCACAGTTCTCGCGACTCGTCTCTTTTCCCACTTTCCCTCTCCACTTCATCTCCATTCTTTCTGCGCTGTCCCTCGCTTTGCCCCTTCGCATCCCGTCGCGTGCTTTTTAGTTGCTCTACGCCCCTCCAAACGCTCTTTTTTCCGCTGCACGACCACCTCAACACCAGAGTACTCGTCTTCTCTCGCTCCGTCGATACTCTCGCCGTCGTCGTCCGCCTGTCGATCCGCTCATTTCACCGACTTGCGATCCGCCATACAAACAAAGACTTTTGAGTCATTTTGACAACATTTCGGTGGTTCTTTAACCCTCAACACTTTCCGAACGAACCGACCGATAAGATCCGATCGCTACCCACAACCGACCGTCGCAATGCATATCCGTTCGCTCGCCTCCGTGGCCGTCGTGGCCTTCGCCGCCCAGGCTTTCGCCCAACAGCAGACCAAGGTCTTCAAGCGCAGCATCATCACCCCCTCAAGGGACTTCGGCCTCATGCGCCGCGCCGACGGTGGCTACCAGCCCGCGGACGAGGTTTGCAACAAGGGCGGAAACACCTGCGCCGAGGCTTGCGGAACCGGCTACCAGCAGTGCAAGTCCACCGACCAGGCCGTCCACTGCTACAACCCCGCCGCCGGCGAGACCTGCTGCTCTACCAACAACGGAAGTGAGTCGCAAACCCCCTCGCTCTTTGGTAGAACTCGTTGATCGCTAACATGCCACTCAGACTCCTGCCTGTCCTCCTTCTACTGCACCCACGACCCCAGCGCCGAGACCATCTGCTGTCCCAACGGCCTCAACCTCGGTGACTGCGCCGCCAAGCACGGCGTCACCGGCGCCCTCACCTCCGACGTCCCCGTCCCCACCACCACCTCAACCACTCAGGCCCCCACGAGCACTTCCGTCGCCCCGACCACCACCTCGACGTCCTCCGCCCCGCCTACGTCTTCTTCCGTCGTCGTCGTGACCACCTCGTCTTCCTCTTCTTCGTCATCCGTCGTCGTGAGCACCACCGCCTTCGTCGCCGAGACCACGAGCTTCGTCCCCAGCGCCGGCACCAGCAGCGCCTTCTCCGCCGCCAACAGCACCCTGGCCTCCACCACTCGCGGCGCCAGCACGAGGGTCCCTACCCCCACCGCGTCTGCCGACCCGTCCGCGCCCGACCAGAACGCCGGCGCCCACAACGGCCCGGCCGGTCTCGCCATCATCCTCGGTGCCGCGTTCGTCGCCGCCCTGCTGTAGTAATCGACAACTGACCCAACTGGAGGCTCCGAGCCGGGCAGCGGCCCCCGTACTGACTTTCGTCACGGGAGTCGTTGCCCGGCTCAACGTACCACCATGAAGTCACGAGTGTAATGATACCAACAAAAAAGCAGCGGACGGCGTTGGGTGAACAAAAACGGGAAATACCCCCGTGCTCTGTTTTGGATGTCAAATGTTCGACCAGATCTCATTTTTGACCATTTTTATTTTTTCATGATTCCCCCACCAACTGAAGAGAGACGTACGGAGCGGCTTGATGAACCATTGACTGCGATTTTTTTTTACGTTTCAAAGAAGAGGAAAGATACGATGAATGTGAGCAGAGGAGGAGGAGGAGGACCTGCTTCGTTTCGAATCAGCGCTTATATCCCTTGTAACTTGTTCTTTCTTCTGCATGTACATATCTGTACACACCATCCATAAACCTTAATTCCGGCCTGGAAAAAACAAATACACATCACGAACATTGCACACACACATAAGGTCTCACTGCTCTTCTCAATTGACTGTGATATATCGGAGGGTAATCTCGGAATGGCTGGTCATTTACAACCCCGCCGATGACCGATATTTGAACAAAGATCCCGGGCCCCAGGCTGGACTCCGGCGCTGGTGCGGAGTGATCGGAGGCCGCGAGGTCGGCGCCGTGGTTCCATGTGGGGCCGGACCCGGCGCCCCCGGGTTCGACGGTGGTCGTCGCACCGGCGCGCGCTTCTCTTAGTCTCTTCGAACCGAAGAGTGCCTCGCGGCGCCGTGGCACATCCAAAACAAACATCCGCTCCTCCTCCTGCCGCCTCCTCAGCCCGACCAGTTCGCATCGACGTCATCTCACCGTTCGGTCTGAAGTGTCGTGCCGCCCGATATTTGGAAAAGACTTCGTCCTTCGGCTTTCGGCGAGGGCAGCCGAGGATTGTCACGAGCTGCCCTGCTGGCCTGAATGTCGGCCCGCTTGTTTTAATGCCTTTACGCAGTCTTCGGATGAACGTGTCATGTCCCGTCAGTCCCCAAGAAACACATCACCGAGCCTTTTCGTCCAAATGTTTTGTTTTGAATCAGGAAAAATCAAATCTTTTATTAGCGCCTGCTTGTCCGGATGAAACAGCACAATTACAGAAACCGGGTATCATGATGCTCTACCACGCCGTCCGCACGAATTCTCCAAGGTTACCCTTTTAGGTCACCTTTCTAAAATACTTTGCCCCCTTCCATTCGCTTCTACAAGCCTTCGTTCCATGGCCGCCAGAACTGGTTGCGGAACGTCGGCATACACTTGACCATCTCAGGCGGCTCGACCTGCCAGGTGATGTTGGCGGTCTCGCCCATGTGCTCAATGGCAACCCACGTGCTCGCGAAACCCCTCTCTTCTTTAATCAGCCTTCCGTCTTTGACGTTGTACGCCAGACTGACGCTGGGCACGACAGCGATTTTGCCGTGGCCCAAGTTCCACAGGTCCTTGCACAGTAGCGTGGGCTCGCCGGTGTGGCACTCGCCCGGGTATGACCTCCTGAAGTCGAGCTTCTTGCTGAGGAATGGCTCGCCCGTCATTGCAACGCCCCCGTTCCAGCAAGCAAAGACCTGCAGAGGCTTGCGGCTGAGGTACCGGTCTTGGGAGTAGGGCTCGTTCCAGAACATGTTCGCAACGTCGCTCCACTGCTCGCCCTTTGGCGTTCGATCGGGAATGGGCAAGAAGGTGTCGCCGTTGATGCCGCGAGAGATCCAAGAATCGTAAAAAGATGGCTCGCCATTATGCGGCGCAAATCTCAGGAAATGGTAGTCCATGGCGCAGGTCATGTCGGCGCCTTGAGTTTGCTTCTGGTAGGCGAGTTCCAGGATGTCCTCCGTGCAGGCCGCAACGTCGTTCAGGAACACGATCGTGGCCTTTGGGTCGTACTTGTCAGCCTCCGCCATCATGGGCTCGAGGGCCAGGTTGCGCAGTTTGGCAAGCTTGCCGATGCGGTCGCCGCTGTGAGAGTCGATGTTGCTCGTCTGCAGGTGGTACGCTATGCCCATCTTGTCGAGGTGCGCCTTCAAGCGGTAGAGGGTCTCGTAAGTTCCGTCTGTGGAGATGCCTTCCACAATCGAGATCGCGCAGTTCTCGGGACCGATGATATTGACAGCTTCGAGAACGGCACCGATAAGCTGAGGAAGCAGGTCGATAACCTGGCGCAGATCGAGGGCGAAGAAGAAGTGACGCTTGTCGGTATTTTCGGTGGGCTTGAGAACGCCGTACCGCGTCACGTTTGGTGACGGGCAGTTGACGATGGGGTACCCTCCATTCTTGGGATCCAGAATAGCCTGGACGAATCGCCCCGCGTCGTCAGACTTATCTGGCATTCCCTCGGTGAGTGCTGGTTGGATCCAATTGGGTGATGACGCGTTCATCCAGCTGCCGCCATACTCTGTGTTTGACTTAGCATCTACAGCACAGGAATGTTATTTGCGGAAGACCTACGTTCTGGCGTCCATGGCGTGACGAAGTACTGGACTAGTGGCTGGTGGAAGAGGAGAAAGAAGCCTGTGATGAGGATGAAGACGACAATGGCGATGAAGGGCGTCTTCAGCCGTCGGGGATTATGAAAGTTGGCGAGCATCTCGAAGTTGTGCCGCCCGTCGTTCGAATATCTATACAAGTTCAGGAAAAGCTTCGTATGTACTTGGTCGAAGAGGAGTCGGAGGAGCTAACGCAAGCGGCGAAGATCGACCTTCTAGGAGCTAGGACGCTGAACAGAAGAAGAGGAAACGAGAAAGATGCAGCAGGAATGCAACGAGGTGGTCAACCAGCGTCGGTCATGCAGGGTTGTACTCTCGTGTGATGCAGCGAGGAAGAGAGGAGATGCCAAAGGATTCGAAGGACGTCGAAGGGTGAAGTCGAGGTGGGGATGGCAAGCTCATATCAGCTTGGGCCGGGGGACCCAGAAGATGGGAAAGCTCAGGCCTCGATCTTGCACCTGCGTGTTGGTTTGAGGCGCGAACTCCCGAGGTGCCCTGCAGGAAAGATGTTTGGCATAAGGTAGGACGAGGCAGGTGAGAGAAGAAGGGGGGCGAGGGAGAAGAAGCCAAAGCTCGATGGTTCTAGGAAAGTAAAAGAAGCCCCAGGTTTAAGGTGCAGAAGGTACTACAATAGCCGGGCACAAGGCACAAGCTGCGGCATGAACTGTGTGGTTCGAATGGCCAACCGGTGCTCTTCCCCAGGTAGGTGTTTTCGTACGATTGGACGTTTTGAAGACGGGACGGAGGCCGGGCGATGCGAGGCGCAGCAGCAACCAATGGATGGAGAAGGAGGGAATTGGGGGGAGGAGGAGGATGAGGAAAAGCGAGAGAAGAGGAAGAGAAGAGAAGAGAGTTTGAACTGCCCAGGATGTCAGGCTAGGCAAGCGTAAGGTCAAAAGGGTAAAGGCCAAAAAAAGGTCCAGATGTCTCAAGGTTTCCTCTCTAATGTAAGGTAGGCTTGCAGACGGTTGTGGCTGACTTTAGTTCGTTCACCTTAGCTGTCCGCGCACGGAAGAGTCCCGGCCGACGTCAGGAACGAAAGCAACTTAAAGCTTGGGGGGAAAGTGGAAAGTGGAAAGGGGTGGTGGACTCGAGAGAAAGACAGTAGAAACAGACTGTTTCTCTGCAGATTCAATTTGGGGGCGTTCTTCAAGGCACACAACTTCGAACGTCCACCACTTACCGACGCAAACCTTAGCACAGCTTTCTCCTGGCTAATCATTCTTTACGGATGCCTAGTCTCTACGGATACTAAGGTATTATTACAGCTGGCCTTACCCGTCAGGAGGGATGTGCACATCGCACTATGTAACCCTCGCCCAGATCTCCACGACCAGGGCAGAGCGGACCCAGTTCCGGACCGGCATGCAAATTGAATCATCACCTGCGAGTGTCCACATCGTGACTCCTGCGCCCACATATTCCAGTCGTTCTGCGAGTGGAATGCTGTCGTTGTTCGAAGGATTTCTAGGCAAACAAATGAGCGGCACTACGATTGAACAGCGCAACAAAAGCGCTCTGTTCTCCCCCGCCCGTACCGCCGCCGTGCGATATGCCTCGGGCGGAAACATGTGGGAGAAGCAGAGTTGAGATGAGAACCGGAATGCCTTACACACGGTTCTGTACACGGTGTCTTGGGTGCGGCAAGTTCCACGTTCTGTCAGGGAATGTTTCACCTTGTACATTACTTACTCGTAGGCAGGCACCAAATATATCAACACAACATAATAATACCAAGTCAACATTCAGCCTTGGTGTGAGCTTCTAGGGGCCGATCATGTCGTGGCTCAGTAGTAAGCCGTTGCAACCTCATTGCGTGGAGATGTGGACTAACACCATAATCATCGTGGCTGACAGACGAATGCATGTGCGGTTGCAACTCTTCTAGAGACTCAGCCTCCTCCGCACGCATCAGCGGCGACTAGCAAGCATGAGCACAGAAGTCTCAGACTCGCATGGTGCCGAAAATCAGAAGACACAACGAATAAATATTCGAAATAATATTGGTCAACCCAATTAAACATCGGATAGCAACGCCTCCCACACGGCCGGCCAAACGTAATTGTTTCTACGGGGCCCCTTTCCTTAAGGTACGGAGACCACCTCCGTCGCCGAGTCGCTCGCTCGCCCGATTCTGCTGACGACCAGGTTCTCAGTGGCCCGTTGAATCCTTGGGGAAAAAGCAAAGCCGGGCGACGGGGCGTCCTCGGCGATCCTTTCCTCGTCCCTTATTCATGGGAAATCCCACATACCGAACCAGAACAACATCACGGCCTCCGCAACAACTTACACCGCCTGGCCCTGCCGACGGCCGTTAACATCTATTCGTCGCCAAGGAACTCTGTTCCGTTATTTGACTTCGCCAAAAAAAAAAAAGTTCAGACCGTCCCCAAAATATCCCCCGACGAAAGCAAAATTGGAAAACGGACGTAACCTGTCGCCAAGTACGAATCCGCGGTGGGCATGTTCCCTGCATTCGAAATGTTCCCGACTTTTCAATGCTACCCGACCCACGCTTCCCTACCGACCGGGCACGCGGCAACGTCCCAGCCACAGGCCGTGACGACGATCACTCTCAACCAACACGGTAGGTTTTTTGGTTACTTTCCTCGCCCAAATTTGTTCGACATGTCCCTTGTCCCTTGTTCTTCAGCCCGGCTTGAGTTACGCTTCAACTTTCTGTCACACATTCCGCACAACAAGAGGGCTTGGCAAAGCGACATCGAGGAATGTCGACTCGACTCGACATGCGTCGCCCCGGGCAAGGGATGAATAAGAGACGAGGTGACGTCTGTCAGATGATCGGTGCCATTCCGTCGTCCCGATAAGGCTCCCCGGGCGGCAGTTCGCTCGGCGACAGCAAATCTAATCCCCGATAGGTCCCCGTCCCTAGTTGTGCACGGATAGACGAAAAGAAATAAAGAAGGCCCAAAAGTCCCCTTTCGTGCATCCGCCAAGCCCGCGACCGCGAACACTAAAACTACAAATATTGACCTGCGATGCTACCAAAGCAAAGGCTGTTGATCTTTGCACGTTTTTGTTTCGAGATGTACGTCAGCCATCAATTCTGTTAGAGTCTTGCAAAGTTCCAACACCCACGGGCCCAGATTCGTTGGCAAAGAGGAAAAGCCGGGAGAATCATGCGATGCGGAGGGGGGAAACAGAACTGAGAACGGAGCCCTTGACGCGCGGACACCGGGGATCCCTCCCCCCTGACTAGCAGCGCCATCCCGCATCGAGTGAAGTTCCTCAATCGGGCAACTCAAATTCGAAAGAATTCGTCTGCCTGGAATACGGGTCCTACGATACTACGGATACTCTGTATCATGTTCGGCCTCAGCATGCAGAATTCACGAAAATTCGGCCGACGCGACGAACCATTCCATAGTCGGCGAGCCGCATGACGAGACTTGACTGTGTTCAGACGGTGTAATCTGCTTTTTCTATGAGTTCAGGAGCTTCGTGACCTTCTTCGCGACCCCGTCCTCGAAGCCGCTCACGCCGCCCTCCAGGATCGTCAGTTTTCCGGCCCTCAGCCTGTACACCGCTCGTCTCCCGGAAAAGGCACCGTCCTCGTCCTCATCTTCTGTATCCTCCCCGTCTTCTGTCGAACCTTCTACAGCACCCCGCATGAACCATCGGTCGTGGCTGACGAGGATAACAGCCCCATCCCAGTCTCTCAGCGACTCGCGCAGGGCCGTGACCGTCTCATAGTCGAGATGAGTAGTCACTTCGTCGAGAATGAGGCAATGAGGTCTTCGCCAGAGTATCCGAGCAAGCTCGCATCGCACGAGCTGGCCGCCGGATAGCTTCGCGATTGGTATGTCGGAAGCAACTCGGCCGGGCAACCCCAGACTGCCGAGTATGCCTCGAAGTTGTCCCTCATCCAGCTCCGCGTCGACTTCTTTTGTCAGCAGGGACAAAGCCGTCAGTGAGAGGTCTTTTCGGCCCATCTTCTGCAGTTCCTCGACAGCATGTTGGGAGTAATAACCCAGTTTCAATCTCGGGTGCGTCGTTACGTTCCCTGACGAAGGCTTGGTCTCATCGACAAGGAGCTTCACCAGAGTCGACTTGCCGGCGCCGTTCAACCCCAGAATACCAATCTTATCACCCATGTGTACCGACAGGTTGACATCCTGCAACACGGGCGATGCCGGCGTCTTGCCCTTCGTCTTGTTCGGATAACGAAACGTCACATTCTCCATCGATATTAGCGGTCCGGGAAACCGAAGCTCGGGCGGCTCGGGTAAGTCGATGAACACCGGACGCTCATCCTGCGGAACATCGATATCGGCGCGGCTGGTCAAGTGATAACCCTCGAGGTCTCGGTTTAGCTTGAACCTGCCGCCCTTGGCGCTGACCTGGAGACCCCAACGTTCATCCAGCTTCTTTTGGCGGGATTTGGCTTGGCGAAGCTTGTTCTGGTCGTCATTGGCTTTCCCCGCCTTGATGTTGTTGGTGATGCTCTGTTGAATATGTGATTTTTGCCTGTCTTGAGCATCCTTCATCTTGGTCAACCACAGCTTGCGCTCAGACTGTGAGGCCTCATATGTCGGGAGATCACCGTGGAAATAGGTCAGCCCCTTATCCTTGAGAATCAGTAGATCGGTGCAAAGAGTGACGAAATCTCTGTCGTGGGAAACGAGAATGAGGGTCGGGGAAGTCTCTTCGTCTTGAAGCGACTCGAGGTAGCGCTGTAGCCATATGATTCCCAAAAGATCGAGGAAGTTGGTTGGTTCGTCCAGGATGAGGATGTCGGTTTCTTGAAGCAATGATATGGACAAGGCAGTGCGCATCCTCCATCCACCGGACAGACCCGAAACCGGCTTCGACATGTACGCCTCTGAAAAGCCGAGACCGGTCAGAATTCTCTTAGCTCTAGACTCTATCTCTGCAACTTTGGATGGTTCGACCTGCAGTTGTAAGTCTGCGAGCATGTCGAGCGCCTCTTGGGTTTCATTTTTGAGAGTTTCGGCTGAGATCTCGTCTTGGGGTTGCTCGACCCTAAGTTGTGGTCAATACAATCTTTGGTGATGAGTTGAGCGTTTCGCTTACAGCGATTGTGAGGCGGCGACAGTCTTCTCAAACGCCTTCAACGCCTTTCGTGCTGCCAGGCCCCGGTCACCGCTCCGCAACCTCGCATTCTTATCAGACTGAAAGAGAAGCTTCTGATTCCTCTCGTGACGAAGAACACGTATTGCCCGCACAGGCCCGTATGGATCGTTACTGTTGATTCCTTCAGACAAAGCTGGAGAACGTTAGCGTGGCTTACTGGGTGAACGTACTCCGGCATACCTCTAATGTCCTGCTCAACGTCTGACCGAGCCGTAGCCTGTTCAATGACATGCTCCAGTACAATTCGGTCCTGGAATGCCTGATCCACTGCGGCTGAGGTATCTCGAGGCGGAGTATCTGTGTCGGAGGCACTGGCATCCGTCTGCTGCAGTATGGATATACGACATTCCTCGGGAATGCCAGGAATCAGCTTCTCGGCGACGGCCTTGAGCAGTGCTGATCTGGCGTCAGCCCTGTCTCGAGACATCTTCGGTGTTCTGCTTACTTGATTTTCCTGACCCATTCCGACCGACCAGCGCGTATCTCTGACCGGCCTTCAGATGAAGCTTGGCGTCTACGAGGATTTCCGTCCCCTCACTCCTAGCCTTGGCCTTTCCTTTCACACCAGGCTTGCTGCCCGAAGTGACGGTAATGTGCAGGCCATCTATGTCCAACTGGGCGCTGGGTTAGCTGGTATCATCTTGATATGAGCGGACTTTGTAGCACCTCTCGGCGATCCGCATTTTGGATGTTGAAGCGTGTCTGTTTGCTGGTGCAGAGGATCGTAGCTACCGATTCGGATGCTATCGACGTCATCGCAGCGGTGGCAGGAGGGAACTGAACAACGTGAATCAATTGACAAATTGACGAATGACTTCAGAAGTGGCTGTCGCGCGAAGGATCACGTCCAAGATGCTTCAAAACTCGGGATGGTGCGGGGGAATCTTTTTGTATTTATTAGGTGAATTGCGGCTGCATATCGCCGCATGCTGCTTTCCATTCCTTAGTCCTTCAAGGAAGAAGCAAACAGCAGTTTCGAACGCCAAATCTGTCGCGTCGCACATCTGCTGCTGCAAGTACGCCCTGATGGTACGTACTCATCTTGCATGTTGTGGCTGCGATGTCGAGTCGACTTTTGGTCTCTGACCTCCGCACCGGGTGAGTCACACCGATGAAGTGCTCCGTTCCCGACCGTCTGCCCTCCGTCTCGGCGGTGTCACGGCTGCCGGAGTGACTCAAGTCCTCCACCACTCGACATGCTTTTCCTACTGTTGCGGGTAAATCCCAAGCAAGGGCCTTTCAAAACAAAGGAAGTGAGTCCAGGAATTCCCTCGTTTGCTTGGCGTAGACCGACTCGGCGTCGGCAATCTCATGAACTTTCAACTCCTTCTTCGCCCACTTCCTCGCCGCCCCGTACTTCCCCGCCCGCGACGCAGAATACGCCGCATACTTGTACGCCTTGCTGAGGTAGTCGACCAGCCCGACCTCCTCAACAAGCTTCACCAACTTCTCCGCGAGGGGCAACACGTCGCCCCCGAACTCATCCCTCCCGAGCTCCTGCTCCACCAACCCCGTCAACCTCTTCATCTCAACCCTCTTTAGGTCCTCAGCAGCCCCCTCCCCTCCGTCCCTCGCCGCGCACGACTGACAGTCGCACGTGAACCCCCACTGCGCGAGCCTCGCCCTCCTCGCCTCCGTCGTCTCCGTGAGCGGCGCATACGTGGCCGTCACCTCCTCACCGGCCGCGATGTCCCGCCCGGCCCAGATCACCCTCCTCCCGCCGACCGACACGCTCGCGGCGTTGGGCCGGCACGCGTGGTTCAGCTTCGCGATCCGCGGGAAGATCCCGATCGTCCCGCCCGCCATCGTGAACCCGTTCGTCCGGAAGATGAGCGCCTCACGGCTGAACTTGGCGTCGTCCGCGTCCCGGTTCTCCGGGCACGAAAGGTACGCCGCCCGCGCCGTCGCGTTGAGGCGCTCGAAGGCCTCGTCGACGGCCGTGGCGATCGTGTCGAACGCGAACCCCTGCCCGCTGACTAGACTGCCGGGGTCGACGGTGAAGAGCGGCGTCTCGTCGATGATGATGGTGTGCTTGGGGATCTTGCGCCGCGCGAAGACGCCTAGGCCTTTGCCCGGCGACGGCCGTACTTCCCATATCCCATCTTCTGATTTGAGATCTGTGAGACATAGTCAGTGATTGAGCTCCGTCTGAAGTGGACTTGAATGGTCGTGCGCACTTGTTCCGTAGCGGACGCGAACTTCCTCGGAATCGCCCAGCCCGTCTGGTATGCTCCCATCCGCGAGAGGGAAGTCACTCGTGTCCAGTAGCCCCAGATGGCCCTTCTCGCCGTCATGATGTCGACATGAATCCGAGTCGCATATACGATCGCGAACCTGCGCGTCACCGCTGCTGCTGCCGTCGTAGCCGAGTACCGCGGGGGGATGCTGCGATGCGGCGAGACAAAGCCACATCAACACTTGAGACGATCTCATAATTTCTTGGTTTGGTTTCTCCCGCGTATGTCCGTGGTTCAGACGAAAACTCTCATTGCTTCTTCTTTGGCTGAGGTTGTCTCAAATGGTGTGTCTCCGCGGGGAAATATTGGGAAATAGGTATTTCCAGCCATCGCGCGCCGTGCCGTGCAGGCTCGAGAATGTCTGACAAACACCACACAAAGAAAGTATGGCTGGCTGGCTAGACCGGCTAGCCGGGGGCCGGTCGAAACGGATCTGCTGTCACAGGATCGTGTCAACGCGCCGTGGCGTTCCCCACGCGACAGGCATCTTGAGGGTTGAAGGCCTCTCGGACTGAAACAAGTCAGAACAGATCTCCTTTCCTTTGCAAGGTAAAATGCGATAAAAGTGAGGTGACTGCTCTTCAAATTTCATCCTTCGCGAAGATTTTCGGTGCGGTGATCGACACTAATTCAGGTCGTATTCTACCCCAATTCTCCTAAGGGGCAGTCGATGATTTGGGGTTTCAGGGGCTTTTTGTTTCGAGTTGGCTTGGTTCTCGCCTAGCCTGTCATCGAAGCCCCTTTGCAAACAAGCGTTCCTTGGAATTTCCGCGCCATTGTGCCGGTAAAAAACCAAAGCCAGATAAGTCCAAACTACGCGCTGTTGCTAAGTCTCTATATCGTGGTAGTAGTCAGCGCAGTCACATTGACAGCAGTGAATTGAGTAGGAGTCCAAAGCGAATGTACTCAGCATTGGCGTAGATAAAGGACTAAGAGAAAACACTGCATGGGTTTCAGGATTCAATTTTCTGACGATGTCCGTTGCACTGCTCCAAATCATCCTTCTACTTCCGCCGGCCTCATTCTCCGGGATCCCGGGGACATTCGGCGGGCGACCCGGACCCGGGTCCGTAGCAGGCCCCGCTTTCTGCCGGGCCTCGGCCGCACACGCCGTTCTCCGTCCTCGTCCGCGATTCTTGCATTATTGTGCGCATTAACCTGCGCTGCTTTTCGCCGCTGATTTATTTCGGATGTGTCTTTATTTCTTTATCTACATCCCCCAGGAGCCAAGTGGGCATGTCGCCGTCGTTAATTCTTTAGTTTATTGCTCCAAAATATGTCTTCTTCCAAATGGGAAAGTCTGATACTGGGGTTTGGTGATGTAATTATTTTGGCATTCGTGAATATGAGTTACTTGCTTGAAATGGAAATTGCAATGGTCTCAGCACCGTGGCAGCCCTCGGGGACGCCGTCACTGGACTGTGATTTTAGCGGTTTAACAGGTTAAATCATAAGACGAGGGGGCATAGATGGCGATCACACGTAAGCTGAACTCAGGAATGCGAACGCTGCAGTAGTGAAATTTGATCCATCTTTGAGAGCAAGTCGTTATAAGTGCGAGCTTCTAGTGTGAGGTAACTACCTGATATTCTATAAGACGGCTTTCTGTACGTCTACCGACTACTTCAACGACCTTCGCGGAAACCCTACCAAATAAGACCCAAAACTCCACAACAACACATGCCTCGAGACAAAATAGTCACAATTCGAGCTCAACTTTACCTCGAAACATATCCTGTCGAATACTTCACCTGGGGGTTGTCACAAGTCGGAATTTGAAGGATATAGCAGCCGGATTATCGCTCGTTAGCAGCAACGCAGACAGTCTTGATAGCGTATCGCTGAAATGGAAACACTTGCAGATCTCCTAGTCAAAGAGTACGAGCTGCACGCCCTGCATAAACAGACCTGCTCCGTGAGGACTGTCTCCGCCGCTAGGCCTCCCATAGCTTCATCCTGGGTTTAAGAACGCCTGTAAGATCGAGAGCTCTTGACGAAGACTACTTTCAACAGGTGGATGAGGCATATGGGACTACGGCCATCCGGGAAAGAAGAAACGTATTGAGAACGTATTGGGATATACTGAGCAATGAATATTTCTTGTACGGACTTGTCTAGTAGTAAGACGTAGAGGCTCGCTAGAAAGGTGAGGGATTACGTGAACGTGACCAAGCCCTCATGGTTCGCCCACGTCCTGGAGAGATGGGTCAGCCTCCAGTGCAGCTCTTGTCTATGAGAAGATCCAATAGCACCTATCAGACACTCACATTGATCCAGAAGACCGAAGCACGAATCGAGAACAGTATGTCAATTGAGATGGAGCAGAAGGTTGAGGAAGAGAATATCCTCACTCGACATGGTTTGGCTGCCTCTGAGGAGCTTACTACAAACCCATCACCGGCTTCTTGAAACTTCGTTGCAGTAAATTCCATCGAAATGCTCGCGAGTTTTCTGTTTCATCGTGAGAAAACACCCCGAGAAATCAAAGTCGCTTTCGCGATAATAAGTTCTCGTTGCGACGTTCGAAATCACAAGCAGTTATCTTCGAGCCGAGACCGTCCATCCTTGACTAGTAGAGTGCGCTCTTTTGCATTCGGTTTCGCATATAATTGAGTCTTCATGTTGCTATTGAGTAAGTCGTCGTGTGAATCAGTCATGGGTCATTTGAAGAGAGTTTTCTCAATATCATCACGGCAGCTAGTCAGTGACTACTCAAAGTTGTCACAAGTGTTAGTCAGTAACCACTCCCAGGTTTTCACGTTCCGTCGTTATGGACACTTTCTATGTTGTTTGAGGTCAAAAGGTTCCAAAGCTGTTGAGAAAAAGCCCAGGCCACCGGAGATGAAAGCCGTTGTCAATCAACGCCCGCATCCTCGATCGTGATTCTGATCATCAATTCAGTATTCATTTCAAGTTACTCGACTTTGCTCCAGTAAATACATATATGAGCCACTGCTTAATAGTTATAAAAACCAAGAATAGCAAATCGCAGTTGAGTCGGTTCTTGCCCCTAAAATGTCATCGCACGCTTTCAAAGATCAATCGGCCCCACCGGCGGACCGGGCCCGTGAGCACCGCGGGCTCCGCGGATCATGTCGGACTTGGATGGAACCCGCCGGACGGTCCGGTCCTCCGGAGTCGGCGGTGTTCGAAAAGAAGCAAGCCAGAATATTATCGGGTTCGATATGTGGGTTCGCATGCCATCTCAAGTTTCAAGCTTACCCCCTTTCTTCCTACCCCTAAACCCTGAAACCAGCAACGTACACCTCCAATCCATGTTCGCAGACCTGAGACGTCGACGTCCCCAAGAAAAAACCGCTCTTCATGCCAAGCACGCGTCAGCCCGAACGTCATTACCGCGAGGCCCGCACGAGCCAACGAGATCAAAATCTGGCATTGTTCGTCTGAGGTTGAGATCGGGAAGTGGGAGGACCGCTGCTGGTTCGGCGGCTCCGTGCTTCAAGCAGAGCGACGATGGCGAAAATGTATGTATGTTCTCGTCGCTGAGCTTACGCGGGCTGGACAGACATGAGACGGCGCAGGGAGGCAGGATGACCCCCCTATCGTACGCTCAGCCGCCCTCTTTTTGCGGCCGGCATCAACGCCATTGCAGGTCTTCCTCCGCGGTCGTGGCCAGTAGGACGAACTTGGACGCGAGTCAAATCCACTCTAGACCATACGATCGGATGGCAGGGCTGTCAATTTGAGTCTTGCGATGATCATGGCTGGGGCGCCGGGCTCGGCATTGCTTGTATAAAGGATCTGCGACCCTTCTCTTCTCGGCGACGATCTAACAACACCAGCAAGAGTACACTCAATACATCATCTACGAATCAATAAGTTCATCGAATTGCTCGCATTCTACATCTGGGTACCAGAAAGGCCATTGAAAACCCCGCAACACAAACCCTATTCTCATCATGAAGTGCCTTCTCTCTTACATCATGCTCGCCCTCTGGTAAGCTCAAAGCCTCGCTCATACACTTACACACGTCCAGACTAACACACCAATCCAGCTTCGGCCTCGGCCTCGCACAGCAAGGCACGATCCAGTGCCAATGCAAAGCAACTCTCACAAACTCCGTCATCAGGACCGGCGGCCGCAAGCTCTGCAGTCAGCGCGGCGGTATCCTGAGCGAGGACAACGAGCTCTGCACCAAGCTTCCGGAGAGATTCACGGACGCGGACTGCAAGACTTTGGGAGACTCGTTCCTGGCGAGCTGCGGATCGGCTCGGTCTGAGTTGAAGAGGGGTATTTACAAGCGCGAGGTCGTGCCTCTGTCGACGAGGCCGATCGTGAGGAGACTGTCCAACTTCTAGAATCTACGGATACACAGGCCGCATCTTCATTTCTCCCCTTCTAGAACTCAAACCACTTCTCCAGCGCCTTCTTTAGACCATCAATATCATTTTCTGATTTCTCCTCCACCGCCCATGCAACAAATCCGTCTGGTCTTATCAAGAGGGCGCGGATCCCGCGCCTGTCTTCAACATCCGCGCCGATGTAGTCGACTCGGCCCTCGTATGCCCCGTTGGCAATGAGATCCTTAAATTCCCCGTCATTCTCAAAATCGACGAGGATGCCCCGTCCACCTTCCATCTTCGGACCAAGCCTCGAGCCATCCATAAACGTGAAATCCGGCGTGCTCCGTCCGGCAGCCGGGTGAGCCTCGCCGCCGAGATCGTATCGCTGCGAAAGACCCCATACGCGATCGATGAAGTGGTTGACCCCGTCATCAGTGTTGATGAGATCGCGGATGAGCTTCTGTACCGCGTACCCCGTCTCGTCAGGCCGGAGCGCCGCGACCTGTGAACGGTTCCACTCCAGCACGAACTCCCCGATCGGATGCCTCTCTTTCTCGTACGTATCGACCAGCTCGTAGTCGGTCCCGCCGCTGCCGCCGCCGTTCTCTCTCTCCCGTCGAACCGACGCAGCAAGCTTCCAACCCAGGTTCATGGCGTCGCCGAGGCCGGTGTTCATGCCCTGGGCTCCGAGGGGCGGGTGAATATGCGCGGCGTCGCCGGCGAGGAGGACCCTCCCCCTTCGATACTCCGTCGCCTGCTTGCTGCGATCCGTGAACGCCGTGGCGAGATGGATCGCGGTGATCTGCACGTCCGTCTTCCCCGTGACGCGGTTCAGTATGTCCTGGATCCGCTCCCGGGAGAGCTCCTGCGTGCGTCCCGCGCCGCCGTCGAAGTCCATGAGGTAGACCGTGTCGGGCTTCCTGAAGATGTACATGCCGTTCCTGGTCGGCTGGAACCCCGGCACTAGCCTGTCGGGATGATCCAGGTCGCAGTGGACGACGTACCCGGTCAGGGTCGCCTCCGTCCCGGCGAACTCGAACCCGGCCGCGTGGCGAATGACGCTGCGGCCGCCGTCGCAGCCCACGAGCCACCTGCCCCTGAAGGTCGTCCCCTCCTCTCCCGCCTCGACCGTAATGTCGTTATCGTTCTCTTTGACGATTCTCTTAAACCCGTGACCCCTGAGGATTGTCACACCAAGACTCTCAGCGCGCTCCGCCAACACCGCCTCGATGCGGTCGATCGTGATGGGTCCCGGCATCAGCGAGGGGCCCGGAAGGCGGTACTTCCAGCGGTTGAGGTCGAGCTGGTTGAGGTTGAGCGGGATGCCGGCGAAGTGACCGCCGAACTGCATGCCGGGCCCCTTCGGCGGCAGGTGGGGCCGCTCGGAGAGGTCGTACAATTTGTCGAGGAGGCCGCGGCGGTAGAGGAGCTCGATGGAGGGGAGGTGGAGACCACGGAAGCCAACGGGATTGCTTTTCCACGCCGACTCGGGCTTGACGTCGCGTTCAAGGAGGAGCACGGAGGAGCCGGCGAGACCAAGCTCGCATGCCAGGAGGAGGCCGACGGGGCCGGCTCCGGAGATGATTACGTCGTATAGTTTGGTCATGTTTGCGAGGATTGAAACACGGAGTAGAATTAGACGACCTTAATGAGAACCGAAAAAGAGCTGTGGAACATTGAATATCTTCTGGGTGATGCCAAAACCATGCCTTTATACGAATTTGGCTGTTGCTCCATGTGATGCTTAGCATCGGGCTCGGGCCCGACATGAAGTATTGCATCAGCTTATATTAGACAGCTTCAATACTGAATTCGGGCGCTGTTTTCGGGACCGAAACTTACCCTGATATAAATGAATCCTGTACAGAGCCGACTTACCCGGAATCGGTCAGCATGTCTTGTACGTTTTGTTCATGACACTAACCTTTGAGAGTCTTTGGTGTGGCGCGCTAGTGGGCAAGAGGGCTGAATCGGGGTAATTCGGGGATTCCTGAAAGTCCAGCTGCAATCTTCACCGTTGAGAATAAGACCGTCGTGTCGTGATGACTGTTCAGTTTGATGTCCAAGAGAGTTTGATTGCACATTGTCCATACGCTGTTAACTCGTACTGACGGACGCAAATTGCTAGTATATATGCAATGTCTCGACTCTTTTTTTGCTATAATTTGGCCGTGTACACGTAGATCTATCATGAGCAGTTGACGCTCATGTCCGCTGATTATATCATGTTGAATTTTGTTTCCCCCCCAAACTCCAGGAGCATGCAGTGTCTCATTGTCTGTAAATCGCATCCGCCATCTTGACCACCTGGCACATCTCAACAGCATCGTGAACCCTCACAATGTCCGCTCCGCCCTGGATGGCCGAGACGACCGTGGCCGCCGTACCCCACACGCGCTCCTGCGGCTTCAGCACGCCGGTGATCTTGCCGATGAAGTTCTTGCGGCTGGAGCCCAGCAGCCAGGGAAGGCCCTCGAGACCGGGCCACGAGCGGAGCTCGTCCATGTGGCGGAGGATCTCGAGGTTCTGGGCGCCCGTCTTGGCAAAACCTAGGCCGGGGTCTAGGATGATGCGCCAGCGACGCACGCCCGCGGCCTCGGCCTCGGCGACCCGATCGAGCAGCTCGCGGGCGACGGTGGGGATCAGGCCGTCAGGATAGTCCGTCAGGGAGTTCATTGTCTCCGGGGTGCCGCGCATGTGCATGAGGCAGACAGTGCGCTTGCTGCGGGCCATGTAGGGGATCATGGCCGGGTCGAGCAGGCCGGCGGAGACGTCGTTGATGATGTCGGCACCGGCGTTGACGGCGGCCTCGGCGACGGAGGCGCGCCAGGTGTCGACGCTCAGGGCGAGGTGGGAGAGCTCGGGGAGGCTTCGGACGAGCTTGATGACGGGGAGGACGCGGGCCAGCTCCTGGTCGGCGGGGACCTCGGGGCGACCTGGGGCGGTGGAGGCGCCGCCGACGTCGATCATGGTGGCGCCGGCTTTGGCGAAGGATCGCAGTGTTGAGATGAGGTTCTCGGGGGTGTGAATGCCGCCATCGGAGAAGGAGTCTGGTGTGACGTTGATGATGGCCATGACGTGAGTTTTGCGGCTAGAGGCGAGAGAGAGAAGGGGCTCATGGCCGGCTGAGATGGGAGTCAGTGGTGAGAGTGGTGCTGCCGCTGGAGGCAGCTCATTAAGGTAGTCGAGGGTGAGCTTCCATGGGTTGGATGCATAAAGGGGCTTGTTGGGAATGAGTCTGGATGAATGTCAATTGCTGGCAGTGAGATGAGATATGAGCCAACTTACTCTGCAAGAGGGCGCAGGACAAACTCGCGTTCAGGGATGCCGATGTGAGGAACGGTAAGGCGTGGATGGTCAATCTTCTCATCACCATACATGAGAACGTCGAGGTCGATATTCCGAGGGCCCTTGTCGATAAACTTTTGACGACCAAGCGTGCGCTCGATATCCTGCAGCTCATCGAGAAGGGCTAGGGGTTCAAGCTCAGTCTCGACCTACATGTCATCCGATCAGCTCGACTCAACTCGGCTCAGCTCATCTCCAGGTCAGGTGAAAAACTCAATTACACAAAACAATATTCATGCAGCACGCGCGCGCAATCAGCATCACAAGCGAAACAAGCGATTCCATGCGAAAGCGAAGGTAGGAAGGAGGGTTGGTCACTAACCTCGCATGCTCCATTGACGAATCTATCCTGATCTAGAACATACATGGGCTCCGTCTCCCAGAGGCTGCTTGTGCGCTTCACCTTGATGCCGCGGCGGTCCATCTCGGTGCAGGCCTGCTCGATCCAGCCGACGCGGTCACCAAGGTTGCTGCCGAGGGCAATGTACGCCGTCGTCGGGCCCCTAGGACGGGCGGCGCCCTTACTACCGCATCCGCCGCCGCCGCTACTGCAGGCGCATCCGCAGGCGGATCGGGAGTGGACGGCGGGCATGTTCGGAGACGGGGGCTGGGACCGTGACCGTGTGGTTGGCCGGAGGCGGGCACGGGAACGGGAGAGTGCAGTGAGTGTGGAGGCCTGCGGCGCAGATGATTTGCAGCAGGAGGATGAGGTTGTGTAACAGCTTCTTGGTATCGTGAGATGGGACCGTGCGAGTCGCGGTGTTATGGCCTGACAGCAGCGCGCATTGTCGCTGCGAGCAAGGGCGCAAGCTCGTGAAAGAAGGGAGGGGTGGCGGAGAGGGAGAGGGAGAGGGATCGGAGGTTTCATCATGGCAAAACTCGAAGGCGCCCACTGACAAGTGTGCGCTTGTGTGGTGTTGAGGGTCACCGAGAGAGAATCTTGCAGCCAATGAGGTTTGGGTGTGGTGGTCCCTTTAGATTGAGATGTTTATGTAAGCTGCGGTCCTCAGGGTCCTCGTTCACAATCCATAGGCTCCGATTGATCATCCAATCAAGATGAGAGGTGAAGTGTGCACCGCTCTTATCGTTATCCGTACCTTATCTTATCTGACCGGTCCGAAATTCGAATTGGCTCCCGTCCGTCGATGGTAGCACTCGACCGGACGACATTGAGGTTAGATCATGTCATGATTCGGACAAAGTTTGCGATTTCATTTCCAAACGTTCTGGAACGGAAACCGCTTTAGCTGGTGTTGACTCGGGAGGGCTTTGACCCGCTGTCAGCCACTGTCACCCTTTGTTCGTGTTGTTGTCCGAAGAGAATGCGAAGGACCCAAGTGCTGCATCTGAAGCGTTTACCTTCAGATCGAGACGTCAAACCGAGGTCAGCTCTCCACATCGAAACTCCGTGATGAATCACCCCGGATATCCAATCGATTTATGCTTTCCCTGCAGCAACTTGTGAACGATCCCCCTCTCAGAACTGTGAATGACCCTCGGCATCTTTTTCCCCAGATCCACCCCGCTGGGCTTACCCACTTGCAGGCGCCATCCCCAATCGGGACTAGTCGCTGAGGTCACAGGTGAACCTCGGCCCAGCATGGGCGCATGGCAACGCACTCCGCCCCTTCTTCCCCAGGAAACCAAGCTGGGTGATGCCGAACGCTATTTCTCTTTAAACCGCCGGTTGCCAGCTCCCTCTTCGTTCGAACTGCTACCGCAACTTTCCTTCTTCGTACACAACTCATTCCCCAGCCCAGTCCCTTTGTCTCAGCATCGTTCGCGATCCAATATACCCGGGCTTCAAGTGTCGTATCATATCAACGAAATCAGACAAGATGGCTTCTCCTCGTAAGTTCTTTTCTCCAGAACCCACTATCACATGCGCCGGTCCATCCGCTGACACGTTGCGCGCAAACAGAGCAGATTCGCACCCCCATCACCGATCTTTTCAAGATCAAGCACCCGATCCTCCTGGCCGGCATGAACGTTGCCGCTGGACCCAGGCTCGCTGCTGCCGTCACCAACGCCGGAGGTCTCGGTGTCATTGGTGGTGTCGGATACACCCCGGACATGTTGAAGGAGCAGATCGCCGAGCTCAAGGAGTACCTTACCGACAAGAACGCACCCTTTGGTGTTGACTTGCTGCTCCCCCAGGTTGGCGGCAACGCCCGCAAGACCAAGTAAGCACGAGCGCGCAAACACCACGTCACATTGTGAGCTGACAGGCTTCGCTTAGCTACGACTACACCAAGGGAAAGCTCAACGAGCTGGTTGACATCATCATTGAGTCCGGCGCCAAGCTCTTTGTCTCTGCCGTCGGTGTTCCTCCTAAGTATGTCGTCGACAAGCTCCACAAGGCCGGCATTGTGTACATGAACATGATCGGCCACCCCAAGCACGTGCAGAAGTGCCTCGACCTCGGTGTCGACATCATCTGCGCTCAGGGTGGTGAGGGAGGTGGCCACACCGGAGACGTCCCCACCACCGTCCTCATTCCCGCCGTCGTTGACCTCTGCAAGGGCCACAAGAGCCCTCTCACCAACGGCCCCGTTCAGGTCATCGCCGCCGGTGGTATCCACAACGGCCAGCTCCTGGCCGCCGCCCTGATGATGGGCGCCGGCGCCGTCTGGGTCGGTACCCGCTTCATTCTCACGGATGAGGCCGGTGCCCCCACCGCTCACAAGGACGCCGTCCGCACCGCCGGCCACGACGACAACATCAAGACCCTCATCTTCACCGGTCGCCCCCTGCGCGTCCGCAAGAACCCCTACATCGAGAACTGGGAGACGGAGCGCCAGCAGGAGATCAAGGAGCTGACCGCCAAGGGTGTCATCCCCTATGAGGCCGACCTCGAGAAGCTGATGAACTCCGGCGGCGACGGCGAGGGCAGCGGCAACGGCGGCAGCGACGATAACGCCTCCGAGGTCGACATTGACGACGCCTTGGACCAGTTCCGCCCCTTCCTCATGGGCAAGGCCGCCGCCGTCTGCAACGAGCAGAAGCCCGCCAAGGCCGTCGTCGACGAGTTCGTCACCGACGCCGTCGCATGGCTCCAGAAGGGAAACAAGATGATCGCCAAGCTGTAAAATTGTAAAAAACACCATCTATTACCCTTGCCATTTAACGAATCGGTCACATTATTGGGAGGCGCTAGGGCCTGGAGTTTTGAGGCTCTCTGTACATAAGAATGATCTAGGATACGACTACTAGCATATCATGAATGATTTCCTTTCTTTTCCAAACTGGGTCATTTGCAGTGTGTCATTTCCACCTCTGTGGATGTGGTGATGTGATGAATTGGGCTGTGCGCTTGTTCTGTTGTCCGACTGTGTGTCTGGACGTTTCCAACGACGCATGACCCCTGAAGGCTGTGGTACAGCATCGTGGAACGCGAGACAGTGCACACACGCGCGAATCACATGTCACTCGCGTGCCACAACTCTTAAACGATAAAAGCTCAAATCTATTCATTCATACTTATGTATTACCTAAACCAACAACAGTTTCATCACTCCCGTCGCCGGCCCCAGCCGCAGACCGCGTGCTGGGACGATGCATCATGGAAAACCCTCCCCAGCACGCGTTCCTCCTGACTTGACCCCCTTCCCACCCGCAAGCTCGGTAGAATGGGTTCGTGAGGCAGAGCACAAGGTGTCTGTTCGCAAACCCGCCTGGCCGTTTCTTTTTCCAACGTTTCCCACGTTTCCCTTCCCTTAGAAACCGAGCTCTTCCCGTCCGTAGATGCCGCTGGGGGGTGTGTCTGATATTCTCTCTTGTCGTAGCAAATTTGTCTGTGTGAAAAGCAGTCTTTCGTCCCTTTTTCATATGCCGTTACGCCTTCCCCTCTAGGTCTCTCAGCTGCCAAGGTAGGCACGGATGGCACCTTGGAGCTTCTGGCTGGCCTCGCCTGCCAGCTGGGTAAGGTTCTCGAGGTCGTCGCCGGCGGTGATGCCGAATTTGCGGATGAAGTCCTTGGCGGCACCCTCGAGATCGCCGTACTCCTCGACCGGCTCGTCTTCAGGGCGGCCGAAGTAAGCGTTGGAGGAAATAGATGTGGCTCCTTCGAATCCTTGCAGGCGCGTCTTGGCCTCGGCCTGGGCATTGGGGTCGAACGATCCCTTGCCGAAGAACTCGTCGGAAGAGATACCCTTCTGGGCGCCGAACTTGCTGCGCGCGTATGTCTCGTCGTTGTCTGTACTAATGTCAGTGATGCTCTTCACTTTGAACTGGAGATTCTGTCTCATACCCTCAGAAGCCTTGATGGGTCCAACAGAGCCGAATCCGCCAGCTGCGGCCTTCTTGGGAGCCGCAGCGCCCTTGGGTCCGCCGACCTGACCGAAACCAAGTCTGGCGACGCCCATTCCCAAGCGCTCCACCTCTGCGTTGGACTTCTGGCGAGTGTGGCTGGAAGAGCCGTAACCACCCTTCGGGCTGGTGGGGGTGGGTGCAGAGACGCTATCCACCTTGGCCGCTGCCTTCTTCTCTTCCTCGGCTTCGGGGTCGTATCCGAGCTTCTCGATGCGCTCAGCCTCCTCCTTTGCCTTCTTCTCGGCTTCATCGAAGTCGATCAGATCGGCGGTGACCTTCTTCACGCCCAACTTGGGAGCCTTCTTAGCACCCAGGATGTTGGCCTTGCGGGGACCGCCGGCAGTGGTCTTGCGCAGCGCAGCAGAAGTAGTGACGCGACTGGCAGCGGGCTTGTTGTCGCCATCGGTCTTGGACAGGGGCGATGAGGAGCGGGCGATGTCCTTGCCGGCGCCGTTATTGGCGTTCAAGAACGGAGAAGGGGTTCGGCCGACGGTCGGGGGGGTCGCAGTTCGGGAAACAGGAGGAGTGGGCTTCTTGATGGAGGGCTTGTCCCATGAGGAGAAGAAATCGTCGTCAGGCTCGCCGGATGGGGTAGAGGCGTCGACATCGGTGGCGTCGGTGATGACAACCTCGCCGGGGTATCTGAGAATCGGTCAGTGAACCTGTAATCTGTCCTGGATGTTCAGTCTTGACGCACTCTTGGGCATCTCTGGCGGCCCGTCTCTTCAACTCATCCTTGTACTTGGTGGCAGCGCTTGATTGGTACTTCGTCTTGGGGTCCTTGCTGTTGAGCGCGGCGGTACCTCCGTTTTGCTGAAAGAACTTGGTAGCCGATTCGTTTCCACCGACCTTCATCAGGCGCAATTGATCCCATTGCCACTCTATCGCAGGGGTCAGTCAAAGGAAACGTGGCCTGGAAAGCCGAGGACATACGGTCGAGGTTGGTAGATCGGACGAAAGAGATATGGACACCGAGGTTTCGGTGGTTCGACGAGCAGTCGAGGCAGAGGTAGATACCGAACGGAACAGAGGTCCAGGTAGGGTATTTGGCGCCGCAGTCGAAGCAAATCTGTAGTGCAAAAATAGTCAGAACCAAAGGACACAGAGAGATCTTAACGGGCGCAGGTGGAAGGCATTACCTTGTTCGCAGGCTTCGTCTTCAACTTCTCGAAGATCTTCTGCGACTGCTGCTTAGAAGCAAGTGCAGCCATGTTGACGGTGCGTGCAAGTGACAGAGAAGGGTTTGTAGTTTGTCCAGATGCAATGCGCTGCCGTAAGAAAGGGCGGTCCGGGAAAGGAGAGTGTAGATTGCGGGTATTCGGAGAATGGGTGCGCCAACGAGAGAGCGAAGCAGGGAGCGGAGTTATCTGAATTTCGTGTCCAAAAGTTCAGGAGGCGCTCGCCGCCCTTCGCTGAAGTGGCATGTAATCAGTGCGCTAATCCTCATCCGGCTAGCTCCCTTTTCCCCACAGTGGACTGGTAGTTGGAATTCTGCCAAGGGCGGTCAGCACCTTTTGCAGAGCTCGAGGCCCAGCTACACTGGAGCTCTAGCAACAGACTGCCGAGCTTCCTCGACGACGTTCTCTTCCCAGCGAATCGCCCTCGTACGATGGCTGACGCCGAACCGCCATGATGAAATTGAACACCAGTGCAATCGCGATCCGCGCACCCACGACATTGGGCCTTGCGCCGCGACTGCAACCCTTCCGACTACAGCGCCAATACGCGACACAGACTGGTTTGGGAGCGACAGCTTCGTCCAAGCCGAAGCGGAGGACGGTCACCCCATTCAACGATACCGGAGCTGTTCCCTGGGCGGATCTTTCAGCGGGAGAAAAGGCGGCCAGAGCCACGCAGCAGACCTTCAACTTCGGCTTGATCCTCGCCGGATTGTTAGTGACGGCAAGTCATACGATCATCGTCTCTACCCCGCGGCAACGTAGCTAATGCCTGCGCGCGAAACAGGGTGGAATTGCATACGTCCTATACACCGATGTGTTCTCCCTCGACAGCAAGACTGCGCACTACAACCGAGTCGTAGACAGGATCAGAAGCGATCCGAGATGTATTGACTTGCTGGGAGACCCGAAGAAGATCTCGGCGCATGGAGAGGAGACGAATAACAAATGGCGCCGTGCTCGTCCCCTTGCGTATGTTTTCCGTGTTGTCAAGCATGAACCTGCGTGTCTAACGGCAACAGCTCGACCATCAATACCGATTCTAAAGGTCACGAGCATCTGTTGATGCACTTCCACGTAGGTCTTGATCACTGCGATTGGTATTTCACCGCCTGACTTTAGTCTCTAGGTCGAAGGGCCCCTCAACAAAGGAGTCGTCTACCTGCATATGGTCAAAACACCCAGCAGCGGTGAATTTGAGTACAAGTATCTGTATCTTGATGTCAGAGGGCACCAGAGACTCTACCTGGAGAACGACACCGGGTCTTCTGCTTCTGGAAAGAAGGCTTTCAAGTTCCTGGGCATCAGCTGGTGATGCCAGGAGTAGCAACTGTACTATATCAAGGGGTGTCAGCTGGAATCTATTATGAGCATTGTAGGATACATTCATCAGGAGGTGAGAAGGACTATTCAGTGCGTTTGCTCCATAAAGCTCCCTTGCACCTCATATACCAGCATGCCGCTCTGACTCTCGAGTATCAGTGTAGATAGAAAGTCCAGCGGCTCTCAGTTAACGTGGTCAAGTTCGGCGCAGAGAGCGCTAAAATCGCCTTGGCAGGCTATCACTCCCTCTGCTTGGTGAAGTCGTGTGAGAGCATAGGCACTTCAGGATGTTTCTATAGATAGCTCCTCGGATATCCACAGAAGCTCGGAGGGAGCTGATCAAGCAGTCCATGTTTACTAAGATACAGAAGTTGAGCAGCATTTTCAGCCCATAGAGGACGACATTCGGTCCCTGGCTTCGTAGGTGACCTTGGATAATGCAAGCGGCCGGCTTGCGCCAAACCCCGAAGCTCCGAACGAATCTCATGTCGATCAACCAACCAGGTGAGTGACGACGTGACTCACTCTAGCTGTGAGCACCTGTATGTCCAATCTGTACCGTCTCTTCCAGTCGCGCAACCCCTACCGATGGCTCCGCACCGGCGTCGCTGGCCTGGACAAGACCAAGTCGTATTCGCTGATCTCTCATATTGCTCGACAACTCGATGCCATCCATCCAGCCTGAGTCCGACTGCACATGAATGTACTTAGAATCTCGGAAGATCGTCGATATGTATCCCAGAGTTTCGGGGCCCCGCGCTAAATGCTTGTAGACTGCGCTTAGGATGCCCGCCCCAAACAGCACAAGACTGGAAATCCAACACAATAGTGCCCAGGTCTGTGAAACTACAACCTTGACAACTTCCTTGGTGTGTTTGGCTGGAACTGTGATATTTGGCTCAAAGGTTCCATCAGTGTCGCCGCCTGTTGTGATGTTGGTACCCAGCTGGCTTAGCTGTAGGTACGTGTTAATCAATTGAGCCAGGCGGACGCTGATATCCTCTTCTGTGATTCCTCTCAGAAATTCATATTCTGGTGATTGTAGGCTTCTGAGAGTTGGGTCCTTGAGGTAATAAAGGGAGGTTTCAGACTGATACAATGTAGAGGGCCGAATTACATCCGGGATTACGTCTAGAATCCCAATGAAGTTCGTTAGGAACGACAAGAAGGAAACGTATTCGGGTGGGTGCTGCTTTTGGGAAGGTCTCTGTGCCGTGACGCTGCAATTCTTGCTGAAAGTGGTAGCTGAGCACACAACCCGACTTTCAACGTACTTCTGCTTGACCCTGCAGTATGTTCTGAAACTGAAATCAGTTTCAGGGCCGCTTCTCTTTGCGTGTTGAGAGAAACCTCGAAAGAGGAGTGTCGTGGGGCCTGCTTCTACGCCCTTTTCCTTCTGGAAAAGAATGGGTGCGTACATCTTCTCCAACAATCTCTCATAATTGAGGAAAGGCCCATCCATATCATTGTTTCCCATCCAAATGGGGTCTACGAATCGGTCAAGCGCCAGACTCCACGTTGTGTCTCCAGATAGTCTGCTGGCCCTGGATGTGGGAACGTCATGCCACGTGCCATTGTACAACCGGAATAGCTGCCCGAGGGGTCCATTCCGCTCAAGACTGTTGCGGCTTGATGAAGTTTGTTGCTTTTAGAAGAAACGTTGCCGAACCACTCAATCATAGTGATGTTGCTGCATTCTATGTGTATATAGGCCGACTCGATGAAGAATGTTGTATTCCCATCCTCAATATGACCGACAGGAACGCCTACCAGGAAGGTATACTGTATCGCACTAGTGTCCAAAGATATGTTTCGCCAGACTTGTTCTTTTGCATCATTCAACATAGGTATCTTGATGTTCCCGAAGAGATCCATGGTGTCCCCTTCAATATTCTCGGGTGCGATGACATGCGGTGCGTATAGTGCCGCAAGACGTCGAATACCGGTGATCCATTAATATCCAACTGGGCCCGGTGATTCCCTCCATGATGGAAATTGATTTTTAGAGTTGTTATCGAAGTAGGTCACGCGAGTCTCCTTGTATACGGAATCATGGCGTACTGTCGTCATTTGAAGTAATGATTTTGACCCCAGCGGCGAAAGCGCCAGATGACCAATAGTAAGACAGTCTACGCATTAAATGAACGGAATCGGGCCACTGTAAGAGCTACTCCTCCAACTATTTGACTACTCGAGAGCTATTCAAGGCAGCCGGTTGTGGAAACGTTCTCAACTCGCCATCGGGCTGCTTCAGACATCTGCCGACCGCCTACGGCGAAGGGGAAGGCATGCTCTGATACTAATCACTACGCCTAACGCTGTTACGAAACGTCGCTTTCTATGCAAAACATCAAGAAGCACAAATACCACGTACTTTGAGGGACAGGATTTGAGTATCCCTACCTCGCTGGCGAGGCTATCATGCTCCTCACGACACAGATTGGTCATTCCGTTGTCACAACTTGAACTTCGACGTCTCCTAATCAGGCCGAGTCATTGCTTATTCGCTAAGCAATAAAAGAAGGGTGAATACTTGTATGAGAAGTGAACTCAAGCCAACTAAAATGGGGAAAGTCTGGATCATTCCAGAGACAAGTAAAGGTGATACCCAAGTTCGCGAAGAGTGAACAAGCTAAACCTCATCTGGGTTCATGGTACTATACGTCTGGCAACAGAGAAGCTCAGGTAATTTGAAAGTGATGGTAACAGTATTCACCTTCCTAGCTTACAAGCACGGCAAGGATTGCTGACGTCTTGCCTGAACTCGTCTATACTTGGGTATCTGGGAGTTCCCATTTATCTTTCAACATGAGATTACGATATCTATTCTTGTGAGCCAGCTTCACTGATTCACAAAAAGACGATGGTTAAGTCCTTGACAATCTCGACAAGGGTTTCATTTCCTGGACTCTTTCCCAAGAGATGACATATACTACTTGAGCTACGTGGTTGGCTTTATGCTGCTGGTGTAGTAGGTTCCAATCATTCAAGTCCCACATCAACACGCGGAGAGCCCGGAAACTACGACTTCAGCACTTTATTTGCATTGAATATCCTCTCAGTTATGTGAGCTTTACATATATTATTCGAAGTCATAGGGGTTTCACTTTCAGTTTCACTGGACCGCTGGTCAGGGTATAGGAGCCAGATGAAAAGTCTACTCCAAGACTTCTATACCCGATCAAGACTTCAACATCGTCCCTGCCAAAATCCTCCATCATCAAGTTGGGCTGTGTGGCCACCAAATCTGTGAAAGATTCCATGTAAAATAGAAGGCTTGGTTGGGAGTAAACATCAGAAATTTAATCGCTACATCTAAGTAGAGAGTGCAAGAACCATTGGAGACTTCGAGGGAAAATGGTTACGTCTGAGCTTCCTCCAGAGTCATACACTCACTGAAGAAGTACCGGGTGTGATCTCTCCGTTTTCATCCCACCCGCATCTTCATCCAAAGTGCCGTCTTTCTACCAGTTATGACAGAAACGTAGTCGCCGACGCAAACATTCATCCACCCGCTTATCCTGTCAATTGAATGTGGAAAACAGACGTTGAGCCCCGAGCGGTTGGCGGCCTCTTTGAGGTCCAGACCACGATCTTGTTGAGCGTCATTCAATCACACTCAATTCTACCACAGACCACACGTTCGTTTTTCTATTTTCCCCAGCGTAATTGAAACCAACCACCAGCAGATAAAGAATTCGCGCAAAGAAGTTCCGAATATCCCTCTTGGCTCCCTCAGAGCCACGTAAGCGGGACCGTAAGCAGGCGCCGCCGTCAGGGCGCTTGATTCGCCCAAGCCGCTTTTCAGCTCTGTTGCCTAAAACACCACCTGCACTTCCACCACCCAGACACAGGCACCCGCAAACATGCCAAAAAAGCTGGGGTAAACGGAATGTGGCACACACGTCAAAGCACCGGGGCAGACTTCAACGACGGACTAACCGGCGTGAGGCGCAGAAGGAAGCCGTGTCACAAGGTGCATATATGGACGATTTGCCGCCTTTTCCCCAGGCAGAACTTCGCCGTCTTCTGCACGTACAGCCACGCAAATCCGCCCTACAGATTACTCTAAAACCATAGTCTCCGTTTTAAAGGCATCCGCCTCAATCCACCGCACGTGCTTCGTCGACGTCAAACCCGAACTTTGAAGTAGTCCTCCTCCCGTCAAATGTGCATCCCTCGCCCGCGGAGACACAGATCCTCCTCCAGCACGACCTCTCCCATCACAAACCTCCCCTACGACCGCCTGGAATCGCCGCCCCCGACGCCGCGAATGGCCCCCAAACCACTCACCACCACCTCAGCGATGCCGACCATCGGCATGCCGGGACCCTCCTCAGCCCGCGTCTCCTCCCAGCACGAGCGCCTGCTCCTCGAGCTCCTCCCCTTTAAAGAAGCGTCCAAGTTCCACGAGTGGCTCGACAGCCCCTTCGTCCGCGGGCCCTGGAACGAGTTCCACGCCGACTTCCTCCTCCGGTGCGGGGCCGCGTCCGGAGGAGGCCCGTCCGGTGGTGGTGGCGGCGCCGGCATCCCGGAGCCGGACAAGGCCCGCACCGCGCAGGCCGCGCGCGAGGCCCTCAACTCCAAAAAGCCAAAGTTCCTCGTCTACCACCCGGACAAGACGGGCTGGACCGCCGAGGACCACTACGTGCGCTTCATCATCACCCTCGTCGCCGACAACCTGCTGCAGAACCTGTGGTACGAGTCCGAGTGGAAGAAGCGGGGGCTCGACATCGCAAAGGCCGCGTACGAGGTGCTCATCTTCCTCAAGGCCACCCTGTACGTCGACCCCAGCCCGCCGAGTTACTCGGCATGACGTCGGGCGGGCGGGCGCGGGGTTTTCGTTTTCTTTCGAGTTTTTGTTGAGTCGTTCGCGCGGGATCTTGGGGCGCTATGGGATCGGGCGCACAATCGGCGTTTGGGTAATGGGCGTTTTTGGTTGTTGTTTTTTGACTCTCATGTGCTGAGGGGGGAAGGTCTTGCATGGCATGAACCGATTGAATTTCCTGGCAAGGTTGGCCAATCGCGACGGCGGGTGGGTGTTGTCGATGCCCTCATGGCAAGATCAGATCATCTCGCGGAATCTAACAGAGACGTTCCCTTTCACATGGCAAAAAGAGATATTCCGTCATAAGACACACGCAGGGACAAATGTTGAGATCGAACAAGCTCCCGTCCCGCCCCGCACCCGAGGTTAAGTTGAAATCCGCATTGCCGGAAAGCTTCACCCCAGGATGACGAAGTTTAGAGCTTGGTCGCATAGACATGGAGTTCAGCCAAACAGAGACGTTCTGGACTATTACCGGTTATACGTGTTCCGGATCAGCCCAGGTTCTCTGGTAATTGCCCTGCCGCGCGAGAGAGAGGGGACAACTTGCTTGTTACCTTTCATGCGGCATAAGCAACCAGGAACCAGTTCCGAAAATGCGGGCTCGTTGTTGAGTTGGCATGTGACAGAGAAATGGTTCAGAGAAGTTAGAACTCAGAGAACAGAGAGAACCGCAACTACATCCTCCCGAGTTTGGCCAGCATACTTTCCGATGCGAAACATGACAACTGTCCCGGCGAACTCTGGCCAACTTCCGAATTATGAACGAACCAAACCTCGAGGAGATCACTAGTCTACGAACACACCCCCTCTCAGTTGAGCCCGCAAAAAACAAGTTGACACATGCTGCGAAAAAGGCCCGATGTACTTCAGTTACGTGTTGTACAATACATCTCAGTTTATGTATCCTCGGTTACCCGTTCTTAATAGGCCGGAGACTTTTGTGGGATAAAGAGACGTGTGAAAGTCACCGCGTCTTCTTCTTCACACGACCCCCTTCCATGTCCATATGCATGGTCCACAAGTTTGCGCAATCAAGTTTCTTGCGACGACCACACACCCGGCTGGCACTTGCAATGCCAAGGACAAACATTGGATAGGAAGAAACACGCCGGGAAGTGTAGTTGCGTGGACATGTCGATGTGCAGTCTAGACCTTCAGCGCATATGCAGGACGAAAATCGTAGTAGGCGATCAGAGCCACTCTGGCCAAGAGGGGGTGATATTGCAACGCTCCCCAGTGGCAAAGGAGCTACTTAGACTCCAGTGAAATTGTGACCGTAAGAGCCACAGCCCTCTTCAGCCTCAGCAGCCCTCTACAATGACAGAGTCAAGCGCTTGCGGCGGGATCACGGGGGGCGATCTCGGGGAAGACATGGGAGGGACGGGAGGGGGTGGACGGGTAGGCAGGCGGGGAAGCGGGATGTGCAAGGTCCCCCAGATGCAAGTCATCGCAGCGAGGTTGACGGCTCTGTTGATAATTTCTTCTTTCTGCACACTCTTCGCCGAATCTTGCCTTGAAGCTCGCGCGGGTTTCTGGAGGGCTAGTGTAGAAAAGCATGCAGACCGACGGGATGCATCGTCCGGCAGTGGGAGCGGTAACGGCAACGGCTGCGGCATTTGGGGACGGTGGTGACATGAGACGAGAAACGGGTGCTTGGATGCCAGCGAAAGGAGATTGCGGAGACGGGGAGAGAGAACATTGACAAACAGCAAAACAAACATTGTAGCAGGTGTAGCGAAAACAATGGGCGAGTGTGTTGTGAAGTCGTAGTTGGATGGGGAAGAATGCTGTTTTCCGGGGCGCGGGCGGCGCGGGTGCGGCTCACACAATAGAAGCTTGGTTGCAAGAACAAACCGGGGGTTGTCCGCCGCCCGTGAGGATCCGGGAAGATGGAGCCAGGGTTAGACGACCTCCGCACGATTGAGCGGCATTGTGGGCTGACCAAGAAGCGGGAGGCGCCTGTGAGAGGGTTCTCGTGCAGCAAAATCGTCTCAACTCAGCGTCGGGATCTGATGTTTTTTTTTTCCCTCTCGCCTTGGCCCGCACCGCGCACCGCATCGTACCTTTTCTCTCTCCGCTTCCAACCCCATCTGTGGCTCTCCAACTTCGTGGGTTGCAATCGGATGCGCGGCGAATGGGCGATCTGTATGCGAGGGAGCGGGAGCAGCAGCAGTAGTGGCAGCAGTAGCAGCGCAACGTAAGGCAGCCCGCGGCCCCCCTTCTGGCCATGGACAGCGTTGTAGTGATATCCAGGCCCAGGTCCAGATGCCCGTCGTAGATCCCCGGCTTGCGGGCAGAGGGAGAGGTACGATATAGTACAGAACACAGAGTGGCTGCCAAGCAGCAGCGAGATGGTGTTTGGTGATGATGATGCCGGGGTCGTCACTGGACGATGTGATATCGTATATGTGACTCTCATGCTGCGTGGCTGCGAGTGGACGCGTCAGTAGTTTGTCGATCCGGGCAATCAATCTATGCTTTTCTTAGATTGTGTTTCTGTCCACGGCATCGCTGTGGTGCGGCTAAAGTCATGGCTGGGGTTCCGGGGAGAGATGTCGACTGATCGGACAAGGCCTTGGAAGAAACAGCGTTTCAGGCGATGCGGACTGGCTCTCACCACCTAACGCTTCAATCTTGGCAGTATCTCTCTGTCGTCGCACCCTCTACACGACTCTCTGTCTTACACCGTCTCGGCTAGTCTGGACCGGCGGCGGATAGACCAGTCGAAGGCCGCGATGGGCTGCGTTTGTAGTCCGGGACCGGGATCTGGTGCGGGATAGGATGATCTCCCGATTTCCAAGATCGTAAGATGGAATGGCGTTATGTTGGACAAAAGAGCGGAGAGACAACCGGAGAGATATGGCGGAGAAAGGACGTTACGGAGAGAAGGGTGAATTCCACATCCTTGGCCGGTTCCGTCGGTGAGATTAGTGGCCACTCTATTCATCCTACTGCGAGCCTGTGATGCAACGCGACCTCAACTTCGGGAAGGAGAGGCGATGGATGGCCAAGTTGTGTGTGTGTATGTATGTGTGTGTACTGTGCGCGTGTCACAATGGCATACGACCACGGTGAGTTCGCAGCGTAAAGTTCCAAACGCAACTGGTGTACTGCGGTACAAGGACCCAGGAACCCGACGTCGTCATCAGTCCGCGTTCTAGACCTCGAGTGAAGTCGGAGAATATCAAGCACGTACGTACAATGTACGTGTGTTGCCAGTTGCTAACTCTGAGTAGAGTTGGTGGGAATAACCTCAAACCAACCAATGCGGGTTGATGGGGCTGTATTATGTCACCAATTGAAGGGATCGCGGCATTAAACAGCGTTTGGGTGAGGAAATAACTCACTCACCACGATTCAAACCTCAGCAGAGGGAATTTCTTGCACGCTGTAATTCCGCGCTGGATGGCGTCTTTCTCGTGGGAGGACGGGACCGTCGCAGGGCTGGTGCTTCAACAGTCTCCAGTCTCCAGTCCCCAGTCTCCGTTCTCCAGGAGCTCCAGAGGGTCTGGAGGGGTGCGGATAGCTGAACGTGCTCCAAGTCCAAGATCTGGGGCTTTGACGGAGGGCGAGATAGTCGCGAGCGGGATGCGACAGGCCAATTTGGGGGACACAAGTACCGCAAAGTCACTCTCCCCAGAGGGATACCTCTCGTCGATTTCGGTGGACGGGCAGTGTCCAGAGTGTCTTCAGCGCTCTTTCTTGCGCTACGGCGGTATTCCGTTCAGGATGTCGGGAGACCCTAACGTTGAAGAGGGCATGAACTCCACAGCGATGAATGTTCCCTTGGTGGTGAGAATATTCATCGTGCCCTGTGTGGAGGGTACGCCACCTGGCCAAGGCCGTCCTGCCAGTGTCCATATCGGAATCCAATAGACGAATGGACGACGAGATACGTCCCACGGTCCAGCGCTTTGGCGTCCTTGTTCCTGACATGGAGGTGCTGGGTGCGCTGGGGGAGAAGCTTGGCGCGCCGGTAAGCCTGGCAGCGGCTTCGCGGTGCTCCAATAACAGCACATCTTCCGCTGTGCAGTGTGTGCTGTGTGTGGAGCGCCTCGATCTGACGCCATATTTTCCTTCGAGAACAAACGGGGCAGCAGAAGAGTTTCCCCACGAAAACCCGCGGCACCCCGGCTCTCGACCATCACGGTCCTCCCTTTTTTTTCTCGTCGAGCCTGCGAGCCTCCGAGCCTCCAGCCGCATCCGGACTTGCCCGGGTCTAACGACTGCACCAAGAGTCCAGGATCCAACTCATCCTTTGCCTCAGCCTCAGTGAGCCACGACACGACTGCAGTCACTGATGCGGCTTACCAACACATCACGGTGGAGTCCCCAGACCAAGCTCGCAAGCCCAGGACTCCAGCTCCCGCACCGTCACCCCAGCTTGCCCAGCCCAGCACCTCACCCAACCTTCTTTTTGCCCGGCCGATGACGGGCGAAGGGGGGCATCTGGGCGGTCCGCGTCAAGCCGACATTTGGCCGATGGTGACGATGAATTTTCATGCTCTCGGTGGAGCCGGTCCTTGACCGACCGCTGCTTCCTATCGGTCCTTAACCGCTGAATCTCTGGCTGGTGGCGGGTCGCCGCTGATATTCGGTGGAGTTATTTGGTTTTTTTTCTCCCTACGGAGCATTCCCGCCTCATAATTCCAGTCCTCCAAAGGCTCACACTTCGCGAGTCTCGGAATTTCTCCTGTTTTTCCTTGTTAGAATTTTCTTCTGCAACTGAGTCTCGTCAAAGTCTGGGGCTGCGTTTTTCCGGGACCACCAAAGGGGGGCCAACAACGACTTCGGACTGGTACCGTATTATCGATTCATGCTCGTCCTATCTGTCGGCCAAGCTCCGGACCTTGGCCCGGCCCTTCTCCAGCCGGGCCTGGTGGCCTTGCCTGCTTGTGCTGAAAATACTCGGCTTATTCGTCGTTACCTCGGCCACTAGCCGCCCTGTCCTCCACTTCTTCTGCCTCGTCGTCCTTGTCATCATTATCGCCGTCGCCGCCGCCGCCGTCTTCTTCGTCGCTCGCGGCCTGCGTTCCCAGGAGCAAGTCTTCGCTGCCTTGCCATTGCGGTGGCATCCCGGGAAGTGCCGCGTCGTCGTCTTGTGCCCACCCGTACTCCTCGTCGTCTTCGTCGCTGTCGGGCACCTCGAGACCGGCTTCTGCCAGCTTGCGCTTTGCCCGTGGAGTCGTCGATAGCAGCACCGATGGTTGGCTAGTGTCGTAATGCACGCCAATCAGGCCCGTCTGTCAACACAACGTGGAGTGTCAGCCAACCTAATCTCCCTTCTCGGAAACTCCGCATCTGCCACATTATGCCGCACTCGTGAATGCCCAACAAAATTACTGACCGCTTCAACTCTGAATGCTGCTGCGCTCTGCATCGAGTCCGACCCAGCCTTGCCGTCTAGCTTCTGCACGCCAGCGAAGCACACACTCGACGGGCTGCCATCCCTCCAGACCCAGTCTCTGAAGAGCACCAGCCGCGTAGATACCCCCTGCTCCCAAACCCCAGCGTTAATGGAAGGAATGAGAGTCGGACTCCGCTCCGATTGCATCTTGGTCGCGCATTGCGACAAGACCACAACAGCACAGTTTCGCGTCGCTGCTAGCTTCTGGAGCGCGCTGACGATGTACTGCAACGCTTGCAGTCGCTTTGCTGATGGTCCTGGACCTGCATATCATCAGCATATGCCCCGCTCATACAGTCGACTTGAACCGGCTTGCAGACCTTTGCCTTGTAGCGCTGCTTTCCTTCCATCGGGTGCTTTGGGGAAGGCGTGATTCACCAGCGCCGATAGCGAGTCGATGACCACTAAGGCCGTGTTTGCTGGTACTGTCGTCGCTGAGGGACGGCAAAGCAGCGCAACTAGATGAGGCAGACTTGGACAAGTGTAGTGGGTGAAGTTGTCTCGACCTAACGATTCTGCTTGGTCTTCCGTCGATGTAGAGGCACCCTCTACTGCCTCAATCACCGCGGCGAGTCGTCGTCCACATAGTAGATAGGCGCAGTCTTGAAGGAACTGTCAGTCTTGTCGTGCTCTGATGCGATGCAACGCGGGCTAAGATGAACCGACCTACCCACACGGCACCATGGCCCTCGCGAAGAGCATTCGCAACGAGTTGGATGCTAGAAGTGGAAGAACAGGATTAGTACCGCACTGTATCTTGCGTGGCTGGTGAAGTAATACCCCAGGGCCGTCTTGCCAGAACCTGGCGGTCCCCAGATCTCGGTGACCTGGCCTTTCAGAATGCCTCCCGGTCGTTTCGAGTCCGAATGTTCGGAAGAACCAGAAGCATCAAGTGTTTTGTCCAGACTCTCCAGCCCGGTAGGAATATGCCTTGACAGGTCTTCGTCCAAGTCTTCTAGCACCTGTGCAGCGGACACAGTGGGCAATCGGTCTGCGTCTCGTCAGTGCTCAGATCCTACTGCTACGGTGACAAACGTACGCGTGGAAGGAAGATCGAAGCTGGAAATATCCTCCTCATGAACGGAGTGGTATTTATCCATCGCTTAACAAGCCGCCGTAGACCATCGTCTGCGCCAAAGACGTGCTGTTGTCGAGTTATTCCTGCCTAAAGCCACTTAGGTTGGAGAAGGCGTACAGTACGCGTGACTCCATATCCACACGCGCGCCTCACATGATGTCACCAGCCACATTGGGAAACCGCGTATGTGGCTGAGGCTGAAGATGGGCAAGAACGACCTAGGACATGAACGGCTCCTCGGGCCTTCCTGCCTCAACCCCAAGTAATAACCTCTATGGAAGGCAACTACCTGCAACTACGTTCCAGAATTGAAAAGACAAGTCAAGAGCTGGAATCCGAATTCCAAATTGACATCCAGTCCTTCTTTCGCACATACACACCGATGATGGAAGTTCAAGTTCGCCAATGGCCATCGCAGAGCACCCCCAAAAAGTGCGACTCCGTGCGTCTTCACGAAACCAAGGGTTCACATGATGACTAGAGCCCAGAGCCTCACTTGCAATCATGGCTTTTTTTTTCACCTTCCCGACAGAACGCTCGAATCTGTTCTCCATTCTTCCGATACAATCTACTATGCGGACAGCCTCCCTGGATACGACGTCAATCCAAACAACAAAGCACAGAGTCGTCTCAGCCCATTAAGCCCACTGTTACCGACTTCCTGGAACGTTTTCGGATGCCGTCCTACACATTCGGACGACAAGAAATGTCAACCGCGGATCCATCCCCGGCCAAACGGGTGGAACGTGGCCGTCGGGTCGATTGCTCGAGCGCCGCCAACTTGCATACCTGAACCTCCTTCTTCACCAAACAAGTCTATTTCCATCTCCTTTCGGAACATTCTAGGGCCTCTCCGGTTTCACTCTCGCTGCAACCCTACTGCCAACCGGATACCACCAGCTCTCAGACCTTTAACTTGACCTGCGATGGTTATCTTACGGCAAATGCCTGGGCGAACCTATTCGTGGTTTCATCAGCATACGGCACTTGTGGATTCGCACGCCTTGCAGCGAGTCAAGTCAAGAAGTCCTGATACCGGCACGCTAAGGTTCAGGCTCAGAGTGCGAGCAAAGGTCAACTAAGTCGAAATATCGCAGACGACCACAATTTCGCCGAGAACTACGTCCAATAAGAAGCATCAGCAGTTGCTTTGATCATGCCTATCAAGGTCAATATCTCTCGAGACACTTGCGGCATGATCCCGCGTGGGGCCCTGCGGGGGTTCGGTATGTCTAGATTGAGCAACTTATTGATCTTGGGGTCTCCCCATGGGATCCAGGACGACCCCTCGGGGGCAGAGGTCCTACCCGAGATGCTGGAGGCTCAGGGCAATATCGAAAGCCAGCATGACCTGTCTAAAACGGACACTCGTCGGCTCGGAAATCGGGACGGTGGTTATCTGCTCCACCACTCGCGGACAGTCGTTGGCCAAGACCCTTGCGAAGATCAAAAATGTGTGCGACTTCCACCCGACAGAGCAGACCTGAGTCGCCCAGCAGGCCGCGGCCAACAGTCGCCCTACGTGGTTGAACCTCAAATGCCCAACAAGAAGACTACCAAGGATGTTCCTGACAAATATGCTCCAAGAAAGCATAACGATGGAAGACGATGCCATGCAGCCGCGCCGTCGTGCATGTTCTTGAACAGAACATCCGCTGCTGTAATCATCAGTCCAAAAATCTTTCGACTTCATACCGAGACCCGAGCTCGGGTCGACGGATCACGTTGTTCTTTTCCAAGAGGTGTCTAGAAATCGATTTCTGCGTCCTCTGGCCCAGGCTGGGCGTCGTTCATCTTACAAACTGGGGACATTTGCCAATAAATCCCCATGTGACTTGGGCATTTTTGACCTGGGGTTCATAACGTGGAGGGCAGGCGGAGTTGTCTTCTTCCGTTTAGCTGTCCGCAAATATTGTGGGGGAGCTGATATCGGGACTCGGGCCAGCGTTTTGCGGCGCTTCAAATTGCCTGAAATCGCTCGCTCACAGGTGCGGTTAACGGAGCGTCAGGGCGCGCAAAAGCCACAGAACCAGTCCGGCTGGTCTGGCCAAATTACTTGACTTTTGGCATCCATGTGTGATGCAAGGTACGCGCTTCCCCAGCATTTTTCATGTGGAAGAATGTTACCGTTTCTCCAAATACTAATTGCGGTTCCCAAGCTTTGTCGCTGACATCATGGTCAAATTCTCTCTTCGGGGGAAAGGGGCCGACTTCCCCCTGGGGTACCCCCCCTTTTCACCTTATCTTTTCACATGTGAACGAGGGGTCTATCTGCGTTCCAAAACTCAAAGCTTTTGCAACAGCACGAATTGCAATCACGGAGCGATGCCTCAATGAGGGATGAGTCTCGGCGCCGTTCATTTGTCTGTTTGCGTCTCACTGAGGCGACCAGGACACAACAGAGACTTCACGGCGCCACTCGCATACCACCAGCTCTGACCAAGCAGAAGCTCAGAGCTTGCTTGCTTGTGCTTGTCGGAGAATCTCGGGATCTCGACATCCCTCAGAAAAATGGGACTCAGTATCATAACAGCACACCACACGTCAACGTTCACGCCCAGAGGCGTGGCTCTGACTCTCCCCACAGCCTATCTGTATCGCCCCCCCGTAAAACGCCATCCCCAGTCCGTTCCTACGCCCCAGATTCGTCGCCTTTTTCCAGGAAGCTGGTTTCAAACACAGGCTTGTCCCGGCAAGGAGGCTCGGGTCAATCTTCACCCAGGGCAGTCTGGGCAGATAACACGATACCGCCGCAATTGTCCTCAACTACGGAGTACAGCTCTACGAGCCACCGCCCAGGCCTCCTGGAAAACATTGCGGGGGTACGGATACTCTGAAAAAGAGGCAAGTCTGGGGAAGCTTGGGCAGATCCAGTCTGTCACTTAAGAGCTCGGTTCATTTCCGTTGGACCGTTTGGCCAGGGACTGACTCATACCTCGACGAGTTTCGTAATCGAGGCAGAAGGCAGCCATGGCAGCCTCCAGTTTGCGCGAGGAACTGAGCGATGATGCACCCGTCGATGGGATTAAGAAGCCTTGCAAGAAGCCACTTGCTTCAGCGTCCACACCTTGAGGCACTCGGTGATTTCAGAGTCAGCACTTCAGAGTATCGCGGCTTATCTGGAATTTGATCAACTGCCAAACGCATTGAAGTAGTCAAGACCAGTCTTGGAACTTGTAAGAACTCGTTCAGGGGGAGAGGAGTTGAAGCCGCGGTGGAAACAAGCCAGCGGGGTTCTTTCCGCGCCTTTTGCTGAACAATGGCAGACTTGTCTCGTTGAGCGAGACAACCAAAGCCGCGCAACTCTAACAGCATCAGAACCATGCATTTTTGCGGTACTGGAAACGCCAGCGGTGTTTAAGTCCCCGCACACAGGTGCCTCTTATGCAAGATCATCGTTTCTGCCCCGCGAAATCCGTCGGAAGTTACATGCCACCCGGCGACAGTAGTGGTGCGCTCTATCCCACAATGGTGCGATGAGCGTATGATTCTCCGCAAATCACAATTGCGCCTCGTTCAATAACTCAACAACACAGCGCAGACAAGTTCCCGTTGCTTCGCAACTACCTTACCAAGCAGTTGACGGTGGACTCGGAGGCGTGCTGCTCTCTCGGCATGTCTCCGGTCAAGAACAGGATTACGTGATATTCAAACAAGTGGGAAGGGTACGCCGGGCGGCTTAGCTCTACGTATTGGGGTTACTCGACGATAAGCAACTTACCCCGGCATCCCAGCTTTATCGCGGTGCCTCGACTCGAGGGCTCTGCATGATCATCTTCAATCCGAGCGGGCCCTCTCTCGAGATATTGGACCAGCGGCACATTGATGACCAGGAGGTGACCGGCAATTCACCTGATGCGTCCCAGTAGCGCAGAATTCGACGTCCGAACCAACCTGATAGCCGCGTGGAGAAATCCGGGGTTGACGTCGAGTCTTGCTCAGAATCAACGGCAGTAGACCTCGAAGAGTTCGTAAAGACATCGTTGTCAAGCCTACGCAGGCTTTTTGGAGTTTCTCGGCCGGAGCATATCCCAAGCTACGGATGCCGAAGTCCCGCGACGCTTGTGCAGCAGATCTCATTGCAAATGTTGGAAATTCACAGAGAGCTGGATCACCTCACTCTACGTTCCGATGTCCCTGCCATTCAGATGTTTCTGGCGTTGATAAGAGCCTGAATCGGTTCAATTCACAACAACATGGGCTAATTCTACACGAAGGTCATAGCATGCACCGGATAGCAATGCGCAACACTCGACGGAGCTTGCCGCCCGAAAGATGCCAAGCGACGTCGTTGTGCGGAATGAGTCTGGGGATGAGAGATCTCACCGTTCCCCAAATTTTGGGACAGGGTCGTTGGGGTATCCCCCGGATATTCTGAATGAAGCTTAGCGCAAATGGCAGCTCGGGGGATCGACCGTACCTGGAAGGAAGGTCTGATCTTGAAAAGGCAGTTGGATGAGGGACTATGATCTATCTAACAAGCCAAGAGCTCAAAGTGCGATTGCGGACACGCCGCTGTATGGGGGGATTTACAGACCGAGAAGGTGGCGTCTTGCAGCGCGAATAAGATGCGAGCGCAAATGAAGGCTGCGATGGCGATATCAACACGACAGCATTCAGTCGCAGCCCATAGGATGCGATGCCCCCACGTGGTGTGCCGCCCTACTCCGAGTGAGGGGTCTTTGCTCTCAAAATCATCAGCGCCGACCAGATCAAGACCCTGCCTTGGGCTATGGAAGCTGAACCCTGACCTTGGGTACTGGAGTAAGCAAGCTTTTACCTGTTCGACCAGGTCAGCAATAATGGCAGCTGAATCTCACTGGGCGTCTACGAAAGTCGAAGTCAAGAGAGAGAGACTCGAGAGGCAAAGACAAGACAACTTGCGGTTGCCTCAATGGAAAGCAAGACTTGGCCACAGAACAACTTGCTCCACCAAGAACTATCGCCGGTGAGTGAGCCTCACCATTGCTGGCCGAGACAAGGAGAAATTCGTGGGTATCCACAGACCGAGCAACGAGCGAGCCGAGGGTCAGAACTTCCATTTGCCCTCGGCCATGGAGTACCGAGGGCCTCCGAATTACAGCAGCGCCCGCCGACCCTGTGTCCGCCGGTCGGCTCCAGGTGGCGGCTACACAGGGCTGGTGTGTGTGTGAATCCGACAAGCGCAGTAATACCCCATAAATCAGCTCAGGCGGCTTATCTCTTGCGGATCACGTCGTCTGGCGTCGCGCTGACGAGCGCTGAAGAAAGTCACGATACGGAAATTTGACTCATCTGGAGCAAGACTTTTTCTGGTCGCGCTTACCGCGCAGTGGAGACATGACAAGACCGGCCGAGACATGCCTACAGCATAAAGTCAGTAGTCTCAACAGAGTCGTTGTCTTCGCTCAGACTATACCGCTGAGAAGTTGAGGGTGTCATCGGAAGGTTTCTGATGACCAAAAGACGCAGGTGATGTTGCGGTGAAGGAGGTGCAAAGTTGATCGACGATATGCGTGAAGGGTCTCGAATTGGGTGTGTCTGGTGACGAATACATACGCCTGCAGGCTTCCTCCGTCGCCTCAGAATAGGAAAACGTCGCTCGAATTTGGTGGTTGGGATCCGGTACCGCTCCGACACTCTTATCTCGAAGGAGGGCAGCTAAAAGGAATCTGACAGAGCGGTGCCCCCACATCACCGGCGGGCCCCCGGACGTGGAGTTGCGAATGGGCTCGGAAATGTGTTCCCTGGCGTCGCAAACGACGGACTAGAATGTCGGGCTTCAAATGAGCGCTCGTGCGACGGCCTCGCTTGGTCCTCTGAATGCTACGGGTGGAAAGCCAAAGGCGGCAGAAAGGAGAAATGTGCAGGTTTAGTCTGGACTTGGGCCGCGAAATGACAGCTCCAGCCGTGTTACTGCTCGAAATCCCACCTGGCGACCTTCCCGTCCGCCATGGCTGGCCTATTGGTATCTTGATGGTTTATTAGGATGGAAGGGATTGACAATGGCGGATCGAGCAGACGTCGGCCCCCACCCCGCGGGGTTGTTACCCCGACCTCATCCCATCGTGAGCTGAGGATTTCGGAACGCGGCGCCGTATCAGCTCGCGCGAGCGGCTTTGTGTTCCGTGATACGGCCGGCACAAAGATAGCTCTACGCTCGCATGGGAACCAACCGCAAGCTCCGGCGAGGATGTACAAGCAGTGGCCTGGGGAAAGGAGAACGGCATAGATGATGCTTATTGGACTCCTTGGGCATGCGCTTCGCCTTGCCCATGCCTGACGACACAGAGTGCCATGATCATTACATAGTGGTCAACGAGCACGCGGCAACTGGCATGGGCGATCCCGGAGACGAGTCAAGGCGACTGAAGGCCGGCAAACTTCCTCAGCTGATGCTCGCGAGATGAGAGCATGATTGGATTCCCCCGTGGAGACGGAACGAGGAAATCTTGTTGGGCAACATCTCCCCCGGATTTCCTTTTGTCAATAAATGCAGGCTCCCGCGGTTCAAGGTTCAGCCCCCGTCCATCCCACGGGGTAAAATCTGGCGATGAGGAGAGGGCCAGGCAGGATTATGCCATTGGTGAGGACGACAGGGCGGCGCATTGCGATTGCGTGACGAGGGGGGCATATCTTTTGTGCTTCTTTTCTTTTCGACGACTATCGGTCGGCCTTCTCACAGTCTCACTTCCCTGAATAGCTTCTCCAGGCCTCGGCAGGCCAATCAGAATAACGGATGGTGGCACAAGCTTGGGATTATTTACGACTAAGCCACCACCTCCGTCGCCTCACCGCCCCGCGCCCGCCCGCACAATGGTAAAAGTCAGGCAGGCTCAGGGTCGTCAGAGGTCAACCGGGACCGGGCTGGGGCTAATCTCGGCGGCCTGGGGAAAGGAAAGCGGGATGTGAAGGCGTGGAGGCCAAGGAATTGGTTTTTTTCCTCCTTCTCCATTCACCGAAGTGAGAGCCCACGTTGCACCGGGCCTCGTCGATATTTTACGGATACCGTAATGGAGTTTGCCGCAAACAGGAGGCACGTGTCGGTAGTAGACCGAGATGTGGCTCGAGAAAGGAAATTTGAGTATGGGGACGCTGGGGAGAAGGGAAAGAAAATTATCGTCGAGCGGGAATAGCGGCGGCGATACGACACGGATACGTTGCGGGTGGATAGGCCAATATTGCGAATGAGGCCGAGGATTGACCACGAACAGGCCAAGGCGAACTTGAGGCATGCATTCCCACTCGGCCACGACACGACACGACACGCCATTGACAAACCAAAAAGCACCCCAAGGCAGAGACCGAGACCAGGCCAGCGAGAGACGGTTTTCCCGCCCAGGCCAGGTAAGACGGAAGGGGAGGATAAGGATCCCTACAGAGTGCTCCGTACTCCGCGTAAAATAAAGCATGGAGATGTTGACTTGAGACCAGTTGACTAGGGACTCAAGACTAGACGATACACACAGGCTCATTGTGGATGGATACTGCTGGTCGGAACGGCGGTATTCTGGAGTCTGGACTATGACGAGAGGACCAGCGGCTTTACTACGACGGAATTACTCCAAAACGAGGCCCTCGAACATGACAATACGATGGTCTTGACAAAGACGGGCGGCCGTTGCATAACAGATTTGGACCTCGGGCAGGGCAGCAGCACAAGCAAAGAGCTAATGATTAGCACATCACATCGCAAGTTGGGTGAGTGGTATCCGTATGCCTTCCATTACAATTACGATACGGTACCTAGGTGAGTACGTTATGGCCCCCAGTTCTCGTTCTCTCTCCCCCAGGCCAGGCTGTTTCTGTCGCGAAACCAGGGCGGTATCTACGGCACGGCATTGCTGCGTTGTCGTCGTACCTTACTTTAGATACCCTGCCCTACGGAGGTACGTTCCTCTCGCGGGTAGATGAGGCGGCAAACAGGTAGTTGTACCTACGATAACGACTGGCCATTGTCCGAGGACCCAGAAAGGGGAAAAAAAAAAAAAAGAAGGGAAAAAAAAGACGAGCAGGAAAAAGGTACGTACCGGTCGATGCCTTCGGGAGAAGGACAGAGCACGTCCTCTTGGCTTTTTTGCGAGTGGGGAGGGAAGAGTGGGGTCCCCAGTGCAGGTTCACTAACCCCCTCGCTGGATACGCACCTCCCCGCTTCTCCGAAGCACACCCCTCCCTCTCCTTTCCCCCTTCACCCGCTCCAGAGACCAGTCCTGAGTCCTGAGTCCAGAGGCCAGAGGCCAGAGGCCGGAGACCACAAACCACAGAGACAGAGAGTCAGATAACAAGTCACTTTCATCATCAGTCACTGTCACTGTCACTCTCACTCTCGCGCCGTACGGATACCCGGCCTTGATCTCTCACAGGCTGGCCTCTGATGCCATTGCCGCCCCCCCTAAAACAAGCATCCCTACCTGGCTGCTGTGACCTGGCCTGGCAGTGCTCCAAACGGAAAGGAAACCGTCCACTTTGCTCGCCGGTCGTCATATGTGTGTCTTTGGTCTGGCGGCAGCCCTGATTCTTGTCTCTGGCTGCTGGCTGCTGGCTGGCTGGTCAGGCAAGACGAGTCTGACCTACCTTGCCGAGTGTAAGGCAGGTCTGAAGCTGAAGGATAGATAACGAGACGCGGCATCAGTAAGGTACAACGCATGACTGCTGCCGGTGCTTGGTGCTGATGGTGCGCTTGACGCTTGACTGGCGAGCTTGACGCTGGAAATGGAGCACATGGGGGACATCGGCATCCATCCATGGGGGTCCCGCATTCGCACCCGCGCCGTCTCTCGCAGGTACCTCTCATTCCCCATGTACCTTTGACGAGTATCTCCTCCTCGATGGCGACGCTGTCCTGTTGCCCTTAGGTAACCAACTGGGGGAGTGGCAGCGGTGCCCCAGAAGCACAAGCAAAGGAGGGAAGAAAATGTCGCCCGCCCTGGAGCAAGTCGGAAAGCAAAGCAAGCACCTCATGCCAGGAGAAACGGTGCAGGGACAAGTACCTTCACTAGCAACATCAGCAGCACAATACCAAGCACAATTCGCCAGGAAGCATTCAGCACCAGCACCAGTACCAGCACTCAGCATACTCAGCAGCACTTACCCAACATGTACAAATCCGATGGATAAAGGTAGGCAGTGACAAGAGAAATGGAAACTGAGGTGAGGTATCTGTAAGGTGCCAGGGAAAGAAAAGAGCCACCCCTTCCCCCGTCAAGTCCCTGTACCCTTCCCTTCCCTTCCATCCCCTGCCACCTACCCGCCGTAACGACTGGAGGTAAGGTAGGTAGGTACCTTCCACACTTTCCCCTTCCACACCGTCCGCACATCCACACCCACCACCCCATCCTCTTTTTTTTTTTTTTTTTTTTTTTTCTTCCTTATCCCACCTCGCTCTTATTTCTGCACCATACCTACCCTCCTCTTCCTCACGCTCTCTCGTCCATTTAAAACTACTGCCCCGTCCTTTTCTCCCTTCCCATACTATTCTGTTCCTTCTTTTGGAAAAAATTGTTACGCCAACTTCCTGTCACCCCTTGCCGAACGAACATCACTACCCCGGGACACCCCATACTTGTCCCCCCAAGCGCCAAAGCTCCCACACACACACAACTCCGGCTCACCCAACTTATATATCAGTCAACACCACCCACCTCACCCACCCAGCCTCAGCTTCCAACAACCCACTCTTCGCACACCAACAACAACAACGAACACACAACATCGCCAACCTGGAACCGTCTTCTAACAAGTCGATTCGGTTCTCAATCTCAGAAACCGACTGCCGGAAGGAAGAAGAAAAAGGGTCCAACATTTTATTTCCCAAGCCCAGCTCTGCATATCTGGGCCAATGGGCGATCACATGCAACAGACACATTCGTCTCCTTTCAACTTTTCAAGTTTACTCAACCCCGATAAGGCCGACACCATGATTTCCGGTGACGCCATGGAAACCACTCGTCTGGGCCAGCTCAACGAGCTCAAGCCCAAAGGTCCTCTTCCCGGCCAGACCGTCGAGAACCCCAACGAGCTGCCTCGTCCCTACAAGTGCCCCTTGTGCGATAAGGCCTTCCACCGCCTCGAGCACCAGACGAGACACATCCGCACCCACACCGGCGAGAAGCCTCACGCCTGCCAGTACCCTGGCTGCAGCAAGAAGTTCTCCCGCTCTGACGAGCTCACCCGTCACTCGAGGATACACAGCAACCCCAACTCCAGGAGAGGCAAGAACCAGTACAACTCGGGTCCTCAGTCTCACATGCCCCAGGACGGCATGATGGCTCCTCCCCCGGCTCCCAAGACGATTCGATCCGCTCCCACGTCGAGTCTCTCCTCGCCCAACGTCTCTCCGCCGCACTCCTACTCCCAATATGTCTTGCCCGCGCACAACCTCGGCAGCCCCTACAGCCGCCAGCCCCAGGGCAACAACAACATGATGGATATCTCCATCCTCGCAAAGGCCGCCAACCAGGTCGAGCGCGAGACCCTCACCGCGCCTCCTTTCCACGGTCCCGCCGCCAGACATCACCCTTACTACTCCCACAGCCTGCACAACTCGCGAGGCCACCTCCCTTCTCTGGCCTCTTACCACATGTCGAGATCTACCTCCAACGACGAGCACGACGACCACTACCAGAACGGTGGTCGTCACGCAAAGCGCTCTCGCCCCAACTCGCCCAACTCCACGGCTCCCTCTTCTCCCACCTTCTCCCACGACTCATTGTCGCCTACCCCGGACCACACCCCCATCGCTACTCCCGCTCACTCCCCGAGGCTTCGACCCATGGGCTACGAGTTGCCTTCTCTCCGCAACCTCTCTCTGCAGCACGCTGCTCCTCCTGCCCTGGCTCCTCTCGAGCCTCATCTGGAGACCCCGTACCTGCCTCCTCCTCCCGCGCCTACCAGCGCCGCCACTCCTCGCCCCAACGGCGCTTCCCTGACGGATATCATCAGCCGCCCGGACGCCAGCAGGAAACTGCCTGTCCCCAAGATTGGCGTCCACCAACTCCTCGACGGCAACGACGGTTTCCAGAGCGGAAGGAGTTCAACCACCGGCAGCATTGCCGGCGGCGACCTCGCGGACCGGATGTAACGGAAACGGCTTTCACCAAAGTGGCATGACTTGACGACCTGGGCTATAGACGGGATAGAAGAACTACGGCGTTTTGGGAATTTTTTCAGAAAGGTGGCCGACCACGACTTGTTACCTAATCAACGAAACCAACCACACTCCCCACCACAAACCAAAGAAGCGATGGTCTCGCCTGTTACGGCGGCGGCTACACCTCAACCTTATAGAACTCCATTCCTCGACGGATATACAACCAGAGGCTGGATTCGCGACCCCCCTCCTCCACCACAACGAAAAGCAAACCTTTTTTTCATGTGTCTACACTTTCTCTTATCTTTCCTTTTTGGGCGGGACTCTTCTGTGTGTGCCTGTGTGTGTATATGAAGACGGCGGCGGCAGATCCGTCTCTTCAATGTGTCATGGCTGCTTGTATGCGGGGGACTCTTTACAAAGATATCAAACCTATGGACGGCGGGAACTTCGGGCGGGAATCGGTGTATATGGACGAGCTCGTGAAACGAGCCTCCAGGGTCCGGCGCGCGTATATCGCGCCCGTTGGGTGTTTTTTCCTTATGACAGCGTCGCCACACTAGAATGGCTTGATGCGAGCTTGTTTACTTAGAAAGTCCTTCCCTCGATACAAACTCGAGAGAAAGCAAGAGAATCTGAAGAGATCCACTTCCACTTCAACCCTCATATTCAACTCTCAAATGCGAACGTGACCGATGCGAGTGAGTGAAGTGAGTGAGTTGGTTGTGTGTGTGACGACGACTTGAGTGAGTGAGTACCCACCCACCCACACCACACACACCCGCGCAAGTAAGTCAGAGGAACTCGACCGATGATCGGACCTGAGCTTGGCTGTTCACCTGGTTTCGGGCGGCAGCATCGTCTGTTTGTTAATTGCCACTTTTATTTTATTTTATTTTTGACGTCTTATTCTGTCTTGTTTCATGTCTTATTCTACACACACAGAACCTTTTCTTCCCCGAGTAGAATGAAAACCTGGGTCATAAGGTAAACCAAACCCCCACACACCTGAAGCTCCTCTGCGCGCATGCGGGCAGGTCCCGACTTCTTTTTCTTTGAACCGCCGCCATGTTGCGCAGCTTCCGGGCTCGATCCAATCCCGTTCTCCGGCCGCGAAACGTACGAGGTACACAAGAGCGGAAAAGAGGCAGCATCAAGGCATCCTGTCCTCTGTAACTCCTTTCATCTCGTTTCGATCGGAAGAGGCGGATAGGACAGAATTAGAAACAATCAATAGTTCGCGGCTGTGAAAAGGCAACGAGATAAAAAAGTGACGTGTAACCCGTCAGATCTCCCGCTTCGCCCTGCGCTCGCCGCCTTACTTGGGTCGTATTACTACAACGACGCAGCGCAGCAACAACTGCACCAGCAGCAGGAGGAGTAAAAAAGGACCCTCCGTTTCGAACTGTCAAAAACCACGTTATGTTCCCCGTTGATCCTCCAGTATCTTCTTCTTCCTCTCTCTTTGGATCCATCTTGGCCCCCGGTCTCCAGCTCATTCTTGGCCCTATGCCCTATCTTACGAACGACTATATCCCTATCTACGTATCTCTGCTGGGTCCCGGGGTGGCTGGGGCGCCGGGGGTTGGGGTTCAAACCGGGGAAAGGAAGTTGAGTTGACAGAGAGGATCGGAAGGATTTCAAAGGGAAAAGATGGAAGGGGTGTGTGTGTGTCTGGTCTCTGCACGCCCTTTCTTGCCTTTCGTTCCGCGATCCATAGGCGTTATCGTCGAATTTTTTTCTTTGGTGGTGTATCGTGGTGGCCTGCCTTGTTGAAACTTGCTTTGCCTGCCGGGCGCGAGTCAAGCACGTTTTTCCTTACCCCAGAGTCCAGTCCCCTCAATGCGCGCCGCCGCGCGCCCGCCCCTCCGACTACGTAAACGGACCACTCGATCGTGCCATCATATGCGGCCCCCGAAACAAGGCAGTTTTGACGAGCAGAAGCTGTTTTTTCCCTTCCTTCCTTGACGGGTTGTTTTTTTCTGGTTCTGGGTGGGGTAGGATGTGCAGTGAGAGAGTCAGTTACCGTTCCCCTTCTTCTTCCCCAGGGTCAAGACATTACTGTCAGAAGCAAGGGGAAGGGAGACAAAAAAGGTCTGGAACGACGGCATTACGTATTTTCTCGAGGGGATGATATCACAATCGGCCCCACACCGTCCCTGGCATGAGTGTGTCGTCGATTCAGACATTTTCCCCTTCCGTGGGGAAAAAGATAATACCTAATACCAAGGAAGAACACAAGAAAAAAAAATTGACTTTACCCCATAGGATCTTCGTAAGGGACCAAGGCATGCCGATGGAGGCGTTTGCTGGCCTTCTTCCCGGTGCTTCCATCGGATGTTTACGGCTACACCAGCTGAATGGCCAAGAAACAGCATGATACCGGAGCCTGCGGATACCTACGTATGCTCCTTCTTGTTGTACAGCCCACGGCCAAGAAGGCGATGACAGTTGGATTCCCCAGTTTTCGGGGGCGTGTGGTGTAGAGCACTTAGATGATGACTCAGAATTGCGACGCCGTCAGAAAGGAACCCCAATACCCGGACCTTCCCCATGTTTTTTGTTGGCGGGGTGAAATTTCTGGGGATAGTTGCTTTCTTCTGCGCTGGCATTTTTTTTTGCTCTCTCCTGAAGGCCGAAGGGATGGTGGGCCGGCTCGGTAGTTGGGTGGCGTTATGTTGGGTTGGGCCAGGAACGCAAGGCGCGGTGGTGCCGTGTTACTCACCGAACGACGGGCTCTCTCTCGTCGAGTACCTTGAGAATATTCGCGTCGTATCATCATCACCATCGTCCATACTCTCCCTCTCAACCTTACTCCGGAGATGACTCCGCCGGATGGCAGCTCCAGCCCTGACTCTCCTCCAAGTCTGTGACTGAGTCGTTGAATGCCAGCCGTATTTTTTGTTGGACCACAATGTGAGTCAAGGCACATGTCGCGCATGCTTCGTCCTGCCGTATACTTCTCCCTGACGGCACCGCGCGAACCACGTCGCATGCTTTGCGCAGAACCTGATTGTGAGGCTGCATTTACGAAGACTCGTCACATGTGAGAGCGCCAGTAGTGGCTTGCTCATCGGGTGCGCACATACCAGTCCGCCTGTCGCGAGAACCCCAGGGGAGCTGTTTTACGACAGCTGATGCCGTATAGGAGATCTACAAGCCTGGTTTCGGACGTGGTGCAACGCTGGCGTCCGGTCACCGCAAAGCTGCAAAGTGATTCTATGTTGGGCACTCGGCCGAAGACGTACACCAAACATTGTGCGAACCAGCTGTCTTTCCAGGTGTTGACGGAGCGGCGTTCCTAGTCCGCGGAAGACGGTATCCTGAGCACGCAGGCCGACCTTTCCGATATCTTGAAAAGGTGGTCTTACGTTGGCCTCCCTCAACGCGCAGCTAAGCCCACGCGTGTACGGGTTGCTCGCTTACGTTCTTGAGAAGGCTCTTCACCGCTAGAATGTCCAAAGCGACACGTCGAGTTGGGCGCACTGGTGCGCGGGATGGTGTGGTGGTTGCAGGTTGCTTCTCCTGAGATGGATGGGTGATGCGGTACGTACAATCTCGAAAAACGAGAGCGAAGTCTCTGTAATTCGATCACCAGAAGCCACGAAGCTAGGGGGTGGGGCGTAAAGTCCCAGGGAGTCTGGGGAGAGCGGCATGGCGTCGCTGGCATAGTTGGAATGTGTTCCGATTCGAAGACGGTTGAGATGAATTGCTTCTCGAGACAGAGAAGGCGGGCGAGGCCGTGTCAGAAGGCTGGGCATTGTTTTTTGGCGTGTACGCTGAGGCGGCCAATGCCACCGGGGAACTGCGGAACGTATGCGGATGCGGGAGAGACGAGACGAGACATGACGCGGATATCTTGTTGCTAAGACAGCCGGGGCGATAGGTCATAACCAGAGCCCTGGGAAATGCCTGAGCTGAGTGACTTGTGATTTCGGTTACCAAGCAAACGAGAAGCTATTTGGGTACATATCGCTTTGTTTGCCAAACCAAGACCCTACAGTTGGACAAGGCAACTGGTTATGGGGTTGTACTATGAAATGCTGTACACACCGGCGCCGGCCCCGATTACCTTGTCGAAACGAGATCTCAGGGTTGAGACAAATTTGCGGGCGCTTAGACGAAAGGGAAGTTTTGCCCTCCACTTGACCGTTCCACCTGATGCTGAACCAGGAAACGGGAAATGGTGTGATGGCGCTAAACAGCGCTTCCAGTAAAGCGCATGTGCCAACATCAGATATGTTTAGACCAGCTGAGAGGCGGACATGGCTTCCCTCTTCTCCCTCTTTCAATCCGGCAGAAGTCTCGGCGTGGGGAAAAGGCCGGAGTCGCGATTCGAGGGAGAAGGCCGAATTTGGATTGAATGATGACAGTGTGGGGGGATGATCGCCTGTCCCTGAGGATAAAGACTCTCGATCGATGATGCGCGTAAGCGACTGCCACCGATAGGGAGTCATTTGTCTGTTCACTCGCGCTTGAATTTGAGCATCGGACATGGCAGTACGTTGAATCGTCTCCGCCAGATTCTCTTCCGGCTGTAGCACATTTGCAATGCGCATAATACGCGCATGAAGCCATGGCGCCATCCGCTCCGAAGTCGACACCAGGGGCAGGGTAAGGGCCGTCGCCGAGGACATCTGATGCCGATGATTTGCCTTATCGTAACTCCGATGGACATGTGGCTGACTCCCGGCCGCCGTCCTCGGTCTAGCCATTTCCTGCACACCCTCTTCAGGCAATTCGGGCAAGTTGGTGGTGTCGACGTTGTGAGCCCCCACGAGCTGCCCCACGAAATTTACCCCAGCATCCCAAGCGCGTTTTGACGTCGTTTTATGGGGTTGTGGGGGAAAAGGCGCCTTCATGCAACCTTGTTGGAACATCCGGAGCCTTGAGCCAAAATGGGGGATGAGATCAGCTCCCATTTGCTCAATCCCTGTCGTGACGCAGCTTTCTCCCATTCTAGAGATTGTGTGCACACAATGGTAGGTCGA